GATGCTAGTAACACGGGAATAACTAAAATATATTTTTAACTAAATAATACAGGAAAATATTATCTAGTTATATTTTAATCTTATAAATTTATTAAAGTAAAAATTAATTAGTTAATCCTAAATAAGGAACTATTTGCCATTATTTAGTTATTTTATTATTAAAGGTAATACCTTAAAGGTTCCCCTTATAAAATAATAGTATGGTTAAATTATATAAATCTTTATTTCTTTATGCAGCAGCGAAAGTATAGCAAAAAGTAAATAAAATAATATATAAATCTAGTAGTATATAACTTTAAAATTTTATATTATTTAGGCAAGTATAACCCTATAAATGCCTTATTTAAAAGGTATAAAAGCAAGACTAAAACAGTCTTAAAAAAAGATTTTTTAGCACTTATTAAAAAAAAAATAGTACAAGGTATTAAAGCATAAATAATTACTTGCCTAAACTTAATACAAAGTTTTTATAAAAAAGAGCTTAATCTAAATAAAGAACAAGATGTTTAAGTCTAAAATATTAAGTGTAATAAATACTTTAATATTTTTAGGAAATTCTCTTGTTTTTAAAATAAAATAAAGTTAAATTTTAATTTTAAAAACCATAATACTATAAATATATAGTCCAACCTTAAAAAAAATCAGGTTTTAGCCTAGTGTTAAGTCTAAAATACTATATTAATTAAAAATATTTACTTTAATTATATATTAAATTATTTAATAAAGTTACTCTTAGTATTATAATTTATGGATAATTAGACTTAGGAGCAAATTAAAGCCTTAAAAGTAAAAAATTAGGCTAAAAAAGCTAAAAAATTAAGTCTTAAAAACTAGTTAATTATAAAAAGCAATTTACTAGCTTTTTAAAATTAAATTTATGTTTTACTAAATTAAAAGCTTAAAACTATAATTATTTAAGTATATTATAATAATCCTTTAGCAGGATATTTTAGTTTACAAAGAACTAAATTTTTAGTAAAATAAAAGTTTTTTTAGCCAAAAATAAAAGCTATAATAAAAACTTTTACTTATTTATGCCCTACATGCTAATACACCATGGCGCCTTAACATTAACCCTACAAAAAACTATCTACCTTACCAAAACTAAATTACCCTTTTTTTAAAATTAGCATGGATTTTATTATTAGCCTATTACTTACTATATATTAAAAACAACATGTTAATACTATTTTTATAATAATAAATTATTATATAAAATAATATTAATTTATCCTTGTTTTAATATTAATCCAAGCCCATAAACTAGCCAAAGTTTTTTATTAAAATTAGACTTTAAATTATGGCTAGCTTAAAGGTATTATATTTAACCAAGATTCCCTTTTTACAAGCAAATATTAGGGAAAGCTATAGTTTTATTATAAAACTAAATTATATTTATTAACTGCTTTCCACCCGCAAACTAATAAATAAACTAAATAAATTAACTAGGTTTTAAAATAATACCTACACTATTTTACTATAAAAAATTACCATGCCTGGCCTATATTACTTAAAATAATATAATTTACCTATAATAATACTAGAAACACTATTATTAGGATATTACCCTTTTAGGCTATATATAACCAAGACCCGGAGATTATAGCATAGTTTAAGGTTAACCCTAAATAAATAAAGGTACTAGCTGCATTAGCTAGGATTAAAAAACTTAAAAAAATTTAAGCTAAATATAAAAAAGACTGGGAAAAAAACATAAAATATTATTAAACTTACTATAACAAAGGCTGGAAAAACATAAAGTTTAAGCTAAAATAACCTATTAAACTTAGTACTAAGAATTTAAATCTAAAAGTGCTAATAAAACTTAAGCCTAAGTTTATTAGTTTTTTTTAAGTACTAAATAAAATTAATTTTATAGTATATTAACTTTTACTCCCCAAGAAGTATTATTAAATATATAATATTTTTTATGTTTTATTACTTAAGCCTTGGCATGGTAAAATTAACACGGAAATTATGCCTAATTTAAAAAAAGACAAAGAATAGGAGATTAATAACATTATTAGCTATAATTTTATTAAAAATAAAAACTTATACCTAGTAAAATAAAAAAAATAGCCTTTAAAATATAATTAATGGGTTCCTATTAAAAATATAAATATATTAAATTTTATTTAAAAGTATAAAAAAAGGCAAGCATAGCAAGATAGTTATTTATTATTTAGTTAAAAGTAAAAACAGGACCTAATTCCAAGTTAAAATACGCCTAATATACTTAAATAAAAAAGACCTTAATAAAATACTACCTAAAAATTACTATTTTAGCCTTAAACTACAAGCAATTACAAGAAACTATAAACCTAGAAAGTAATAAACACTAAAGTAAAAAAAAAAAAATAAAGTATTATTAAAAAAACAAGGCCCTAATATTACCAAGCCATTGCCTGGTATAACTAAATTAAAAAATAATAAAAATAAATAACTAAGGCGCCAAAAAGGCACCGGAAATAAAATAAAATACTAACTTTAAAAAAGTAAGAAAATAAAAAAACGCCGCTATTAACACTAAATATATAATAAACCCGGCTAAATGCCCTTAATAGTAATAGAAAACTTTATCTTAATATAAGCAAGTCTAGTGTTAAAATCTAGAGTATTAATAAAATAAGCTTAACAGGCAAGCTTAACTTTTTTTTAAAATTAAAATTTAGTAATAAACCACTAGACGTGGCCTAAATTACCAGGAAAAAAATAAAGGTATAACTATAAAACTTTAGTATTATTTTTTATATTAGTAGTAAAAAAATTTATAAGCTAAATAATAAGAAGTAAGGTATAATATAATAGCACTTTTATGCGGTATTAAAGGTTTAACTTTTACTGGTTTTTTTTTACCTTGCTTAAAAGGGAGAATTCTTTTTAATAAGCTTTTTTTATATTTTTAAAGGCCTTTAGCAATTAAATTATTATAAAGTAAACTTAAAAAATAAATTCCTAGCCTTATTAATACTTTTTATTTTTTAAAAAAAGCTTTACCCCTTTATTATTAATCCACAGGTAAAAAAAATAATAGTATTTAATAAAAAGCTGTAGATTATAGGCGTCCCCTGTTATTATTACTTTAATTTAAGGGATATAATAAATTAGCCATAAAATATAAAAAAAAAATATTAAAAACTTACCAGCTTATAAGTCTTATTATAGTAAAAATAGGTCTTGTATAAAATTAATATAATAGTATTAAATTTATAATTAAACTAAAATAGCATGTTACTATTATTTAAATTACTAGCTTTTAGCACGGACTAAAAGTATATTAAGCACTATAATATTACTAAATAAATAGGTATATATAATAAAACCTTGTGGGTTTTGCTAGCTTTTTTACCCTTTTTAAGCTTTTTTTTTTTCTTGCTATTTACGGCGCCCTCCTTTTACTTACCTTTTTTTTTTAAATTATTTAAGAAACCTTTGCTATTTTTATTGCTATTTTTGGTAGTAGTAGTGGTAGTTTTTAGCAAGAAAGGGGGATAAATTTTAAACCTTATTATAGGAGCCATAAGATTAGATAGCCAGTAAAAAAATAAAAAAATAAAATGTTAAACTTTAAAAAATAAAATAGGGGAACTAAAAAAATAAAATAAAAAAATTAAAAAAGTTAAAAAAAAAAAGAAACCAGGAAGTAAATAAAAATTTATCTTTTTATATTTAACTACTTATATAACACTAATAACACAGCACTATAATAACTATATTAACCTTTTTATTATTTATAAAACACTGCTTATTTATAATTTATTAATGCTTAAATTAATAAGAAGTAACTTAAAACTTTTATTATTTACTAAAATAGTTATCCTAGCCACTAAAAGTAAAGCTATTTAAAAGTAAAATATTAATAAAAAAATATTATTTTAAGCCTTAAGATAACCCCGCATTTAATAATAAACTATTTTAAATAAAAAAACCAAATAATTAAACATGAAACTAAAGCAAAACAACAGCAAGACGTGTTTATTATAAAAATTAAAGCTATTTAAAAATTAGGTTAATCTTAATTAAAAAAGGGCTAAATTATTACACCCACGGGTGCCAAGCCCTAATAAAATAAGAAAACTAATAAAATAAAAGTTATAGTAATATTAACCTAACACGCAGTAATAATATTATTACTATTTTAATGGTATATTTAAGGCCAACGCCCTAGCAAAGAATAGTTAGCTAAAAGTTAGTTTTTATATATTCTAGGCCTTAAGATTTAATATTAATCCCCTATCAAATAGCCTCTTAGTACTTTGTTTTATACCTGGTTAGCCTACTCAAGGTTTTCACACTTTTAAAAAATATTTTACTTTTACTTATTAAAAAAGCCTAGTTAATTTATAAAAACTTTTTTAATAACTAGCTAAGGCAAAGGTATTAATATTAATAAATTAATAAGTATATTAATTACAGGATTATTAAGGGGATTATTAATTAAAGCTATAGTAAAGTAATTTAAAGTATTATAAAATTACTTTTTTTAAAATACTAATAAGGTATAAAATAAAATTTATTAAAAATACAAGGTGGGCTAAGGGTTTTAATTAAGCAAGCTTGGTTTGCTTACCTTAGCTTAATTAAGCTGCGGTTAGCTGCAGACGGGGTGGGCTGACCTGTATTCACAGCAGAGTCAGCCCGGCGGGCCCACAAGTTATAGCCCGTGTCACGTGTGATGACGAAACTGCAGCAAACTTTAGGTAAAATTAGCAGGCCAGCAGAAAGGAGAGGGGAATAGGATGTCATGAGAGGAGACTCTTTATTCATTATTGTACCATGATACACAGAAGCTGAAGAAAACAAAACCGTAAGGAAACCGAGGGAATATGGAAAATAGACAAGGACGGCGAAGGAAACAAGACTCTATGATATCCACAATGTCCCGACGCTTCAAAACCAGGTCTAGAAGGTGTAATGTTACAGTGCCCGCCTGTCACCTAGCCAGAGGCCCGGCGATCCCCCAGGTGGACGTTTTATGCCGTCGTCTAATCGCGAAACATTTAAGCGGTGGACTCCTTGAGGTAGCTGTTTATCCCGTTAGCCTTGTGCCTTTGTCCGAGGTGAGAGGCGCAACATACGTGATGAGGTCGTTCCTCTCCTTGCCCTTCTTAAGACCACCGAAGGCCATCTTGGTACCGGGGATGAACTTCTTGGGGTTCTCGAGGTACTTGAACTGTTTGGCGAAAGCACGTTAGATGTTGTCCAGACCTGTGAGAATTGCTAGGAAACATACCAGAGAGTTCTCGTCCCAGGTAACGCCAGCCTGCTTGTTGGCGTCGGTGTAGGCGTAACCAGCAGCCTCACCGGTCTTGCGGCCGAAGAGACCGTGGAGGTTGGGGCCGACCTTGTGGCCGCCGTCAGCCTCGACGGTGTGGCACTGCTTGCAGCGGGTCTCGAAGAGCTTAGCACCCTTGGTAGAGTCGCCTGGAGAGAATGGCTGATTAGCGTTCTGTTGCGCTTTCTTCTTCTCCATCTCTTCCAGTTCGGCCTCGCGCATGCTGAGGGTGGTGGTGAAACAGTAGGCGTCGAAGCTCGTCATGATGGTAGACGTTCAAGTATTCGCAATTGGGGGTCAAGTGATCAACTGCGCGATAGAAGCGAAGGCAAAGATAGGAGTTTCGCTGATGATCGTGTTCCCAGAAACAGAAACAGTTGTGAGATTTCTCTGCTTGTGTTGGAGCTGACAACTCTCTCACTCGAGGTTGAACACATCATGCACATCAAGCCTTTGTCTCACCTATTCACTCATCCTGCTAAATTCGCGCAGTGAAGCGAAATGCCATCCCCAGCAGCAGCGCGCCTAAAGGAACAAAGAGACAACCACAGCAACTTACCAGGAGAGTAGGAGTCAGCGCCCTTAGCCATTGTGAATTATAAAGATAAGATAAAGAGGAAGAAGAAGATGAAAATGTACAGAGGTGTATAGTACAGAAAGTTGTAGCAGATGGAAGAATTCAAGTCTAGCAAACTGGCCGGAAGAAAAAACTTGGAGCGAATTTGTAGAGCTGGATTCTTGGTCGCGCCCCCGATGTCTCCCGTGATCCGGGCATTGACCAATCAGAGCCACGATGATTCAGCGACGTAACGGGCGCCGCCGGGCTGAGGTCAGGAATTGGTCACCGCAGTCAACAAGAGGCTTGATGGGCTTTATTAGAATGTCTATATTTACTCCAGATCTGTCTAAGAAGAGTTTTGCTTGGAGGCTCTGCACAGCGACAACTCATCGCCATGCTTATCTGACTAGGACCCTGCTAGGCTGTTAGAGACGCCGTTGATCATTCATGCCGTCATGGTATGATCTCATTCCAGCTCATACTCATACTCCGTAGTAGAGAGCTGTCGGGATCTGGAAGCTGGATAGCAGCGGGTTACGGGAACCGGAGTAGCCACCCCCGTAATAACAAATCTGGTTGCTGTCATTCGCCTAGCCATGGCGAGTTTTTCCCGCTCTCCCCGGCTTTGGTCCGAGGTGGCCTGATGCCTTAAGCTGGGAGATCTATGCCTTGGAGCCTGAAGGACCTCAAGCTAGTCACATGACTTAGTCTCACCACCAAGAAAAAGTTCCGTTGGATGGCCCGCATAACATACAGAAGTAACAATCGCAAGTTCGCGGATCGATCAGAATGCCTTCAGCGCCAATCCCTCCCTTCCTCCTTCCTCGAGGGATTCCGTCTAGACAAGCCCTCCTCTCCCTCTCCCGGTCTGCGCGTACTACCGGACCTTCAACAACCCACCGCTGCGCATCAAGCAAGTCCAAGTCCAAAGACGCCAGCGGGAAACCGCGCGTCCTCGCCCAACCAGACAAATTCCGACCACCTTCTCACCCCGCGCGTCGTGTCGTCAATACTCGCAATGGCAAGGTCGTCAACTACCCGGGCCCCAAGCTCTCCAAAGAGGAAGAGGCGGAGCGGGCGAATAAGCAGTATCCGAATATGTTTCCGCCCGAGGGCACAGTCATGTTCCGCTTTTTGACGAGTCGGTGGATTCACATCTGGATTGCGATGGTACGTCTCTACCTCATCTGTTTACGTTCGGTTTGGGTTGTTTTGGTCTCGGTGGGATTGGGCTGATGCGTATTCCAGGGTGTATTGACGAGCTTGGCGACGTTTACGTTCACCACCAACTTCAAAGCAACGAGTCCCTTTGCGCACCTACTTCCGCCGTGGTCGGCGCTGCTTAGTCACCCCATCGACACGGTTTCCCAGGCGCTCTCGGTGTTTAGGATGCATGTGCAGCATACTTCTATGGAGACGAGGGAGAAGCGGAAGAGGCGCGTGGACGATGCGGAGAAGAGGAGACAGTTCCGGGTTGCGCACGGTCTGGAGGAGCCTAGTGAGGAGGAACTGGCGAAGGAGGGTAAGCTGGCTGAGCAGGCGGACGACCAGTCGCCTATTGCGCCTGAGGGTCAGGCCCAGAGTGCCGGTGCTGGGGAGTATGTGGATTGGGAGGGGAAGAGGAGGCCTGTTAAGAAGTGGTTGGGAATTTGGTAGGTTGGGCTACAGGGGATGGAATTATGCTCGTGCTTGACGTAGATTCCGGTTGGGAGTGGTTCGCTCATAGTATCGGTTTGGTCCTACTCGATGGAAGTCTTGAGAATTCATGTATAGTATAGGTATAGAGACTGATAGTCTTTCACATCTCATGTACTATGTCCATATACATGTTGACTGTCATTGGTACCTCTAGCTTGGCGGACTCTTTCGCGACCACTGCTCCAACAGGATGGAATAATTCTCCAACACGGATGCGCATTCGGATTATACGCATGAGAGCATTGCATCACAGACGCCGGGGGGTGCCGTTTCAGACGTCCAGTAGCATTTGTACCGAGAAGTAAGGCCTCGATTCGCGCCTCTTAAGCTCATCCAACCTCAACTCCCTCCAAACCCTCAAGGACTTCTTCTCCAACACCACCCTGCTCCAGCACCATCTTAACCATGTTGGCAATCGTAGCCCTCTTTACACCACCTCGTCTCGGCTTCCAGACACCAGGCACCTCCTCCTCTCCCGTAGAAGGATTGACAATCGCAGACTCCTCCGCCGCAGCTGTAGACCCAACGGTCGCCACATTCTCTGAATTCGGAACACCCGGCTGTGTAAGCCGAGATGGAGGGTCGATCGTGCGGATCGAGAGCAGCTTCAGCCGACCTGAGTCGGCGTCGTGTGCTATTGAAATGGCGAGCACGGCGTCCGCCACAGCAATTTCTTCACGGCTTGGATCGAAGATGATATTCTCCGCCACAGAAACAACGAGCAGCGTCACGGGGGGGCGTACTTTATGCACGGATATTGAGCCGGGGATGTTGGTCTTCGCGGGTTTGATGCGAGGGTACAAGTATTCCGCAGCGTTCCAGTCGTCGTCGAAGAAGGGATCTTCTTCGCCTTTTGACTTGAGTTTCGGCAACTTTGTTGCGAGGAGCGCGAGGTGGGTTGTGAGAGACAGGAGGGGGAGGGGATAGGAAAGCGGTTGTGAGAGGAGCAGGACCTATAAGTAAACCGCATATTAGCACACACCCGGGCACTCCAACAACAGCCACAAGAAAAGCTCACATCAATATACAACCTCCAATGCCACCGGCGATTGATAACAAGCCGTCCCTTCAGGCCGCCAACCATCTCTCCATCGTCCTTCACCCCGCTTGAAACGGATTCCACCAACGGCTCCCTCATCATCTCAGAAAGAAAAACAGGCAGGGCATCATCGTCCCTAAACCCCGGGATCTCAATCGCCATCTGAACCCACGAGCCCTGTCCGGAGGTCGCTACACCACCCTCTCCGTCTGCGCCAGCCTCACCATTCCCGCCCGCACCCTCTAGTTGCTGCGCCTGTACCCCTAGAGCAGTCTTCTCAACCTCCGCCTTCACACCCACAATAGCCTGCGTGCCGTCCGCAAATCCGACCCGCGCGCTACCATTCGTGCCCGGCAGGACATCTGTTTCTGCTGAGAGGGGGCGGAATTGCGTTGGTGATCGGCCGTCTGGCCGGATCGGAGTACCCGGGAGGGAGAGCGATGTGTAGAGATAGGAGAGTTCCGCGGGGGAGATGTGAGGAGTCTGCGAGGCAGAGGAGGCTTGTCGTTGCGCAGCCATTGCGGTCTGAATTATAGATGCGAAATTTTGTAGAGGCGGGCTAGCTGTGAGCTAGCATTCGGTGTTGTGTACGCCGCGGTGGAAGGTTTTGGGTCTCTGTAGCTAATTAGATTGGTAGTGGTCACAATTAAATGCGATCCATGCTGGAAATACTAGGTATAATGATCTATGTCAAAGTGAACTGTTCATGCTGCGATGCCAGTACGTGATTCGGAAATTCTACTCACTCGGACAATCGTTCTTCCTTTCCGTTCCAGTTTATGAACTACTCTGACAGCTAAGGTCATGCTCTACGGAGCAGGCACTCGGAGAATGCTCAGCTGAGCCATTTACGCTATTAAGGGAGAGTCGTTGGTTTAATAATGTTCATTTTATGCATTCATTGGATGTACAAGACGGTTTCTCCGCCGGGAATAGGTGCAGTATATTACAAAATTGTGGTGAAGCGATCCACCCGTGGTCATCGCAAATAGTGAAAATTGTACAAGGTGGAAAGGTAGTTTGGAGTGTCGCACATCTTTGCCCGTGGACGAAAGGCCACCAGGGATGAACGCGGGTAGGAAGAAAGCGATGGTGAGTAATGAGGGACAAAAGAAAATTGTATGTGTGAGGCTCGAGGGAGAGATCAGGATGTATGGTGAGAGGGTAGGTATATATAGGTAGGTAGGTAGGTATAAAGGTAGAATGAATGATGGGTGAAAAACCACGACCGGCGCGGTCGAGGTCGAAACAATGTAAATATGCAGGAAATGAAAGGCAACAGTGCGAGGCCTGTATCTATAAAAGGCCTTTGGGGTATGAAGACAAAAAGCCGACAAATGAGAAAAAACCTGGGCTATCCGAGCCCTATAAACAGAAGAAAGAGCAACATAGTATGAGAATGAGAGTAGGAAGGGGAATAAAGGTGATGAGGGGGAAAATGAAGAAAGAGAAAAACAACATCGCCGACACCATATCCCATGCGCCTTTATGAGCATAACAACCACAAAACTTCCCTTTTGATTATGTATACACGACATTGCAGGTAAGATGTCAAGAGGAGATGCGCGACATATTCCCGAGATATCCGATATCAGATGGGGACATGCGCTATCTATAGGTGGAGCCTGTCAAGAATTTTGTCGAGGCTGGGTTCATCCAGTCTCCATCGTCGTATGGCGGTGTAGGCCACTGGCGGGTCACGCTGGTAGTAGCGGATTTTTCGTCCAGGCGTCGGTTCGGCGTAGCGTCCGTATTATTGCCGAAAGACACACCGTCGCACTTGGCTGATGGTGAAGGCGTGGGATAAGGACTAGGCAACGCCTGGGAGCGCTCGTTAGCCATAGGATGGCTGTAATTTGACGATGTGTCCGACATCTGAGCTTGTGCAAGACGCAAAGCAGCGCTGCTCGCGGAGTGTAGAACTTCATCCAAGAGCTCATCCTCTTCTTCAGGAGTCTCATAACGGTGAACAGGGTGGCTGGTCATCTGCATCGCACGTCGGGTTCGGCTCGATACTGGCCCACCGTTACCACTCGTTGAGGCCGGACTATCTCCCATTGATCGAATAGACCCTTGGGGCATTGATTGGCGTTTTGTAGACTCAACAGGAGAGGTGATGCTAACCGGAACGTTTCCCAAGGCCGCCGCATCCATGGAGTACTTCACGTTTTGAAGAGCTTTGTCCAGCTCTGACAGATCCGAGTTCTGCTTCACATCACTAACGTTGACGGAGTCCAGGGCCAGCGACGAACGGTTTGACCACGGCATGCAGCCAGCATTGGCCTCGACATCATCGTTCATCACGTTCTGGTTTCGCCCGGACAGCCGGCGGGCACGTTTTCGAAGGTGAGAGAAGAAGCTCTCCTTCTGGCTGATAGTGCTGGAGCTGTTGTTTCCGAGGCCGTTCAATGCTCGCTCCGCTTCCTGTCGGTGAACATCGCCATAATGATTGCCGTGAGAGTTGACTGAGAGTTGGCGACCAATCTTCTTGTTTGCCTTGGCGGCGTTGCTATTCAGGTCCTGAGCTGGGGGGTTGGCTTGGGCCGTAACAGCGTTAGAAAGAGGAGAGACAGGACGGATCGAAGGGAGAATAGGCATCGGAGCTCCATGAGCCCAAGTAGCACGCTTGCTTGTCGAGTGTTTTGGCTTCAGAGATTGCGATTCCATACTCGAGTCATGTGCAGCAAGTGTTGGCTTCGAGTGCTGTTCGGGATCAACAAGAGCAGGGCTTTCTGACCTCCCGATCAAGGACCTTCTGAACCATGACGACTTTGATGAAAGAGTCGGAGAATCGTATGTTTCCTTAGTAGGGGATTTGACGCTCTTTTCCGACTGCTTGCGACCGAGTAGTCGGGCAGTGGAGGACCTCGGTCTCAGGCTCAAAGGGTCCACTGCATCAACAAAGTACTCGTGGTGCATGGCTTGAGAAGAGGTAGGGCGATTGTTGGGATCCCACATCAGACACCAGGTCACAAAATCACTGAGAGCCGCGGGCCAGTGCGGTGGTGCAGGCTTTCCCTTTGCATGCTGCATTACTACCCTTTCCAAGGAGTGGGGTGCCATCTGAAATAGGTCAGTCATATCATTGAATCCGAACTCGGGTGGAACATACCTTGGGGAACGTAAACCCCAGCTTTTGTGCGAGGCGAGAGCCGTCCTTCCATTCACCACCGCCGAGCTTAGCGCCCGACTTGCTGTACCAGTTTCCTGGGCTGCCTATAATCTCGCAGACGCGCCAGACTTGGTCAACTTCGTTGCCGCCAGGGAAAAGGGGCTTGAGAGTCGCAATCTCCACTGCCATGGCACCAACAGCCCACATATCCACGGGTGCGGAGTATTCACCTGCACGCAGGAGAACCTCGGGGGCGCGGTACCATCTTGTTGAAACGTATGTTGTGTAGGGTAGCTTGGAATGTGTCTCACGGGCCAGACCAAAGTCGGCGATCTTGACCGTATAAGTTGGAGGAGTCGAAGGAGGGGTGACGAGGTTGGAGTATCGGCTGAAAGTAGAGTCGTTGGGAGCTGATGTGGAAACCAGAATGTTTTCTGGCTTGATGTCGCGGTGGAAGAAGTGATGGGCGTGGATGTGGTCGAGACCGCACAGGATCTGGTAGAGGATACTCTTGACATGCTTTCCGTCCAGGAATTTGTCGTCCCGCGCCTTTATCAGTTGGTAGAGATTGCCGTCCATATACTCCATGGCGATGTGCAGCTTGCGGGAGAGCGGGTCGAGGAAGATGTCAAGGGCGGGGACAAGGTGAGGGTGAGGGGGGAGAGTTCGTAGGAAGATAACTTCCCGCAATTCCAAGCACGGAGCCAATGAGTCGAAGGTTTTCTTCATTGTTTTGATGGCAACCTGCAGTTAAGATCAGTATAACATCCTTAGTCATCAGGCAAGTGGTTGTCCTACCAGTGTTCCCCTTCGAGCGACGTTGGAACCGGCCGTTCGTACACGTGCTACCGCAACACTACCGAAGCTCCCATCACCAACCTCCTTCATCAATTCGAATCGATCTGCGAGCGTCGCCATTGAGGTAGGAGTAAGACCCCGCGAAGGGTGTTCGTAGCAGACAGTCATCTTGTCTCCTTTATCTTATCTGCCAGCAGATGAAACCAAAAAGAGTTTCGAGGACTGGGATACCGGTCAGCCGGGCAATTGATGCCATCACCACCAGGTACTTACCCTATTAGTATGTATATTCGAGGGATTAATAACTCTTCCGATAGATAGTGGAATCGATTAATAGAATGCTGTCTTCATCATCCGGAGTTGAGCGATATCAGGCCTGCGGAGAATGACAGGAGCCGCTTCCCATCGATGGAGAGGGTCGAGGTAGGGTAGGTATTAGGTCCGGCGGAGGATTGAGGTAGACGAAGATGGAGACGAAAGGAGGGGGAAGGGGGTAGTCATGTAGTTCGAGAAACAGAAGCCGAGGAGAAGGGGAAGGATGTCTGGAAGGCAGATGGAAGACCCAAAACAGTGGAAATGATCGATGTAAAGAGAGGAGCGGGCCCCGTCCAAGTGGGAACCACTATACCAAGGGGGTTCCGGCTTGATTGAACTGGAGTATCCGTACCAGTACTAAGTAGTGCCTTTTTGGGGGGAAGTGAGAGCGAAGCCCCTGACGCGGTGACAGCTATTTCCCGAGCTCTGAGCGGGCGTGGAGACTAAGAGGCGGTCGAACAAAGATGAAGAAGAGCGGTGTTGTAGATCACAGCAGGTAATCAAAAAACAGCCAGGTGGATAACGGAGGGGTTCTCTTATTATGTCAAGAGTCTGGACAAACAAGAGGAGGCCCTACGCTGCTGCTGACATGGAGAGCACCTGCAGAGGGGGGAAGTCTGATGATGTGGGATGGGATAAATAACCAGGTATATAGACCAGGGCAGGAAGAGAGCGACAGAGAGGTGGAAAAACAGGAGAAGCTGGGAAGGGAAAACAGAGGGCAAAGAAGAGAGCGACAGCAGCAGTTTGTATTACTGCGAGGGTGATTGATTGATTGTTCTGAAGGAGCGACAGGGACGCGCGAAGAGTGGTCAGAGAGAACAACACGAAGGGGAAGAATCAAACAGCGCCAGTCAGTTGTCCGTTCGTGTTCTTCAGACGACTCAGACTCTGGACTGTTCTAAGTTCCTGCTGCCAGGAGAACTAACACCGACTAGTCTGCTAGAGCCAGACGTTATTCGACGGCCCTGACTTAGCGCTGCCAGTGGCCACCGTTGGTCCCGTAAGTGCAAATTACTAAATCTCCCGAAATTGGCCGGCCTGCAAACGGAACTCGAGACGCGCTCAATCATTACATTCCTATACGCATAACCCGGAGCAGATAACATCGTTGATGGCAAAATTATGACGAGTAAATAATAATGGCCATAGCGAGGCAGGGGCGGGAAAACTCCATGTGGAGGGCTAAAAATACTCGTACCTTCGTCAGCCCTGATGGGGATTTGAGGCCCGGAGATCCACCGCCGCCCATGGATGGAAAAGGAGTTTGTCATGAGCCTATAATTACCGCGGTTATACCGTCTTCGAATGAACTCCTTCTATCCGGATATCTACTCCGTAGAGTAAACAAAAGGGCTTCAGGATAACATGATTGAGGATGGATCATCACAGCTATGCTACCTATTGATGCATTGCAATTTCCTTTAGCCACTTGGCCGGAGGATTCCTTTGTTCCCAGTTCTTAACCGAAGGTACTTTGGGCTGATGATGTCTGATACAGCGCGTGTTTTACTAGTAGTAGTATCTTGGAGCTTAGTCCCATCACATCGACCGTTACGTAGTGTCGATTTTTGATGATAGCGATCTAGCCGTTGGCTTTGTTCTTCCCACTCTAGTCTACTGAGCTCCGTCTCTTGCTCTCTAGGCTCTAGGTTCTAGTATAGCTCTCGGACCTGCTCCGTACACCGCACTGTATGTATGCACACCGACAAGAATGAGGGGAAGCACAAGAAAATAACTCAATTGACTAGACTCCTAGACTAGAGTGACAAGACTGGCCACCTTTCTGAACTGGTTTCTGAGTTTAATTCCATTCTTGTTAAAGGCGTAGCCGCGTAGCTTTCAAGTGTTCAAGCCACAGTTGTTTAGTGAGGTCCACTCCGGCTGGGCCTCCGGCCTCGAATCATCAGAGATTCAGATTGTCAACGCGATTGTTCCAGAGTGACAGCATGACATGTGTGCAACAACAAGGTGTTCCCTGTGCTCCCTCTCATTCGAGATCTTGATAACCATAATCGTGATTGATAGCGAAGTCTGGGGATTAGTACAGAGTTCATGCATGTTACCTGCATCAAGTCTGCCAGTACATCAGCTAGCTGCTGTTGTGTGAGTAAGGAGGCTGGAGTCTTAACCAACGAAAATCATCTGCGACTACTGAGCGACTGTTCGGCTAACGCTAGATGTGGCAATACGAAGAAGCTCAGTTCACTTCCTTCTTGGGAAACAAAAGAAAAGAAAGTCTCATAATCTCTGCCGTTGTATTCTATTCCGTAGTCGAGGATGGACTTTCGACAGTGGGAAATGTGATCTATATGCAGTATGCACTCTGCAGTCAATACTGCATTTCCACTGGAGGAGTGCAGATCGTATTGGCCATGACAAGTCTTAGATTCAATATTGAGCGTTGAAACGCCATTGTCAATCGAGATAGGCGCTGGGAGCGCCCCATTGTCGTTTCGACCAATGCATCCCCCGTTGATGTCCATGCACTGCAGGCCATTATTGCCACATAATTTCCGGTGAGCAAGTGAGCCTGCATCTTATATCAATAAGACCCCCCACAGAGGGAGGTGGGAGTGTAGTGGTTGAGGGCTGCCCGAGATCCTACTCTGTAGCCTATGCTCAATCGCCGTGGCGGAGGCACCAAAATCCACTACATCAAGATCAGCTAACTTGAGTGATGGGAATGAAGTCTTGACAAGACACCGCGCTCGGTGAACAAGCGTCCTATGTGACCGTCACAATGGCGACATAGCCATCACATACGGAGTACGGTTGATACCATGATGCAAGAGGAGTAAGGAGCTTCCCCTCCCCCTCCAGCCACATTGCATACGCAAAGGCCGCCTCAATACCGAGCATGGGTATTGTCAGTAGGATTCACGATGATCACGGATCATGTTGGTATCTGTCCGGTGATTTTGGTCACCGTTCCTGGGGCAAAGCCCGGCAATCTGATGATCGACGATACATATTTCATCTCGGAAAAAGCAAATATAAGACCATTTGTTGAGAGGGTTACGGAGCGGATGCCGTACTTCCGCCCCTTTCAAAGCACTCTTGCTATCACCGTTGCTCTCTCGAGAAAGCCATTATCGGCGCTGAGCTGGTGAGTTGGAGACGATAGAATCATATTTATCACCTTGCCCAGTTGAATGTGGTGATGTTCCCCTGTTCCAAACTTCCAGACTGGAGGGAGCGGCACTGCCCTCATTTGAGTTTAGCGTCGGGTGTCCCTGAAGAGAACTGCGCCAGAAAAATTGGTTGTTCCCACAGGGACAACCGAACCACGATTTCAAATCAGATTCGTCGACCGAAAACAGCAGGCTTCTGAAATATGCCGTATTCCAACGAGATTGGAGAATCATCGCTGCTCAGACTCAAAGCTGTCGGGCACCAGCGCAGCAGCAACCGTCACCGATGGTTTGCCTAATGGGTGTCACTATCGGCCCAACTTCCCCTCCTTCTCTTTCGACGAGGAGCAACGGAGGGTGCTGCGTGACCCACCGCCCATCGGTCATTTGGCACTTTTGGAGGTTCCGCGTCTCTGCGACTTGGATTTTCGACTTTGAAGTTCAGCGAGCCTGCTTTTGCGCGAGCTGATTAATCCATGGGTCTTTCTACTGAGCGATATAGCAGAAAGCAGGATGAGTCGCTCGGGGAATGCGGATTGAACCCGCTCGGCGGAGGCCCGTCCCCGTCTAGTGCTTCCGCAAATCCGACCACGCTGCTCTCTATGATCGTTGCCCGCTTAGGAAACAGCGCAGGGCCAAGTCGTAGGCAACACCTGAGTGGGTGAGGGAGCTTCGTAATTCCACCAAGGGCGACGGACTCCAAATAGCGCGCCTAGTGCTTGAAACCGTCGCATTCCCTGGACCTTCCAGAAGGAATTAGGGGCCCAGAGTGCTGGGAATGCTCCGATTATCGAATGGCAAAGGGCCCATCCAAAAGGGGTAGCCAGACTATCCGGTACCTGCGCAAGATACGCTGAAAAGAAGGAAAGGAGGTACCACGGAAGTGACGGAATGAATATCATGAGACGAATCTGCCATCCATCATGTTTGGTTTTTATCGGAACCACCCGTTGCCAGTTGGAAACCTAGAGCGCTTCCTCCCGTTCCATAGTCGAGATCGATGAGGCAACCACGCCGTTGCATAGGCTGACTGCCTGACATCAGCGAAGATCGACGGCCCATTTCATACACATCACAAGTTCACAACGGCACAGCGGCAACAAGGCGTGGAAGGAAAGCCGCTGATTGATAATTGCCCTTATTATTGCTTTTCCGGAGGTCAGTTGCCATAGTTGGTTACAGGTTGTAACTTGTAACGCTCTTAATCTCCGTCTGACTGGGATCAATATTCCCACGGCAACTGAGGAAATCCATCTGGCTCATCGAATCATTTAGCGAGCAGCTCAAAATATCTGTCGTAAACCTTGCTTGGCGCTAGGGAGTAATCCTATTGCTCGGCCATTGAGCATTCTTTCCTGCAGGAGCGAGGACCAGGGGAGCTGCGCCAGTGCATCCCCGGTCTCCAGGTCCAGTCCCGTTCGCCGCCTGGTGGATGGCGAGCTGCAAGTCTGATCTGCATGGTTTTGACATCATGTTACGCCTGTTGGAGTGCTGTGACTGGCATTCGAGTCTGGGCTCTAAATCTGAGCAGACGGACTGTGTCACGGTGTGCGAGCTTTGAGCGGACCTGTCAGTGTTTACCATACGTCATTGGATTGAATATGACAGCGATCTCCCCAGTAACACGGACCTCTAGACCACAACATACCTATCCTAGTCAATGGTGAAGCTATCATTAATGGCCTGCCAAGGTTGGCTGCTATTCCTATGGCATACTGGATACGGAGCCCTCATCGCGCCCTCGGTTTTGGCGTTGTCACCGTCTATGCAGTGCAGAGTGGCTCGACCACAACGGCCTCTGTGCGAGGCCACTCATGCCCTCAATCACCACTGCCTGTCGTCACTTCAGCGAGAGGCTCCACAACTAGCTGTCCACCGAGATCAATGCCGTGATATACTGGGACACCGATGTCTAGCCAGAACTATTGTATGATGACGACATCTGCTCCTCCGATCCAGCCGACGAAAAATGTCCAGCTTCCGAGCCACGAACCCAGCTGCCGACGGAACTTCAGTTGCTACCGCTTGCTCTCAGCTCGGAATCGAGCCAAAGAAAGCGCTCAAGACGAGATAGTCCCTTTCGAAACACGACTAACTCGTCAGTTCGACAACCCGCAATTAATGATCTTGGGGGATGAGAGGTTCGTTTTGGGGGGGCAACTCTTTCCAACACACAATAAAGGGGCATGTCTAGTCTGCCGACAACAATGAGAACACGGACATACTAGGGGTCGGCGGGAAATCGTCGACGTCAGAGACATACTCCTGATACTGAACATAGCTGGCTGGTCCGTGGGGGTGTTGAGGCTAGATTCCGTTACTAAACAATGATATTTGGCAAAAATGCGAACAACTGTTCGATGATTCTTTTAGAGATTCGCTGAAGCGTCTTTCAGTGTATTGTAGGTAGTGAGTACAATGGAAACTCCCGTGGTAAACCAGTCTGACCGATATTGCATAGCTACTTGGACATGAGGCCTGTCTTCACGCGTAACCTTGTTCTATATGGCAGTCATTCGGGCTGAGGTGTACTCATAGCAGGATGAATAAGCTTCACTGGTGATACTTATGGATAAGCTTTACTGGTAATACGTATGGGATCAGCATCATGTGGCCAGGAGTTGGCAGTGGGAGGGAATCTTGATGAGAAGGCTGTTGAATGGCACTGCTGGCCAGCGCTGACTGAGACATAAAGTCAGACATATGAGGGCGTGCTTCATGTCTGACTTCCAAGGGCTTTCAGTGCGCCGTTGTCGGCTTTCAATGGACACAACCTTCCTAGTCCGGTGTCATGTCCACTCGTGGCTTCCTTCCGTTTGTTTGTCCCTCTCTTCGTCTGCAAGCTCGCCTCCGTATGCTTTGCCGTTTGCTCCCAAGCCAATCCATCAGCTACCAAAGCCGGAATCTTCCAGTCACCAGCTGCACATTCACCTGCTCCAGAAGCAAACTTCCTCCTGTCTTGGTCAAAATGAGATGATCTGTTTCAATTGAACCCGCGTCTGCTTTGCTATCATCCTATTCTTCATCAATTCAAGTTCTCTGATTCACCACCTGTGGTATCCATTCACCTCATGCTCAACAAGATCTCTCGGCGGCCTGAAAGAGAATAGCTGCTTCATTTGGACCCGCGTCTGCTGTGTTATAAAAGGGCACTTATTCCTTCAATCCTGAACTCATTTTGCTCTTTTCCTTCATATCCCTTTCTCTCCTTGCAAGTGGAAAACATTTCACAAATTGATACTCTGCGTCACATCTCAATCTCTTTCATATCTCAACACTGACAGTATGGCAAACCATCGTCTCCCCAATGGGCTTCCTAGCGCCTATGCTGGTGGATACAGCGAGTCCATCAGACGACAGTAAGTCCACGAAACCCTGATGAATTCAACTATCACAGACACTAAAAATGCTTTGTTTGACGCAGGCTCGAGACCGTCCCTCTTCCCGAGAAGTGAGATTCTCACCCCGTCTGACGATCAGTGTTATCTTCTCCTGACAACATCTAGGCTAAAGTGCAAAACCTGCAAAAAATACCGGAACATCAACGCCTACTCGAAGAGACAGGTCGACATCTTCCGCAACGCATTCGTCCTTCAGGGACAGCGGGCGAAAGACGTAGGTCATGCGACCTGTCGTGGCTGTACCGGTGGTCAGGTTATGGAGCTTCGCTGCTGCGTCTGTGATGAAGTGAAAGATCTTGGCGAGTTTGCCAACAATCAGCGTAAAGAACACGAGTTCGCGGTATGGCTTCACTTATTCTCAATATTAGTGTCTCACTAACGTACCTGCCCCAACAGCGTTGCCTTATATGTGTACAGGAACACAAAGATGCCGAGCCTGCAATTGATGAGAACAGATTGATAACAGATGGCGAACAGTCTGGCACCCAGGGAACAATCACGGTTAGTACATACTCTCGTTTCAGTAGTAGCGACTCATGTACTGACTATTGAAGAACGCCGGCAGCATTGTTACAGGTTCTACCACGCATCTCACCAGCGATGCGCCGCGCCATGGCTCTTCTTTTGCTGGGATCACTGACAACGTGCCTTCTGGTGGAGGTGTCTGGGTTGAGCCTGAGAGACACGACATGAACAGCAGCCACGGACAAGGACCAAGTTCTTACGGGCCCGGTCAGCGCAATGTCACCTCCTCCGACGTGAATTCGGTCCACAGTGGCTGGGCTTCGTATGGTATTCAGAAATCTGAAGCCGCGGCCAGCGTGCGCTTAGATGGAAGAGATGGCAGATTTGCGAAGGTGAAAGTAAGTACCTAGGTCTTAGCCACTGGATACTGCTTACTGATTCGGACAGGCCTGGCGCCCGGAAGAAGTGTCTAGCAACGTTAATGCCGCAACCAGAGCTCGCGAGGTTAGCAAGAAGGCGGACTTCTCGGATGAGGAAGATGACGAGGAGGATGTCTTAGACTATCTCTAGGCGACAAGTTCATTTGCTCTAGTGCTTCTCTCCTTTCTGCTCATGAATTTGGAATACGTCTGGGGAATGGGCTCGCTGGCTTCGCTTAGGTGGCAGAACTACGAGGATTGAACCATGGTTCTTTTGTTTGGAGGTTTCCCTCCTAGGTAGACTTAGTGAGAACAGACGCATTGGCAGATGTAATAATTCATGGACATCATTCTACGACTCCAGATATCAAAGACGCTCCGTGTCTCCCGAGAGGACGATAAACGATCCCCGCCCACCGCCACCGATTTCACTTGGCCTTAGCGGTTTCAGTCGGGCGCTGTGACGTATGCACGATGGCCTCAACGGTCGGGGCTGAAGGACAGACTGGAGACAGCTCCAATTTTCTCTTCACTATTGCCTGACTGGAAGAGCTGATCCTTAATCCTCTTTTTCAAATCCTTTGAAGAATTCTCTGAGTAGATTGAAGGTCTGAAAGAAGACTTGTCACACACGAAGCTTGATCACTATCAACTGTGCTGCCCCTCACTGCCTTACTGCTTTGTCCGCCACTTACCCTTTCCTCGCAGAGTTTCCCCCGGTACAAAGCTCTTTGCTTCTGTTTGGTATCTTCATCATTGTCTCATTATCTGTGCTATCGCATATTCGATTCCACAAAGGCCGCTGTTGGATGGTTTCCCATTAAACTGTGAAAGATCCCGTCCTGATGGCGTACGACGGCTACCAGCCTGGCCTGAATCCTTACGGCCAGCCAGACAACACCAATCCTATAAACGCTTCAGAGAAACGCCCCTCCTCCTTTGAGCCTCCGTATCCGTATCAGCCGGCGTCTGATCATCTCAAGATGCCTCAACCACAAGTCCCTCCACAGTATTCAGCCCCTCCCCAGGGCTACTATCCTGAACCACCGCGCGAGCAAACCTCTTGGCCCCCTCCACCTCCCCCTCAAGCGGGTCGAATAAACGATGCAGTGACCTCTGCCGTTGGAAACAGCGCCCCTTCATCCTATGTGTCGCCGGACCTCGTCGCGCAGATAACCGCAAATGTGATCCAACAGCTTGGAGCGGCAGGCATCAACAGCCCAGTCGGTCACCAGCCTCCCTCCCAACCACCTCCACCACAATGGGCATCGCCTCAGCCATACCAAGTGCCATCGGCACCGCATACTCCGACAATTTCGCACGGCACACCTCCGCCTACTACGGCCTTCCAGCCTCCTCCCCCTTCTCTACAACCCGAATACCCTAGTGCTCCGCATCTACCATCTAGACTAAGCCCAACTCCCCCTCAGGAAAGGGAGAGAAGAGAGTCGCCCGCTAGTCAGTTTAGTGACAATGGCCAGAAGGCGGATTCACGGCCGAAAGCACCTGAGAGAAACGATACGTTTCCGACGACTCTGGAGAAGATATGGGGAAAGCTTTTCGATAATGGCAAGCCAACTGAAAGGCTTGGACAGTTTTTGCGGGGAATCGCAATTTACTTGGTAAGTTGCAGTCAAACTGTGGAAATGGCTTTTGTGCTAATCTTGTTAGATCGAACATTATCCCCCTGGTAACACCCTCGTTGTAGTACCTGAGAAGCTGCAGAAATTCTATGCGGATACCAACGTCGCATCAGACCCGTATCCATGGCAAGGTGAGCAGTGCGCTTCGCGAAACTGTTCCTTGCTAATCTCATTCTCAGATATATTCGATGACCGTACATCTTCAATCTCAAGATTATTCCGGGATTTCCGAGTCGAACACCACCTCGTGCAGCTCAAGTTGGATGAACGGCCTGACGTTCCTGCGCTTACGCCCAAAGGCTTCGAGCTCTTTGCTACATTGATGATTCAAGCACATCCGGACAAGGAGTTCGAACGGCTGCAAAAGGCCGTGCTGAACATGCCGATCAGCAACCCAGACAACAAGAAAGAGCGTTTTCCCAAGGAAATACCTCGGCGGCTGTTCCCAGAGACAGCCGACCTGAGCCTGCGCAAAGAGCTTGACGAAGCCCTCAAGTTGCACTGCGGCATTGAGCTACCTGACATTACGGATGAGGAGATCCGCAAGGTCGCTGCGCAACGTGCCAAATCATCTACAACCTCTAGTGTCGCTGTCGAAGAGTCAAATCCGCCAACAACTGAACGGGAGAAGAAGCCATACATCCCACCAACATCCGCAGTCGTCGATGACGAAGACGAAGAGCAAACTCCTCCCGCTATCGAGCGGAAAAGAAAACCCTATACCGCGCAACCGGGAGGAGGGAAGGTCTATGACGGGCCGGACTCCCCGAAGCATCGGCATGCAAGTTCATTCTCTACGAGTTCCGGTATCAAAGAGGCAAGACCTGCTGCTACCCGCGCCCCCGACTCGCCTCCCTACCACACCAGATCTAGAGGGCCTTCACGGTCGAGAGCCGGAACATCCGGGCGATCACGGAGTCAGTCACGCTTCCGTTCAGGCCATGATTACAGGCACTCCGAAACCGATCTCCTGAATGGTTCTCGTACCTCTGGTGCAACCTCAAGCGGGGATTACTATTACAACCCACCTGCTTCATCAGCCATCCCAAGCGACCTTCTTGACCAATACCGTGATCTCGATCGGAGCGCGGAAGACCACAGGCTTTATGAGCAAATCCGCGAGCGTGAGAAAGAGCGCGAGAAGAGCAAGTACCACGATAGCCTACCTTCCCGGTCTACCTGGTCAGGCGACGATGATGACTACCGCGGTCTACTTGGTGGACAAGGTGGTGGATCGTCGATGTACGACTATAAGCGTTATAGGTGATTTGACCCAGATCACTCTCGCTATATGTACATTTATCTTATTGCCATCTATTGCGTCGTCTTATCTCGGTTTGCTTTGTCGACTTGGCTTGGGTGTGATAGCGTTGTTTTGCTTCTGATGACTTATGAGAAACGACTGATATCCATATGCTGTCCTTTATTTGTTATCTGTTAGCTCACTGTATACCATATCTGCGAGTTCGTCATCAAGTGATATATATTCTCGTACCATCATATATAAACAAATCTTCTTTACTAGGCGGTAGTCCCATGTCCCCTTCGTCTCTCAATCTCCATCATATACTCCAAGCCTGCTTCCCTCACAGCCATCCCCTCCCTATCTCGAATAGCTTCCTCCTGTTCCCAGAGTTTCTCGGCTCTCCTCCTCTCCCTCTCCTCCCTCTCCGCCCGTTTCCGCCCTCTTCTTTTATGCCTCTCCTGCTCCTCCTCAATCTTCCTCCCCTCGTTATCCGCCTGCACTCTCAACCCCTCAATATCCTCTTCCCCCAGGGCCCACGGCACAGAAAGCACCTCCACCAGGAACCTCAACCGCGCCTCCACGAACCGCATCTCGGCCTTCGTGTCCGGAACCGGGAAGAACCGCTCCAGTTGGATCTGATTTAAAGAGCGGAAGGTCGACAGCGTGCCTTTTATCTGGAACAGCTTGCCCGGCTGTAAGGGCGTTATGTCTATGGAAGTCTGGGTTGTGGGCGTTAAGTGCATTTCCTTAGGCGGCGCATCCGCATCGGCGTCGTCTTTCGTTTTCGATTCGGCCGTAGCGGCGGCGGGGACAGATGTGGTGGTATCGCTCTTCAGAACAACGACGTCGACCGTTGCACCTGTGCTATCGTCAAGCGTTAGGATCGTCCGCCGTGGGACATCGGTGCGCGCAACGATGATGCCGACAAGGCTCACGAAGCGGATTGGGTGGTTTTGATAGAAGAAGAGGTCTGGCTCTATGCGGGGAATTGAACATTAGCATGGATACAGAACACTCTTCTTCCAAACATATTCAATCACTCCCCAGTCCTCTGCCAAAGCAAACGAAGAATCGAGAAGGAAGACATACCTCCATATTCCGTCCGTCTCTTCAGCCGATGCACATCCGTAGCGCCCATCTTCACCCACGCAAAATGTGTGGGCGATGCCTTGAAGCAAAAGGCCGGATAGAAGGGAAGATTAGGGGCGTGCTTCGCAGCATGGTTGTTGCCCCTGCCCTTGTTCTTGTGGTTCCAGTTGGTGGTGTCATCATTGTTTGCCATGCCATAAGATTAGGTCGCGATCGAGGAGCGGGCTCATTTTCGCATTTCAGGTCGCATATGTTTCTGTCTCTGGGGTTTGCCGCTGTTGTTTGAGATGCCCCCTATTGGGTAGAGGCTGCTTTCTTTTTGAAGTTGATGCTGCGCTGAGCGTAGTCTGTCCGATGATTGGTGATGGTGTCATGTGACTACCATTTGTTTGCCATAGAGCAACGCTCTTCATAGGTTCCAGGTTGGCACAGTGAAGGGCTTTATTTGGCGGTCCCTGGAAACTCAAGGTATATTTCATGAGTAGAGTACTTGATGTAGGTGTGGAATTAGGTGAATCTGGTAGATGTGCCATTTGCGGTGGCCTGCGTACAAAGACGTTGTTTGGATATATATATTCGTGGACGAAACCTGAATTTACTCAATAGCAGAAAGACAGTAACAAACCCGGAGAACCTTGAATTCTTCCAAGCTTACTATCCTTCTTCATCTCTTTCAACAAGTCCCTTGATGTCTCAGCCCTCTAAAGCCTCAAAAAGAGACGATAGTGAACAACAAGATCATTACAGGATTTGATTTTCCCAGGAGAATGCCCAGACACTCAGTACGTACACCAGTGTGATTGGCCTCCTATTCACAAAGACGGCCTGGGGGATGACGAGGCCTAGCATTTCCTCCCAAGGTCGATATATTGAATGTCCACTTTCAGGCTCCATCAAGTCCTCATGGCAGATGTCTAACCGAAGCGAGGCCTTCTGCCGAGACACGCAGCAAAATTTGATCTTATCTGATCCTGAATCTTTCTGTTAGTGCCATTACTAGCGTACTTGACCTGCCATTTGAGAATACGTCGATACAGGAACGGACCCAGCTGTCACTCGAAGCGAAACAAGTTGCAGAAATGTTGACCAGAACCTGGAAATGGAATGGATTGAAGACAAGGCGGATCCATCCGGCTCTCCCGCTGCAACTGCGAAATCACCGAGCCACATGATGAAATCGTGAGCTGCGCTGATAAGAAACCAAACACCTTCATCACCTCCAAATACCCCTCCATACAGCCCTCAGACCTCACCATTACCATGTACTCCAAATTCTGGCCTGCAGGAGGCCTCCCTGGCATCCTCCACCACTTCGTACGTTCAATCCCTCTGTTTACATCACTTACCCGCAGCTAATTTCTGACGTCTTGCCCGCGCAGACCGAAACCCTGGTCGCATTCGAATTCACCACCTCCGCAGTTCCCAAAAAACACTCCCTGCTCTTCGTCGGCGGCCTCGGCGATGGCCTCGCAACAACCTCGTACATGGCGGACCTCGCCAAAGCCCTCCAACCAACAGACTGGTCCCTCTTCACGCTGAACCTCACGTCTTCGTACTCCGCCTGGGGCCTGGGCCACCTCGACCGCGACACCGACGAAATCGCCCAATGTCTCAACTACATCCGGGACTACAAGGGCGGGAAATTCGCCAACATCAGCGGCTTCAAGGGCCACAGTAACAGCAAAGTCGTCCTAATGGGCCACTCAACAGGCAGCCAGTGTGTCGTGCACTACCTCTCGAAACCAAACCCACACACCTCCGCAAAGGCTTTCGACTCCGACCTGCAACATATCCTACGTACCCGTCTCGACGGCGCAATCATGCAAGCGCCCGTTTCCGACCGCGAGGCTATCCAGTACGTCCTATCGACCGGTTGGATGGGGCGCACATCATCCCAAGTCACGGAGATCTACAAGGAGCTCGAGAAACTGGCGCAAGATGAGATCGCGAAAAATCCAGATCCTCAGTTTGATGCCCTCCTTCCGCTCCATATGACCGGCGTCATTGGCTACCCCGGCAACGTACCTCTTTCTGCACGCCGGTTCCTTAGCCTTGTTTCCCCTGGGACGCCTAGCGGAACTCCCGGTGAAGACGATCTCTTCAGCTCAGATCTGGGCGATGAATCGCTGAAGAACACCTTTGGGACGATTCGGGAGCGGGGGCTGCTGGCGTCGAAGCTGATGGTTTTGATCTCGGGGAATGATCAGGCCATGCCTGGGTGGGTTGATAAGGAGGCGTTGTTAAGAAGGTGGAAGGGAGTTGTTGATGGGGAGAGAAAGGATGGAGAGAGTGGGATTTGGCATGAAGGGAGTGGGCTTATTCCGGGGGCTTCGCATGCGTTGAGTAACGATGACCAGGCAGAGCCGAGGAGATTCCTTGTTGATAAGGTCATGACTTATCTGAGAGGGGTGGAGAACTGAAGCTTGAAGCCTATATGTATATAGAAATAGGAATGAAAATAGACTCTTGCTTTTGTCCATGTCTCTAGTGTAATCCAGTAGTCTAACAGTCTGCAAATACTACCCATCCAATACCAAATCATTGCATCGCAAAATAAATCGTAAATCGTAACAAAGTCGTAAATATGAAGACAGCTGTAAATAGACGCCTCCAATACTTCCTAAAAAAAACTAAAACACAACCCCCTTACTCTGAGCATCTTTGCTGAGCCTGATGTCTTTAATTAGGAACATCCAGACCAGCGAGAGTGCCATGATCCCTGTACCCGCAATCAGCATCTTCGTCTGCGTCTCGGCGTACGCATAAGCAATGGCATTTCTGACTGGTGAGCCAACGGGGTAGCTCAATTGAATCTCAAGTGACTCATAGATAACTCTCCAGTCTGCCTTCGCAGACTCGGGAAGCAGCCTCTTCAGCGCCTCAGGTAGAGTGTTGGTCCAGATAGCGCCGGAGATGCTGCTCCCAACGGCGCCGCCCATAGAACCAAAGACACCGAGGAATGCAAGGGCCGAGGCGATGTTGTTATGATCAGACGCGGCTGAAACTGCAACCTGCTGGCAACAAATCATTGTACTTCCGCCGAATGCAATAAGAACCTGACATAGGATCAGATAACCCACGGACCAGCCGGGTTTGCGGAAGTAGATCATCAGGCTGACGCCGACCATATAGAGAGGCACGGCCCAGAATAGCAGCCATCGGAACCGGGAGGTCTTTTTGATGAGGAACCCCACGGCCAAGAGCCAGATGCCGGAGATGACGTTGAAGATGCTGCTGATGTACCCTGCAGTTGAAATGGAAGTTCCATAGACCACTTGCAAGTAAGAAGTGTAGTACTCGTTCCAGCAGTAGTACGCAATTTGGTAGGAGGTTCCTAGGAGACACGCTCCGAGTACTGTTCTGGATGCCAGCAATTCCCAGGGGAGGAAGGGAACCGGAGCGATGAAGCGCTCTGCCAGCACAAAGGCGACGAGGCAGGCGATGCCAGTAATAAGCATCGTGGTTATATAGTCGGATTGCCATTCGCCCGCTGTTGATCCGGCAATGGTAAATGGCAGGAGGAATAGTACTAGACCTGTTGCTAGGAGGAAGACACCCAGGAGGTCCAGCTCAATCACGTAAAAGACGATGCTCTGGGCAAATGTCCTGCCGCTGCGCTCTTTCCTCGGCAAAAGACCCTTGCGCTTTGCCTTGTATCTGTTATACTGCAGTAGACCAAACATTGGCAAGGCAATGATGGGTAGGATTATAGCGAAGCTTCCGTACGCCCATCGCCAGTTATAAGCATAGAAGCGCTCGGACGCGGCTGAACCTGCAAACGCAGTGATGATATAGGGCGACGAGGTAAACGCGTAGGCAAGGCCTCGGTCACGTAGCGACGACGTATCGGCTGTAATGACATCGATACTGAAGATCATACCCGAAAAGCCGATAGTGTAAAACACCTATGGTTGTAAGCTTCCGTCCCAGTATAGCGCAGAAGTAGACATACTTGTGAGATGCAGTACGTCGTGATATCGGTGCATGTCGCGGATAGGACCAACCCTAGAGTCGCGAATGCTACCATGATCAAGAATCCAATTGATCGATCCCAAACGTTCAGTATCTTTGCGAGAGGCATATAGGTTGCCGAGGACATGACGCTGGACACGATGTAGATGACGGGGATTAGGGAATGCGATTCAAAGCCGCTGGTCACGAAGGCCGAGAGATTGCTGGTGATGGAGGATTGGAAGGCATTCACGAAGTACAGGAGAAACATTCTATTGCGGCAAATGGTCAGCCATTGTCTCAGCGCATTGGGTTCATCGGCTAGACTCACAGAACGTATGCCGTCACTAATGATTTCTTCGACCAGACCATGGTAATGGCCTCGGCCTGTTTCACTCCATCCTGAGCTGCCTCTGGATCATCTGTCGGAAGCTCGTGTGCTATCTCTGACCCCGGAATACCCCCTAGTAGTGGGGTGTCCTCAGTACTCGAAGACCGCGTTCTTTGTAGCGCCGACATTGCGACATTGGTCGTAGTCTTACAGTCCTTGGGAGATGCGCGTGTTATCTGTCGGGATACTCGAGTCGATGGTGTTGCGACAAATATGAGAGGGAAGAGACATCGGATACCGTCGGGTAGCGATCGCGAGACAGAGTCATGGAGGCGTGCGGAGAATGAGAGAAAATTGAGGAGAGCGTTGATGGTTCGTACGATGCGGTATAATTTACAGTACTTCAAATACTAGCGTAATAATCTGATAAATGAGACCCACCCGCGTAATCTATTTTATCTGATGGAAATTCTCCAACCGCCAGCCTCGTTTCCAATCCCGTCAACGGCCAAAGCGATGTCGGCAGAACTCAGCCCATCTCGGATCAGGATGTTCAGGAACCCCCATCTACTCGCTGGATCGACAGCCACGAGGACCATGACGGACTTACGTAAAGACGCCATCCCCCTTCCCGTCGGGGTATGCCATGGCCTTCGATGACTCGATGTGGCTCGGATCCAGGACCGGTGGGTTTCATCAGGAGATGGTGGGGGGCTTTTCGTAGTGGACCGTCCAAGGCGACCATGCTTTAGTGCCATGTCGACGAGATCGCCTTCGATAAATTGAGCGAATCCCTCTGAATTCGAGCCGAGCACTTGGCGGCGTTCATCACTGGCAGCTTCAACCGTGCCAAGCTCATACTGCAGATTTTGAGTCAGTATGAAGCTTGTTCAGAGCCTGGCGGGCTTCCCTCGCCTGCTGCTGGCCGGCAATCCTTCGAAAATCGACCTTGGCATGCTTCTGGTGGCCATCCTGAGTGCGATAGCGTCCGGCGTGCCTTTTCCAATCATCGGTATTCTATTTGGTCAGCTTCTCGACGATTTCAACGCAGCGACATGTAAATCAGGCGATTCCTCCGGCGACGGCGACCAAGGAAGCATCAACGACAAGATCTTGATCATCGTGTATCTGGCCATCGCTCAATTCGTCTTGATTTACATCCATCTTTCCTTCTGGACCCTGAACGGCGCTCGGCTGGCGCAGCGACTACGAGAATCCTACTTGCAGAACCTACTTCGACAAGAACCCTCATTCTTCGACGATCTTCCTCCCGGTGAGGTAGCCTCTCGGCTCAATGGCGACATCCAAACCATCCGCTCGGGCACATCTGAGAAAGTGGGAATCTGTCTTGCGAGTTTTTCCTTCTTCGTTACTGCCTACATCGTGGCGTTCATCAAGGATACGAAGCTTGCAGGCATGCTCGTTTCGTTGATCCCGGCCTACTTCCTCATGTCCTTTGTTGGAAGCCATTATATCGAGAAGTACTCGGGACTGATGTCAGAACATGCTGCCACTGCCGCTTCAATTGCTTCAGAAGCCCTTTCGAACTTCACCGTTGTACAGGCCTTTGGCGCAAACGATCGATTGGAGGAGAAATTCTCCAAGGCGCTGAAGTCTTCAGAAACGGAAGGACTAAAAAAGGCCACTGCGGTTGGCATTCAATCAGGAGTTCTGTATTTCGTCGCCTATTCTGCGAACGGTTTGGCATTCTGGGAAGGTAGCAGGCAAGTTGCCCGTACGGTGAACGGCGAATCTGGCGGCGCTACTGTTGGCGCCACATTTACAGTCATCTTTATCCTGGTTGAAGGTTAGTAGACTAGCCTGTCTTCATACACGTCCTGCGCTAACAAGCATAGCGACCTTGCTCCTGAGTCAGGTTGCCCCATTTATTCACCTGTTCACAGCAGGAGTTGCTTCGTACGAAAAGCTACATGCGGACATCACTCGCGAGCCGAAGATTGATGGCACTACCCCTTCGGGCCATCGCATCACTCAGGCAGAGGGTGGTTTCGAGCTAAACGAAGTTTCGTTCAGCTATCCTTCGAGGCCCGAGGTCACCGTGCTTGACAAGGTTTCTCTCAGTATACCCGCCAACAGGCATACTGCGATTGTCGGTCTTTCGGGAAGTGGCAAGTCGACCATCGCTGGCTTGGTCACAAGACTCTATGATCCCACGGAAGGGCAAATCCTGTTCGATGGTCACGATCTTCGTGAAGTCAATACTCGTGATTTGAGAAGTTTCGTCAGTTTGGTCCAGCAGGAACCGAACCTCTTGGATCGTTCTCTTCTGGAGAACATCGCTCATGGTTTGATCAACTCAAGCAGTCCTAGCCATTTGCCTCTGAGAACAGCTCTTCTCAGCTCCGATCTTGCAGACATCGCTGGCGAAGTTAGAGAAGGGAAGGACTTGGTTGAAGTAGCAGAGAAAAAGGGTCCAGAGTTTGTTGAAATCGTCAACCTGGTACAGAAAGCTGCACAACTCGCGGACGCAGAAGCTTTCATCGTTGCATTGCAACATGGATTTGGCACGGTCGTCGGATCCAGTGGACGTCTGATCAGCGGTGGCCAGAAGCAACGAATTTCTCTTGCTCGAGCACTTGTCAAGGACCCCGCCGTACTTATTTTGGACGAAGCCACAGCATCCCTAGATTCGCGGAGTGAACAACGTATCCAACGGGCTATCTCGAACATTGCCAGCGGAAGAACCATGATCACGATTGCTCACCGTTTATCAACAATTACTAGTGCAGACAACATCATTGTCATGCATAAAGGTCACATTGTTGAGCAAGGGGACCATGCAAGCCTAATGGCGAAGGACGGAGCATATGCTGATCTGGTTAAACTGCAAACCCTATCCACGCATGACAAGAATAACTCCACAGTCAGCGTTGATACCGTTGGCAAAACCGATCAGATCTCTTCAGACGGTGACCTCGAGACAAGCACTCTTGACGGTCTCGGAGACGATGAGAAGAAGCCCGAAACGACTGAGACTTCAGTTGCCGAGCCTGCAGAGGAGTCTGAGGAGCCGGATACGCCGAACAAGTCTCTATGGGCTCTCGTCAAGGGTTATGCACCCACCCTGAGGCCGCATCTGCTTTTCCTTGTTCTTGCTCTCCTTGGCTCTAGTATCGTTGGCGGAGCCTTCTCGGGTGAAGCGGTGATCTTTGGAAATACCGTTGGAAGTCTGGACCCCTGCAACAGCGCGGATTACATTCGATCCAGGGGTGATTTCTTTGGACTCATGTTCTTCGTGCTCGCAATCATCGAGTTCTTTGCAAACGTGGTCAGCTGGACCGGATTCGGATGGGTTTCGGAGAAAGTGGTTTACACCGTCCGAGTTCTATCCTTCCGGTCACTGATGGAGCAAGACCTCCAATGGCACCAATCCAAGGGACGCTCACCACCGTTGCTCCTCTCGTACATCACCAGGGATGGTAACGCTCTGGCTGGACTGAGCGGCTCTGTCATCGGCACACTATTCTCGATTACTGTCAACCTCATTGCAGCCATTATTCTGACGCACATCATCGCGTGGAGAATTGCTTTAGTTTGCTTGGCTCTGGTCCCGCTTCTGCTTGGTGCTGGTCTGATGGAGCTTCACGTACTCGGCAAGTTCGAGGAACGTCACGAGAACGCTTATACCAAGTCGGTTGACATTGGTGTCGAGGCAATCACCTCCATCAAAACGATCGCGTCTCTTTCTCTTGAAGAAGAAACGCTGAAGACCTATCAGCGGTCCTTGAAGGGCCCCCGTAAGGAAACCCTGACAGTTACCTTACAAGCAAGTCTCTGGCAGGCGATGACTTACTTCCTCGGTAATCTCGTGAATGCGTTGGCCTATTGGTGGGGTGCCAAACAAATCTTAGCTGGCAACTACACCCAAACGCAGTTCCTGATTGTGGTATTCTCTCTGCTTGTCAGCGCCTTACTTTGGAGTCAAATGTTTGCTCTGGCACCGGAGCTTTCGGCTGCCCGAGCTGCTATGGCTAGGCTGCTGGGTCTTATTGAAATCGGATCCGACAAGATGCAGGGACACGTACCTCCTCGTTCTCCCACTGCAGCTACATCTGGAGAGGAAGAAGCAGCCGTTGAGACCAAGCAACTACCACTTGACAACAAAGCCTCCAGTGTCCAGCTCCGCGACGTCCACTTTTCGTACCCAGCCCGACCAGACATCAAGGTCATGAATGGTTTGACCGTTGATATTAAACCCGGAAAGTTCGCTGCCCTCGTCGGCCCCAGTGGTGCAGGCAAATCGACAATCATCTCCTTAGTCGAACGCCTCTACACGCCTCAATCCGGCTCCGTCATAATCGACGGCGTCGACATCACCAAGCACCGTGACGTCGCCTTCCGCAACTCCATTGCCCTCGTGCCGCAGGAAAGCGTCCTCTTTGAAGGAACAATCAAGTTCAACATCAGCTTCGGCGCAAGACCAGGTCATGAGGTCTCGCAAGCCGATATCGAAGAAGCATGCAAATTAGCGAACATTCACGATACAATCGCCGCTCTTCCCGATGGGTACGACACTCTCTGCGGCCCCAACGGAAGCCAGTTCTCTGGAGGCCAGAAACAGCGTCTCTCCATTGCCAGAGCTCTGGTGCGGAAACCAAAGCTGCTTATCCTTGACGAGTCAACTAGCGCGCTTGATGCGGAGTCTGAGAAGTTGCTGCAGGATGGCCTCGAGAAGGCTGCCAAGGGGATTACGGTTATCGCAATTGCGCATCGGTTGCACACAATTAAGAAGGCCGATGTCATCTTTTTGATTGAGGCTGGCCGGTGTGTTGACTACGGCTCGCATGATGAGCTCTTGGCCAGGTCCGATAGCTACAGGGCTAACGTCATGCACCAGACCGTTGCCACTTAGTTTTCTGTTCTTTCAGCGCAAAAAATTTATAGAGTATATAGCATAGATTAATTGTTAATAGTGTTTGGTATGAATCATCTCTCGGTGTTCTACTTGCGGCTGCCTGGCTACTGCCCTCCTTTCCCCTTAAGATAGCCAGTCGCTCCTTCCTCCGGCACACCACGCCCAATCACTCCTTCCTTTTAGAGTCATCACTGGGGCGCTCAGCTGCCGGTGCCCACTCCTGGCTTACACTCTACATCCATGTCGCATGGCTTCAGGAAGGCGCCCATTGTCAGCTACTTACTTCAAACTATCTTGGTATAGAAATAAGGGTCGAGGTGTTACTAGGCAGTTCTTCGCTTGCTAGAAAACATACTTACGTACTATACTTACTATATACCAACTAATAACAGCATTCAACGCGAACCATCTAAACAACATCATCTAAGACAAACCAAAAACCTCAGATCCAATCAGACCTCCAACGCAATGACCCCCTCAGGCTGGGCAACCAACTCTTGCACAACACCAATCAGCTCATCCAGAGCCCGCTCCACAACCTCCTTATCAGCCTCACACCCGACAACGCCGAAGTTCAACTTGTTGTCTCTCACAAACGAAACAACCTTGACTGGATCGGGCGAGTCACCATGTGGATTCGCAATGTCGACTACACATTCACTATCCGCAAAAGGCATGGAATCGAAGTCCTCGTGGTCCTGGTGGTGGACCAGCGAGTCGAAGAACGACGATGACCAAGAGGTGCAGTGCTCCGCGATGCGCCTGAATCCAAGGAAGTCGTACGCTGCTGACTCCGCGCTCTGGCTCTGGATAAACTGGAATAGCGATGCAGGTGTCCAGGAGTCGCGGGTGCCAAAGGGCACGCGAACAGGCGTGAACTGGTACGTTGGGCCAATGATATCCTCTGTGTTGCTGATATCGTCGAGGATCCTGCCGGATGTGACGCCGCCGAACGTGATGTCTTTCTGCTTGGTAGTGCGGGAAAGAAGGACAGCCCAGGCAGCGGTTAGGAGGGTTGCTGTTGTGTAGCCGAGGGATTCGAGGGGTTGAGTCGATGGGGTGTCCGCGGGTTTGTGGAGGAAGACGGCCTTTTCGGTTCCGGTTGGCGTGGTCTTGCCAGGGAGGACAGAAAGGGTTGAATCTTGCAGCAGGTTACGCCAGTAGGCGATTGCTTTTGATCCGGCGGTCTTGTTGTTGATCTGGGAGATATATGAGGGGAAGGGCTGGATAGATGTGGCAGGGATGGGCTGCCCTGTGTAGAGGACTTCGAGGTCGCGGAGGAGACGCGGGAGGGAAACACCGTCGTATTGGGCGTGGGAGAAACGGAGTACAAGGGCATGAGAGCCTTCAGTGCTTTGGATGTGGAAGAAGCTGAGGAAGGGAGTGCCCAGGTTGTAGGTGTTGGCTTCGATGTCAGCGCTGCAGAGGTCTGCGATGTAGGCCTTAAGGTCCTTGTCTGTCTGGTGCTTGGTAATGGGTGCTTCGAGACTGTTCAGGACAACCTGGAGGAAGGAGGCCTTGTTCTCGATGAAGACCGTGCGAAGGATATCGTGGGTCTTGACTAGCTCATTGCAAGCACGGAGCAACTTCTTGCCATCGATACCGGTGTCAAAGATGAGCATCGTGTACTGGATGGAAGTGCGCGGTACATTGATGGTTCCCTTAATATCGAGGGCCTGCGAGTCTGTAACGGGGCATACATCCTGAATAGGCCAATTTGGATCCGACAGCTTTGGACGAACACTCTGAGACAAGTAGCCCTCGAGGTCTTGAACGTTACCCAATGTCGAGAAAGCCTTGTACGTCTGCGCTGGTGTTTTCTTCCCTTTCGGGCCCTGGCCGACTCTCAACCGCTTAGCAGCATCCCCAAGTCGCATATGCTGGAAAACATCGGCAACAGTCAGAATGTGTCCCTGCTCACGGAGACCCGAGACAAGCTTCATAGCGAGAACGGAGTCACCACCCAGACGGAAGAAGTTGTCATCGACATCAATGTGTTCACTGTCAATCTTCAGGATAGCCGCCCAGGCTGACCGTAGAGTACTTTCGTTGGCAGTTAGGTCGGTTTGCGCATTGAGGGACTTCCATGCGGATTCGAAGCCTTCGCGGAGCTGGGAAAGGATTTGGCGAGGGATGGCGGATGCGAGATCGTTGAGGAGGCCGTGGTCGGTCAAGCCCGTCTTTGTACTTGTGGGGATCTTGTTGACAACGATGTATGTCGACGGAGCCATATATGCGGGCAAATTGTCGCGGATAAATTTGTCGAGTTTCTTTAAGGCTAAGGCGAGGTTGTCAGAAATGGCGGCGTTGATGACCGGGGAACTTTGCGAGTCTGCCGCACTCAGCGCTATGACGTGCTGCTTTGATAGAAGGTTGACTGTCGTTTCTTCAGAAGGCTGCTCGACGAGAATAACGAGTTCGGGTTCCTCTGATGGTGCCTGAGATACGGCAGCAGCAGCAACGACTGTTGGCGGCAGCTGCTTCTTGATATGAGCCTCAAGGTCGGCAATATCAACTGCGTGCCCCTGAACTCCTACAACGTTCTCCTTTCGACCAACGAAGGTTAAGCTACCGTCCTCCTGCAATTGGACCATGTCGCCTGTGGGCTGTACCCTACCCGTGCGACCAGCGAAGGCGGGGCTTCCGGCTACCAACCAGGCAGGAGACTCAGTAGCCTCAGCAGCGAGCACAGCACCTTCGATCCAGAGCTCACCAACACAGCCGATGGGAGATAGTCGAGATGGGTTTCTGGGGTCACATACCCACGGCACGGCGACAGGAGGATACGCTGATCCTGGCTTAGTGGCTGCATCTGCACGGAGCTTGCCTGTTGACTCGTCCGCGGACAACGGAGGTATCTGGTTCCACTGCCAGATCTTGTTTAATTCCGCCTCAGGAACGCAGGAGATGTCACCGATTCTCCTTGAGGGATCCTTCAACAATTGCGAGCACGCAGTCTCAACCTGCGCCAGAATTCGCTCCATCTGAGCGACCTCAACCAGATTGACATCGAAGCTGGCACAGATCCTGAAACCACCTTTTTGTATTCCACATCCCAGCATAACCGGGTACGGGTTGAAATGCAGTGCTTCGCGGACGACATCGCCCACCTCGAACCCTAATTCACCACCCACGTACTCGGGATCTGGCTGGATGACGAGACCAGTACCAGTCTCGCACGCATGTTGAGCATCCTGGCTTACTTTTCTGATGTTCTGCATACCCATGTGCTGGTAGGGTGTACGGGACAACATGGCCTTCTGGACGCTCTGCAGATAAGCCTCGACGGAGGTCTTGCGCTGGACGTGCATGCGAACAGGGACCGTTGCGATCAGCGGGCCGATGATACCCTCAACCCCGGGCAAAGAAATATCACGACCCATGAGGGTCTCGCCGAATACGACATCGTCGCTGCCGGTGTACTGTGATGCAACCAGTGCCCACGCACCCCGGATCAGCGTCGCCATCGTGAACGGTGAGCCAGCACCGATTTCAAGATTAATATGGCGTTCGACCATGCCGTTGGGAGTAGGTAAGAAGTCTCGAGATGGAAGACGAGGGAACTGAGGTCCCACGGCACCTCTCAGCTCGCGGCGCCAGAATTCCTCCATTGCGGTTTCGTCCGTGTCACGCACGTACTTGACGAACTCTCGCATCTGGGACTGAATGTCAATGGGATGCTCCCTGAGAGCGTTGCTGACTTGCTGCAGGACGATAGGCTCTGACCACCCGTCGTAGACTACGTGGTGGATTGTCCAGACCATGTACCGTTTGCCGTCTGAGTTTTCGACAATGGCGTACCGGGCTAGGCTCTGTCCGAGTTCCATTTTCTCATCCTTGTCATTTACAAGATATTGCTCTAGGTTGGTTGCATGTTTCCAAGAGATGGCTTCTTTGAGCACAACTTGCTGTAGACCAGGCTCGGAAATCTGAGCTACACGAGTGCGCAAGATAGGGCTTGCTGCGACAACTTCTTCCCAGGCCTTTTTCCAGGCGTCGAGATCAATGCCTGATGGGATTGTTGCAACTCTCTGGGCCACGTACGCCACGACTGCCTTGAGCGAGAATGTGAACAGTGACTCCTGCGTAGGTGTGCAGGGATAGATATCCTCTACGGCTGCCGGCTCCGCTCCACACGCTTGTGCCGCCTCGAGTGTAGCGCTCTCGGCATCCTGGGCTATCAGTGAGAATGGCGGCGTCTCTGTCCGTGCCTGTGAGTCGCAGACCTTGACGACGGCTGCCATATCTGAAAGTACAGGGGTGTTGAACGTGTTGCCAACGGTGAGCTCAAGCCCGTGAGAACGTGAGATCGTCACGAGTTTCATAGCCATTACCGAGTCACCACCCAGCGCAAAGAAATTGTCGTCTGGCCTGATGGAATCCGGCTCGCGCTTCAATGTCTCGGCCCATGCCCGGCGCAAACGCTGCTCAAGCTCACTCAACTCCCCAGTGTGGTTGCTGCTGCTTGAGCCTTGGTCTAACTCTCTCAAGTCCAGCTTCGAGCCGAGCTCTCTTAGTCGCTTGCGATCGGTCTTGCCTGAGATCAAGACAGGCATGTAGTTGACCGGGATGTAAGCAGTTGGGACCATGTATCGCGGCAAGACGGTTGCAACGTCCTTATCGGCCTCGTAGATGATCTGACGTAACTCCTCAGAATGCTCTATTGATTGCAGCTCGACGTTGTCCTGTTTCTTTGTGGATTGTGCAGAAACAAATGCTACCAGGGTGAGCTGGCCATGAGAAACTATGACTTCCGCAGTGACGCTGAGATCTGAAGGAAGTCTAGCCCTAAGTTGGCTCTCAATCTCACCGAGCTCAACACGTTGTCCGCGCAATTTGACTTGCGTATCCTTTCGCCCAACAAAGACAATGCCTCCAGACCCGTCAGGGTCGTATTTGCCAAGGTCTCCAGTCTTGTAAAGACGGCCACGGCGACCAGTGTAGCCTTTGTGGCCTGCAACGAGCCACGATGGATCCTCGATAAATGCAGCCGCAGTCTTTTCGGGATCGTTCAGGTAACCTTGCCCGACAATGGGGCCTTCGACAAGCAATTCGCCAACAGCACCGACTGGCACAAGAAGTTCGTGGTCGTTGGGGTCCGTGATCCACATGGCCGCTCCGTTGCCCTTACCAATGGAGATATAGTCTCTACCAGTCGCAGCATTGCCGTTGACCGTGCATCCAATCGTGCACTCGCAAGGGCCGTATCCGATGATAATCCGGGCAAGTTTACCCCAGACTGTGCAGTCTCTTGCTGAGACAGCCTCTCCTCCAAGACCGAGACCCTCAAGCGAAGAGATGACGTCTGTGTCTAGGATTCGCGCTACTGATGGAGTGAGACCTGCATAGTTGACTCTCATGTTGCGGATCACGCCGTTGATGTCATTCATTCGATCTTCGTCTGAGGGAATGCAGAGACATCCGCCGTTTCCGAGGGTGAGAAGCATGCTGTCGATGCTGACGTCGAAAGCGTAGGACGCAAAATCGAGTACCCTTGAGTCTTCTGTGTACCCGACCTCTTGAGCTCTCGGAATGGCACTGCTCGTATATGTTTCGTGAGAGAGTTTGACTCCTAGAGACGGTCAATGATTAGTACGCTGACTGAACTCACGACAGCTTTGAAACATCGTACGCACCTTTCGGAGTCCCCGTGCTTCCAGAAGTAAAGATCATATACATCAGGGCAGACGAAGGCACTGGGGCCAATTCAGGGATATTCTGCAGCTTTGAGGGATCGGCAAAAGTCTCCTCGCCAACGACAAAAGGCACACTATCTGGCATGATCATTGTAGCCAGCTCCTGCTGCTTGCTGGAAGACAGCATCATCTTCGCACCCACCTGCTCAGCGATGTTCTGTAATCGTGCAAGCGGAAGCGTCGGGTCCATGAGCACAAACGTTGCTCCTGATTTCATGATTCCCAGAACCGCGACAATTGTCCACCTCGACTTCTCAAAGCACCCGGGAAGAACATCGTGCAGCCGAACACCCAAATCCTTCAACGAGGCCGCAACAAATGAAGAATACCGATCAACTTCTCTGTATGTTAAACTGCCGTCCCAGGAGCAAATGGCCTCTTTATCGGGAAATTTGCGAGCTTGTTCTGATACCATCTCGTGCATGCAGAACTTGTATGATGGAGGCAGAACGTGGTTCCAGCTCCAGATACTCTCTAGGTCGAAGTTGGTCGGGCGCAGGTAGAAGTCCTGGATGAGCGCGGTCGAGTGCGCAATGCATAGTTTGAGAACATCAGTAAGTGTCTCGATGTATCGGGTAACTGTGTACGGCAGCATATTCTCTGTATGCCATGCTGGGCGGATCTCGAGGCGCGTATTTTCGAGGCGGATTTCCAGATGAAGCGCACCCTTTCCCATCAGTTAAGAGCTACCAACGCAAAACCGCGTAACTCACCTCGTCTTTAGCTTCAGCATTTTGCGACAGCGAGTCGGTGCTCAGAATGAGCGAAGTAGGACCGAATATTTCTGTCGCGACTGTCGCAATATGCTCAGAAATCGCAACGGCAGCCTCTCCAACATTACTCTGCAGTCCAATCTTCAAATCCTCCATCGCCAAACGCTTCGGAGAATCCCCGCCTCCAAACGCCCACTCATAGCTAATCTGGCTGCCCTCCCTCGTTCGCAGGAGCGCAATGAGCCAAGACAAAAGTATGAGCTCCTCCTTCAATCCAGTCGCAGTGTTATCTGATCGCAAGTCGGGAATGTCAAAAGACTTAGAGCTGACTCCATTGGGTTGACCTTGATCGAGGAACTCCTCGACCTGAATCGACCCCATCTTGCCGGAGACCAGCGAGGTTTCTGGTCGGTCCCGTTAATGTGTAAAGCTTCGCATGCGGCGGACGGGCAAGATCGGGTTGAGAGCGTTATATAGCGGGCTGCCAAGTTATGGCATTGGGATAGATGCAACCCATTGATTGAATCAAGTCAATTGACCGAGATCGGGTCGTGCAGGAGGTAAGTGGGATGATGTGGGCAACCCCCACTGCGTTAGAGTCGAGAAAGCATCCATGTCTTGAATATATCGCGTAATTCATAGGGTTGACAGCAGTGTAATGCAAATACGCCGCTCTGTCTAGCGTAATACAGCCCGTAACCGCGTACAAAATGTAAAAATCCCTGCATTCTGCTATAATGAGGCCACAGATGGGGCTGGGTGGAGTGGTTGGGTCGCGTAAGCCAGACCTTACTACATTAGGTAAGTGGTTATTAGATAACTTAAGCAACCCCCTTTTATTAAATTTCCACCTAGTATATAACTTACCTTCCTGCATATTCTTTTACTAGTTACTTAAAAAATTATTAAATAACTAATTATTATATTAAATAACTAATTACCATAGTTAATAACTAGTTACCCCTAGCTATATATATAATAACTAGTCTAAAACTAGTTATTAACTAATATACTAATCACGGGTGAAACTAGAGCTTAAAATATAAATTATATTATAACTAGTTATGCTATAACTAGTTATAATTTACCAGGACTAGTTACTAACTAAATATAGGTGTTAAATAAGCTAGAAATTATTATACTTAGTTTATTTTTACACCAGCCTATTACTATATCTTAACTTTAAATATGCTTTGCTTTACTAAAATATCCTAAATTTAATATAATAAGTCTTATTTATATTATTCCTGTACAGGGTAACCTTAACATAAAGTAGTAAGGTAAATTAATAAAACATGTAAGTTTTTTATTTAGTTTTTAACTAAATATTAACTAGTTATAAATTTAATATAGTATAGCCTAATAATATAAAAATTAAATTTCTTGCCTATATTTTAGGCAATAATATTATTATATTTAATATAAATATTTAGGTATCCGGGCATGTGCAAATATATATTTAAATTTTAAAAGTTTTTATTATTTTAAGATTACCACTAAAAACTAAAAAATAATCTAGTAATATTAGCTTCTTGTTAAGGTAATAAAAAATAAAGGGCTAAAAAAGAAATTTATCACATAAGTATATATCTAGTTACTAACTAGTTTATAACTAATTATAATTAGGACCTTTAAGTTAGTTTGGAGCCTTTTTAAAAGGGGGATAGCTTATTAAAATAGTTAGCTTAATACATGTTAGCCCAAAGTAAATATTAAAGGGATAGTATATACCCTTAACTAGATATTAGCTAGTTACTAACTAGTTATTAGCAAGGTATTAAGCATGCCTTATTCTTTATTTACTACCTTAATAAATTATATAAAACTAAAAATAAGCATTACTTTTAGTTTCTTACAGCTAGAATTAATTTTAATATTTTACTTTTAGTATAAGTATATAATAATCCAGGGATTCTTAAGCCTTGTTATTATAATATTTTTAAAAACCTAATATTTTAAAAGCAAAAATATAGTAAGTTTTATTAAAACTAATTATTAACTAGTTACTAATTAGTTAGATTTTTTATATAAAAATATACTTAATATTATATTATAACCTTACTAGGTGTTATTTAATATTATTATTTTTTTTAATTTAAATACATGTTTATTTTTCTTATTTACCTTAACTAGTAAACATGGCCATCCCCCTTTTTTTTTAAATAAGATACCGGAAATCTACTTTTAGGAGGTTAAGTAAATTTTTTGGAATATTTAAAATCTAGATTTAATAGTTAGTAAGTAACTAGTTACCCTTTTATTATATTTAGTTATTAACTAGTTATAGGTCTGTTTTAAAAAAGTCTAGAAGTTTAAGATTTTTATTAAAAATATAATAAAACCTAACTTGCTAAGATTTACCCCTTATTTACTAATTTAAATTAAATATATACCTTAATTTTTAAGGAACGGCTTTTAATATACCCTGGGGGTAAAAGTTTTAATAGGCTTTACTTTAAATAAGCTTAAAATACCTAGCTTTAGGTAAGTTACTTTTTAAACTAGTTTATAACTAGTCCATAACTAGTTAATGTTTAAAACTAACTAAATATAGAATTATATCCGTGAGATATACTATAATAATAATTTTTATATTATTATTTATAAATTAAAGAAGCAAATTTAACTTTTATAATTTTTAAAGTTATTTAAAATTAACATGTTATATAAACATGTGCAAGATAATAGCCTATATAAGGTTATTTTTGCAGTATTTTACAAGCCACATAAAAAGGGTAAGTTTATTAACTAGTTATAAACTAGTTACTAATATTTAATAACTAGTTATTATACTTTTTTAGGCCTTTATAAATTAAGAAAGTACTAAGGCCTATAAAACCTTATTTATAAAGGTTTTTAGGATTATTACTAATGTTTTAGGAAGCCCTGTTAAATTTTATTATCTTTATGGGAGAGAAATTAAAACCCTTGTTATTAATATAAATAATAGGTAAATAAAAGGTATAGTTTAACTAATTTATAACTAGTTATAGTTTAGTTACTAACTAGTTTTACAGGTCTTGGTTAATACCTATTATTAATTAATTTATATTATTAGTATTATTAGTGGCACCTACTTTAACTAGTTATTTTTTATTAGGTTTACTTTTTACGGGGAATTAAAAATACCATTAGCCCCTTTTAAAAAAACTTTACTTTATATAAGCTTATAGCCAGCCTTATATATGCAACTAGTTCTTAATAGTATTATTAAATACTAGCTAACCTATAAAATAAGTAATATTTTTATATATTTAGTTATAAACTAATCCCTAACTAGTTATATTTTTTAGTGCTTGGTAATAAGTTTGTTTAAAATTAGGTATTTTATAAATTCCTTCTAGTAATTACTAGGGGATTAAATAAACATTACTTATAAATACTAAATAAGCTTTTTTAAAAAGCATGTTTAAATATTAATACTAGAGAGTAAACATACCAAAAGTCTTATATAATTATAAAAAAGAATCTTTTTTTAGTTCGCGCTGTATTAAGGTATGTAACTAGTTTATAACTAGTTACTAACTTATTACTAACTAGTTTAATTTAGTACCTATATACTTAATAATAGGAATATACTATAATATATAGCAAGGGAGCTATATGGGGTTTATTATATATATTATAGTAATAACCAGGTTACATTAATAACTTAATAAGTACTTTAAACTAGTAAGTTTTTTAGTATATATATAGTTACTAACTAGTTAATAACTAGTTACTAATAATAACTAGATAGGAAACATAATTAAAGGCTTGCAAATACTAATTTTAATTCTAAAAATATTTTAAGGTTTATACATGCATTTTTAACCCCTGAGCCTAAGATTAAACTTTTATAATTAATATTATTATTAGGTATCCCTTAATAGGGAAGATTAGTTTTAACATAGCAAAGGTTAAATTTTTTTAATTAGTTATTAACTAAATGTTAATTAGTTTATAAACCCAATGCACATTAGGTTGTTTTATTTAATTAAAAAAGTAATTAGTTTAATTAGCTTAAATAGCATGTTTATATATAGCAATAGCAGCTTTAGATTTAGTAATTAAAGCTTTAAAACTAATTTTTAATTATTTAGCTAGCTTATGGATAATTTACAACTAGTTTTAAACTAGTTATTTCTTAACTTTTTTTATAAATACCAGAGGGTATTCTTATTATAACTAGTTTAAAACTAGTTTTTTTACTAATAATAGTGGCTTTATAAACTTTAAATCTTAACTAGGAGCAGGCAGCAGTTATAACTAGTTTATAACTAGTTATTTTTATTTAGTTATTTTCTGGCATATTTACAAGTCCTGGAATAGTTAATCCTTTATTTTAGTTATTACCAGGTAATTTAAATAAACCTGCTAGTAAGGCAGCTGGGATTACTAAGGAGGATAGTTATATTTATTTCTTTTTTATATTATTAGCTAGATAGCTTAACTAGATTTTTAGTTACTAACTAGTTTTGGAATAAATTAGTAACTAAAAGAATATAATTTATTATATACCATGTACTTAGTATATAACTAGTTATAGCTATAACTAGTTACTATGTTATAATTTAGTAAATTTATAAAATAAAGAAAAATATATATAAGGGTACACCTATCACTTTTTAAGGTAACTAGTTATAATATTTAAATATAATAAAACTAGTTACTTTTATAGTTATGGCTAGGTAAGTACTATAACTAGTTAAGTACTAAAACTAGTTTATATATATTATTAATATTTAACTAGTTATAAAGGTAATATATATATTAAGATATATATTAATTCTTTAGTTTAAATAATCATAATATATAGATTAATATATATATAACTATTTTCCCTTATAAATAGTTAAATAATTATATAGCTATAAATACTATTACTAGTTATTTATAATATATTAACTTAATATAATATTATATTTTAATTTTATAATATAGTAATATAACTAGCTAGAAAATAAAATAAACTAGTTAAGTACTAAAGCTAGTTTTACTATATTTCTTTAAAAATAGCTAATTATATTAATAACTAGTTATTATTACTTAAATATATATAACTAGTTATTAGTGCTCACATACYTATTATAACTAATTATATAATATATGCCATAGCTTAAATAATAATATATTTAAGTTTTAAAATATTTAAAATAACTAGTTATGCAATAAATAAACTAGTTAGGTACTAAAACTAGTTTTATTATATATATTTATATTTAAGGATTTCTAAACCAGGTATATACAGAGATATATATATTAATTTTTTATTAATTTAGTCTAATTAATTATAATATATTAATTAATATATTACCAGTTTTTTTATATATAAAATCTCAAGAATATAATTAAGTATTAAAATTATTAAAAGTTTTATATAAATAATAAATATATATATATATCTTTTATTTATATAACTAGCTATATTAATAACTAGTTATCTTTTTATTTTATAACTAGTTATTTATAAATTAATTTAAGTATAACTAGTTACTTTTATTAAAAGATTTAGGGCTAAACTCCTAAATTTCACGCAAGTAAGACTAACTAGTTTAAAAACTAGTTACAAATGTAAAAAATATAACTAGTTAAAGACTAGTTACAAATAAAAAAAAGAACTAGTTAAAAAACTAGTTGTAAATAAAAAAAAAGAACTAGTTAAAAACTAGTTATAAACCAAAAAAAAAAAACTAGTTACTATTATTATTAAGGTTCTTGTCCATAGCCTCTTGCTTTTTTTTACTTATAGGAGTAATAAAATACCTTTAAAAAATATAAGTGTTTAACTAGCCGTAGTTTATAACTAGTTAGTAACTAGATAGTAACTAGCTAAAAAAACTTATATTTAGTTTTTATAAATCTATATTTACTATATTTTTTTTTAAAGAAAGTGTTACCTTTATTTCTTTATGCCTTATGCCTAACACGGGCAATCTTCTTAAAATTAAGCTAATAACTAGTTAATAACTAGATATAAACTAATTAAAAAAAAAACTTACCTTTTTATTTTTTAATAGCAAAGGGAGTAACCCAAGGCTTTTTATACTCTTAGATTTAAAGCGTGTATAAGGGAAAGTCCCTAATTTAAGGCTTCCCCCTTTTTTATAACTAGTTAGTAACTAAATAAAAACTAGTTAAAGATAGGACTTACTGTAATAAGCCAGGGGCAGAAGAAAGAGATTTATTAATAATATTATAGCTAGTTAGTAATTAAATAAAAACTAGTTAAAAATAGGACTTACTTTAATAAGCCAGGGGCAGGATAAAAAAAAGGTTTATTAATAAAGCTATAGCTAGTTAGTAACTAAATAAAAACTAGTTAAAGATAGGACTTACTTTGCTAAGCCAGGGGTAGGAAAAAAAAGAGATTTATTAATAGTTTTATAACTAGTTAGTAACTAAATAAAAATTAATTAAAAATAGGACTTACTTTGCTAAGCCAGGGGCAGGAAAAAAAAAAGATTTATTAATAGTTCTATAATTAGTTAGTAACTAAATAAAAATTAGTTAAAAATAAAACTTATATTGTCTTCGGGCCCTTAAAGCCAGATAAGGTGGGGGTTTTAAAAATAAACATGGAAGTTTTTTTAATACTAATATTAAAAGGGGTATTATTATTTTTAAGGTTTTTATTATAACTAGTTAGTAACTAGTCCATAATTAAATATAAGTATAAAAACTTACATGTATTTTATAAAGCAAGATTTTTTTATTAAAGGCATCTTGGGGGTGGTTAAGGTTATTTTAGGGATGGTTAAAATTATTTTAGGGGTGGTTAAGGTTAAGGTTTTTCTATAACTAGTTAGTAACTAGTCTATAACTAGTTATACTAGGTAAATATACTTTTACTTCTTGGGGGAGTTAAAAACCACCATGTATTAATTTATAATTAATTAGTAACTAGTTTATAACTAGTTATATATAAAGACTTACCTAAAGCTTTTATAATTAGATTATTTAATACTAGGCTATTTTTACATGGTAAAGGACTATAAATAAGCTAGTTAGGCTTAGTTTTATTATAATAGTATTATTTAATATATGTAACTAGGCTATTTTTATTTAAAAAAATATTTTATAACTAGTTAGTAACTAGTTAGTAACTAATTATAAGTAAGAACTTATAGTATTTTAATACTTTAGGGCGCGGTAAATAAGCTTATTAAAATATATAATTAAAATATCTTAGTTATTAACATCCTTAGTTATTTATAGCTAGTTAGCAACTAGTTAGTAATTAAATATAAAGGAAAACTTACCTTTTAAATTTTTATTAGCTTTTATCCCGCGTTAATCTTAATAATATATACCTTGTAGGTATTTAACTTAATAATTTTTTAGCCTATTATGGCGGCCTAACTAGTTACGTAACTAGTTATTAAAAATAAGGGGTAAAGAAAAAGGAATAAAAAGGGGGGGTAACTAGTTTAAAAATGCAGGCTTGGGTAACTAGTTATTAATATATAATTAGTTATTAATAGCTAACTAGTTGTTAAGGGAACTAGATATATTAAGAAAGGAAGAAGTAAAGAAAAAAAAGGGAAAAAAAAAAGGGGTAGGGGGGCTAATTTTAAAAAAACTAGTTATTAAATAGCTAGACTTAAAGAAACTAGTTGTTTAGGGTTATTTAATTATTTAAAATTAAATATATAAAAAAAAAAAAAGTAAAAAGAAATAAGGTAAATAATTATATTATTAATAAAGGCTTTGTGTAAAAAATTTTTTAAGTTTCTAAGTTAACTAGTTATAGCCTAGCTTAGGGTAACTAGTTATAGCCCTGGCTAATATAACTATATATATAATATAGGTTAGATAAGCCGCCTAAAAGCTTGGCAAATGCCTAATCGGGTATAGCCCGACTTGGCACTCGGGCGACCCTACCACCCCACCCAGCTCCATCTGCACCCTCCTGCTATAATTATCAAATTATTATCTCTACAAATTACTCGCCCTCCATACTGGCTTTCTCTTCTCGACAAACGCCCTGACGCCCTCTTGGAAGTTCTCCCCAGCCATCAGCTTGGGATACCACTCATCAACCAGCGCCTGGCTGCCCTCTTCTACACTAGCTCTCTCCCACCCGTAATGCAGTCCCTCCAAGGTAACCCTCAAGCTATCCGGGCTGTTCCTTGCAATCGCGGTCGCCGTTTCCACCGCACTGGCTAGCAGCCGCTCGTGCTCCACCACCCGGTTGACCAACCCCCAACGTTCGAGCTGCGACGCAGGGAACGGCAAACCAGTCAGTGCTATCTCGGCGGCGCGCTGCTTGCCGAGCAATCGTACCAGCCGAGGCAGAGCGCCTGCAACGGCTGCAATCCCGCGCTGCACCTCGGGCAGTCCGAAGGAGGCCTTTTCGCTCGCGATCACGATGTCGCAGTTCACGGCCATCTCAAAGCCGCCGCCGAGACAGAAGCCGTTCACGGCGGCGATGATGGGTTTCGTGCTTCGGCGCCGGGGAAGTCCTGCGAGGCCCGGGGCGGTCATTTTGTTGACGGTACCGCGGGCGTTGAGCTCATTCCATTCTGGCAGCGTAATGTTAGACGCATATATGGATCTTGAAGAGGGGAGTAATACCTTTCAGATCGGCTCCAGAGCAAAACGACTCGCCTGTGCCGGTGATGATTGCGACTCGTAGTGTCGGTTCTTCGTCAAACCATTTCCATAGCTGTATGATGTCCGCGCTCATGGCCAGCGGTATGGAGTTCCGCTTCTCGGGCCTGTTGAGAGTGAGAAGCAGGATCTCTGGGGTAGGGAAGGAGACAAGGCATCCTTGGACTGGAGGGTGTTGCATGTTGGCTGTATTCTGAATGATAGAATCAATGCTAATTGTTTGAAGGTCCCAAGAGTATTAAAGTAGTCCCACGGGTGTCCGGCCATCGGTCGTTCTTCTGGTCCAGGCGCTTCTCCACTCTATGCTCTCCATATATTTGCGCCAGCCCATCCTTCTCTCCTCATCTCTCCAAATCCCCTCAATCTCAGAATTCACAATGGCTGCTGGACAAACATACCCCTGGGTGAAACTCCCTCACCCTTACCTTACCACCTACAAAATCCACATCGTCTCCGAGTCCACCCCCCGCGTACTCCAACTCCGTCTGCACGATTCCCAGGTCCCCGGACAGGCGCTCCCAGAACCGCTCCACAACGACTCATTGACCTACACAGACATCGCCTTCGAGGAGTCTGCGAAGGATATTCCAGACAACGACAACAGCCCTTGGGCACGCAGCCAACGCGCCCCGGGAACTACACTCCAATGGACCGGCTCAGAAACACCTTCGTTCGCACAGATCTGGAACGTTATCCATGCGATCTTCCTCACACACCCCCAGCGCGAGGTTCTCCGCCTGGACATCAAGGGCGCCGGCAGTGAGGTCGTCCGCGAGGAATGTATCCGCACGGGACTAGCTGTCCCATATCCTTCCCCACGAGTTCCGTTCGGCAACGAGAGCAAGCCTTCGGGTGTCGACACGCTCGTCCTGCTGCGCTCATCATTCTGGCAGGGCGCTGGCTCACCTCTTGGCCCACGGCCCATCTGGATGGTCGACCAAGGGACACACGGCTCATCTCGCAAGTCCATCAGCCAATATCCCGCTATGCCCAAGAACTATGAGTTTTCGATGAAATTTCCCCAAGAACGAATCTACGCGCGCCACCCCGTTCGTCCTGCGAAGCCTACTCCGGGCTCGCTTGTCTACAGTCGCTACATTCCGCATTTGGACAAGCACTTTTCGCTCATGGTTGTTGACTGGCAGAACGATGAGCACCTTAGGCGATTCAACCGATGGCAAAACGACCCGCGCGTTGCTAAGGGCTGGAACGAGACCGGCACCCTTGACGAGCACCGCGAGTATCTGCGTCGCCTCCACGAAGACAAGCACGTCCTGTGCTTGTTTGGTCGATTCGACGACTTCGCGTTCGCCTACTACGAAATCTACTGGGCCAAGGTGCGTAACCTGTTATACTTCCCTCTACCCTTATAGATTGAATCCCCTCTAACACCCCTGCTCTAACAGGAAGACCACTATGGCGCACACTACGACGCCGGTGACTACGACCGCGGCCGACACTCCCTCGTCGGTGAAGAAAGCATCCGTGGCGCCGAGCGCGTCAACGCCTGGTGGTCCAGCTGCATCCACTACTGCTTCCTCGATGAGCCGCGAACGCAGTGCGTTGTCGGCGAACCCAAGGCGACCGGTGGCACCGTCCTGTCATACGAGAACGCGCAGGGACTCACAATTCAGAGCTACGTGGATCTCGGCCACAAGCGCTCCGTCCATGTCTTTTGCAGTCGTGAAAAGTGGTTCCAGCTCTCGCCGCTATTCTGGGATGGGCGCGAGAGGCCGCTCGAGAGTTCGGATCGCGCCGCGTGGAATGCGAAGCTGTAAACTACATATTAGACTACTAGATACCTCGGTTGATGATCTAGAATAACGAGAATTTTTGGTTCCGCACCGAAGTCCGATTGCTCCCGACGCCGTAACTGCAGCCTGCAGGTGGTGGGTCTGGCACTGCACCTGGCAGATATCCCGCCCTTGTCCTCGTGGGTTGGTCTGCTGTCCCTGGAACACTTCGCAGTTGGCAGCTCCAAAAACCCAGGGACGTCGTGGCCGGGAACACGAAATCGATAAATCAATAATAAAATTGAATACCTGGAAAATAATGCGGGTCAATTGTGAGTCTGAGACAACGCAAAGATTTCCGTCCACGGGTTCCAACTTCCGGAGACCGGTAGTGACGAAAACACCCCATCCGCCAAGACCGCTGGAGTCAAAGCTGAATGTTTTATCAATCTAATCAAATCAGATAATCAGTCCAAGAAATCGCGTTCACGTTTTCCTATCGACATGGAAGGTTACGACCACGTACAATTCCTCCAGCTCAATTCCTCGCATACTTGCGCATCAGCAATGCTTACCTGGGCAAGAGCACGGCCCCTAGATTGATGCCACTCATGATGGTGCATCTCCAAAAAAAATCCTTCCAGCAACCACGCAAATTGCAATAGTAACCTGCAACCTTAGGGTCGGAGTGGGGTGAAAACTTTTCCCTCGTCTAGCTGCAGAAGTGGCTTTTTTCGTCAGCGGCTTGCACATTCGTATCCAATTATATCCCGTCTTCCTTCTCGAAGAAGCTGATCGCTGTCTAATCAGATGATCAGATAAAATTTCCAGGGATCCAGGCCGTGGTTCGGTTGTCTTGGGTTGCGTTCGGGTGTTCGATCGGCATCACGGCTCCCTTAACCTGCAGACAGGGCAGTCCACAATGCATGTAGCTGCCGTTATTTCTCTTGAAGTCTAGTAGTAGCATTTATTGTTAGCCGGTTAGTTTGCTTCGAGATGCTTGGTTAGCTGATGGTCTTGACTCTCATCACAGTTGTTCCCTTCTCTAGAAAGTTAGGCTCGAACAAGATCGCTGAAACCGAATTGGTGTAGATCCGGTCTCGGTGCCTGACCTTAGCCTTACGCCGTACATACTTGGTACACAGTATCCTTCGACTGTAAACATTGTATTTCGGGAACCAAGCTGTCTTCTGCAGACCCATAAGGAGGGGTAGGATAAACCAGCTTGAGTGGCAGACATTGAATTCTCCTTTGCGCCGTTGCGGGTCTGCCGATGTTGCGGCCGGGCTGTATTCGTAAAACGTGGTATACGCTAGACAGTAACGTTATGCAAATTTCCAAGCTCGGTATCAGATAATTCTGCTATCAATCACATCAGATAAGATATGCGCAGCCATTGAGGTATACCCCCACCACGCTAAGCGAGCTGCGAAGGATTCTTCAAGGGAAGAAATCTATGAGCATGCAGGGCCTCGGCTTGCTCCCCTTCTTTCGAATGCCGTAATGATATTCATATGCGTACCTGAGAATATCCACCTGTCTCATCCCAGTCTTCCGGGCGCACGACGTAGCGCCAGTGGCTCCGCAAGTTCCTGGATTGACACTTGAGCGCGTGTCCGGGCCACTGTCCGCGGGTTCCCGAACAAGATGGATATGATGGCTTCAATTCCAGGTTCCAGATTCCAGGTTGTCCAAGGCGGAGGTTCCGCTGTTTCTGAGGCGATATCGGCGACCACTGACCAGGACCGACCAGAACCACAAGGCTGGTGGGTTTCTGGTTGATTGTTGATGGTTCCGCTGCGATCCGGATCAGATAACTTTACTCGGACATGATCGGGGCGAGAGCTCGGGGCAAGTTCGGTAGCATTGGTCAGAGGGCTTGCGTTTCAGTAGTCCTTGAGAAACTTGTAGAGCATGCGGAAGACAAATAGCTAGAAAGGAAGTGGTTGACGAAGAAGGGGTTAAGTAGGTAGACTAACTGGTTGACCATGAGCAGAGATGAAGGATGAGGTGTTAGAGCTCCCAGGCTGACTCGAGGGCTAGGGCACTCGGACAATCACCCCTTCCACCTCAGTGCACATAGACCAGCAACTGGCGGATATGTAGACTTACAAGTACGGTATATCCCACCGGCGATAGTATAGCATACAAGCTCTTTACACAAAGCCGTATATGCGGTTGGGGGGGGGGGGGCAAGAGTTGGGTGTAGTGCTTTCAATCTATGCTGTTCGCCTGGCACTCAGGAAAACAACAATCCTGTAGGGTATTTTCATATAAAGCCTCTGCTTCGTAAGTCAAGTCAAAGCAAGTGTGAAATATCAAGAGACCTGAGCAGCTCGTTATTGTATTTCCTCTCATTGTTCTATTTTCTTGAATATCAGTGGTCCATAGCAGCATGGATAAATACACATTGGATACTTGCTTATATGAAGCATCATGACTACTGCAGTAGCGGGAAGGATGATTTCCTCAACGTTATGGGCGTGTAAAATTATAGGCTATACGGCAAGGATGCCAATCTTCCTAACTAGAGCTTTTCTATGCACTTGCTTAAGCGTATCACTGAGATGTCTCTCAACAGTAAAGTAGAACTCGTTGAATATAGGCCGCGGTTGGTTTCCAAGAATCATATTCATAACCGAAAGACACATATGCGCCGCAACATTCGCTTCAAGGAAATTTGGCCATGGTCGACATGCAGATTGTTTCAGTATTCGTCGACCTGTGTTCTCATCTTGCCGGTTTTCGACAGAGCGGTACGCAATCTATAAATGACTATGCCATAGCGACGGCCATACTGGGCCATCTTGAAGGACGTGTCGGCATTTATACTGCCTCCGGTTCTGACAAAGGCCTGCATGGTGTCAAAACCAGTCACGACTGTAGGAGTCATGTCGTTCACGGATATACAGAGCAGTGAATATCTGCACCTCGGCATGTTGAATTGGTGGCCTAATGTTTATATCAGACAATGCATTGCGCTTGGCAGTATCATTCTTGATTTCAACTCGGGGGTGCCTTGTGGATGCCCAGATGCAGTGCTGGCCTTATCAGCAGAATCATCTTATTGTGAGATGGCCCAGTTGCAAACCTTTGCATAGAATTATTCGTCCGAAACTGCCTTGAGATATTCTTTATCAGGAAAGAATTGTCACACTCCCTTTGTCGCACTGTTTCTGGCGAGCCTATCACAACTTCCAGTTGTGGATGAAGCCACAAAGAAAGAGATATTTGCGGAGTAAGAGTTGGAAGACATTCAAGACATAAACTAGCGAGACGAAAAAAGCTACGCCCCACTGCCAATGTGACACAATACTATTTCCAGGCATCGAATCGGCCCTCGCGGACCATCGTTGGTGTACCACGCATAAAGCTTGACCTGTCAAGAGGGCCTGTGACTCCAAGGCCGAAGTGATGAGAGGTACTCATTTCTGGTCATGTACTGATACCGGCGACAGGGTTTATACATAGGGTTCTATCTGGACCATGGCCGTCTCAATCAAACGGGTTGAAATTGAGCCTGACGCTTAGGCCTTGGCCTAAGGCCGGACGCCGAATATTAGGTGTGTTTCAAACGATAGATGGGGCATGAGATCATTTAGGTCGATGATGGCCGTAAGAAGCGCAGTTAAGCAGGGAAAAGGAAACGCTTCAAAATCTATCACGAATCGATCCGGCTCTGTGGAACTCTCCTGTGGGCGACTGACGCTAATGTATTCCGAAAGGAGAGAAAGCGCTGACAGATGATGATCATATGGATAAGGTTCCGAGTAGATCCACGGAATCTGAGCCCAGACTGGGGATCCTGGCAGGCTGGGTGCATGTAGTCGGAGTATTCGGACAGCGGCAGCCAAGGTACCCCAACAGGTTAGAAGCTTTCCGAGAAGCTTTCGACGATACACAGTCCACCTGCAGAAGACTTCGGCATTTGCATACCTAAGGCTTTCTTCGTTGCCACTTGTCCTTGATTTTGCAGCATTGTCAATCAGCTCTCTTTTCCGCCAGGCAACCTTTCGGCATCTACCAGGGATCCATGGCCGGCGCCTGCAAAGACACGTAGCAACCCAAATAATGGATAAGCTCCGAGGTCACCGGCTGACAGCTCTGAAAGTCTGATTTGAATAGATCCCGACCTTGACATCCCTGATGGTTTGCCTCATTCTGCCCTGTCTCATCTGCAATAAACGATAATGGGTAACCTGACCCAGTAGACTTTTGGCCTTCCTGCGGACTATCTTTGCGCCCCAGTATGACTCGACGCAGTCGGCAGTCTCATTGTTGTGCAGCAGTAGGTTGATTGTATTTGCAGGGTACCCCCTGGGAGATTGACGATCGGGGGCACCGCTCCTGCCAGCATTACTGCTCGACCAGGCCGGCATTATCTGACCGCGGTGGCTCATGATGCGAGAAGTATTCCAATCTATGTTCAAGCCGCATTATCTCGGCAAATAGGTGCAAATGAGCGTTTGTACTCCGTATATTGGTGCGAGTCGAGCGGATGCCTGAGAGGCACGCTTTTCTCAGTTAGTTATTAGTTTGCCCCAATATTTCCAGGGAAGAACATGTGATATGCGGATGTGAATGAAATATCTTGAAAGGAAAAGTAGACAAAGTCCATCAAGTTCAGTCACAAATTGTGAAGACGGAAGTAGAGGTAACCTTTCGGTCTAAACCTTGTTAGGAAAGCAAAGAGCTTGCCCCCCGGCCCCGGCCCCAGCCGCGGCCCAGTGTTTGGCGCGTCTCGACGCGTTTCGCAAGAACTGACCTCATTCATTCCACTCTATCTGAACACACCTAAACTGGGCCGAATTCATACTCTCATAACTTGCGACCATGGCCCCGCGCGACGAAACTATCCCCGACATCCCTGACGAACCGCCCGCTGAGACGGATCTGTACCAGATTCTGGGCGTCAAGGAAGATGCCACCCCAGAGCAAATTAAATCAGCTTACAGAAAGCTAGCTTTGAAACATCACCCTGGTACGTGATATTTTTTATCCCGTAAGGCGGTGCTAGATATCCGTGCTCGGCAGCTAACAGGGAAAAGACAAGGCCCCAGCAGATGCCAGAGAGGAGGCAAATCAACAATTTCAGAAGATCGCGTTCGCCTACGCAATCCTGTCTGATACCCGCAAACGACAGCGTTTCGATCTGACCGGTAGCACTGCGGAAGCAGTCGATTTGGATGACGACTTCGACTGGGTGGACTTTTACCGGGAACAATTCTCGACCGCTATTGACACAAACGCTCTCGCGACGTTTAAGAGTGAATACCAAGGATCAGAGGAGGAGAAAAACGACGTGCTCACTGCCTATGAGAACTACGAGGGCGATTTAGACCGGGTGTACGAGTCGGTGATGCTATGCAACGTTTTAGATGATGACGATCGCTTCCGTGCCATCATCGACAAAGCTATTGAGAACGGGAAGGTTGTGAAATACAAGAACTACACAGATGAGCCGGAGAAAAAGCGACAACAGCGCTTGAAGCGTGCACAGAAGGAGGCGAAAGAGGCAGAGAGGCTAGCCAAGAAGCTGGAGAAGCAGAAGGAGGCGGGCAGTGCAAAAGCGGGGGCGCGGAAGGGCAACAAAGGCGGCGCGATGGAGACTAATGATTTGGCAGCCTTAATCCAGCAGCGTCAGGCGTCTCGCGCCGAGTCATTCTTCGATCGACTAGAAGCGAAGTACAATACTTCAGGGAAGAAGCGAGTGGCGATGGATGAGCCTCCAGATGAGGCTTTCGAAGCCACTGCTGCACGACGGAGCTCAAAGAAGACGAAGTCCAAGGCAAAGGCATAAAGGGACCGGGATAAGGCATCGAATTGGGTCATGGTTTGTCATATTTGGCTGGGATTGGGCGTATGGTACATGGGAGTTCACACTGCATATGCACTGTTTGGGATAGTCTAGCTAAAATTCATGGTTTGTCATGCATGATCTTCATGAGGTTTTCGATCCTTCTACTGGTGATACAAATACCTCAATACGGAATATTTGCCTTCGCCCAACTCTAGGTTCGTCTCAGCCACATCACACGACAGCAAGCCCCGTCAGTCCCTTTACCGTCAGTGACTCCATGACTCCGTAGATCATAACTCTTGTGATTGCGGATGCCTGAATGGTGCTGTGCGTCATTTCTACTGCATTCCAACTATTGATCGACTAGGAAGGGAGCTGCAGTGACACCTTTTGTCCGACAATTGAGGCCACTTTTTCTCCGCCTCCCTGAAGCTGATCTGCCCAAGCTAACGAAAAGATGCAAGGGAGCCGGGGAGATGTGTGGACACTGGACAACGTTGAATGAGGGTGGCCTACTTGGCTCTATACCCCGCATGCCGAGCTCGAAGGCGATCCATCCTGTTTCCCCATGCGAGCTTCAGATTCCCCGCGATGATTTAACTTGACTTATCCCGCCTGACTGTTTTCCTTCTCGCTTCCTCTTCCACCTTTTGTCTTCCATACTAAGACGGCCCTGCTGCCCTTCCTTGGAAACTACTGTCTCCGTCCTCGTCCTCACCCGACATTCGAGTCACAGCAAAGATCATTCGCCGTGATTGGCAGGGAATCTTGCAGGAATCTTGCCGCGGCTTGATTTGCAGCAAACTATCGGCTCCGTCGAACCACTCTTCACCCGCGGTGTAGGAGCCAAGGACAGGCCAAGCCGGAGGAAACTCACAGAATAAAGGAAGCCCGATAGGTTGTGAGGCTATCGCGTGCCCGCGGCGACCGGGATTGTGTCCCTACGCTGGGTCTAGATCCTTGATATTCACCAGTTTTTTTGCACGTGGAGGAGATTCCCGAAACCCTCTTTCAGCTTGAGTTACGGTCTGTTAGCTGCAGCCTAGCTTGCTTGCCCAGCATTGGGCATATATCAGACTTGATACCCCCACCTAGCTTCAATAATTCGTCCAAATAACTAGGTAAAAAAAGTCCGAGCTTTTACATCTGAAGCTCCAGCTTTCGTGGAACTGACAGTCGACATTGAGATAGCTCTCCACAAGATACAGCTTTATCGCTGTGTCGCTGTGAGGTCCGTTCTCCACAGCTCTTCAACAGCCGTGGGCGGCGCCACCCACCAGAATGCCCTCTAATCGCAGGCCCGGCGGGCTCGCCGCTGCCCTCGAAGAAGAGCGCCTAGAGCTTGCCTCTGAGCACCGCAGTTCCTCCACGCATCGCAACTCGACAACGGGCTATGCACCTCCAAGACGAAGCATACTCGACACCGCCACTGGTCCCTCTCCCGGGTTTATCGCCCCACGCCATGGTTCCATTGCGGGCATCGGTGTTGGCGTAACTCCGCCCGCTGGACGCGGCTACCAGGATTCGCAATCTCCCCAAACCTCGTCGCCGCTGCCGTCGCCCCCAATGCCGAATGAATCTACTGAGACACCCTCGTCTTCAGCCTCTTCGACACCATTATCCACACCAGTAACGACTCCCAAGGCCCCGTATACCAGTTTGAAAACCGCCCCTCCTCCTCTCAAGCGTCCGGATCCGCCGGCTACCAAGGGCAAGGAAAAGAGCGGTGATAAAAAGACAAACTCTCCAGAAACAAGAAGGCCAAGCATCCGTTGGGACTCGGGCGTCGATATGCCGCCCAGTGCTAGTGGCTCGAGGCGATTCGGTCCGCCGGAGAAGGCCCCTAGGTCGCTTCCTGGTAAAAATGCCATGGCGGCAGTGATGTCTGGATTCGATCTGAAGGTCGGGTTGCCGAGTTTTAGCAGAGGTCGGGACTCTAGTCGGAATGCTTCGAAGAGAGGTACTTCGTTAGATTCGCACCTTCCTTCCCCGGCCAGGAGAGCGCAATCCGGCTCGCCCGCGCGCCGCCTGCCTAACTCCAGCCTTCGCACCCCGGTATCCGACACTCCTAAACCCGCGGCCGATAAGACAAAGGAAATCAAAAGCGAAGGTACCGACGATAAACTTCTCCAGCTTCCTGCATCTCGCCGCGGGTCTACCGAAACGGATGCTAGAGGCTCTGCGTCTGGAGATGAACGATTGTATGACAGCGATAACAACGCCTCTGAATCCAGCGAAGAAGAGGAGGATTCCTCTTCGAGCGGTGACGAATCCAGCCCTGAGAGTAATACTGAAGAGGTGAAGCGAGGTCGGAAGAAGACGCCCGGCCGAGGTTCTTCAGCGGAAGATTCGAAGACAGCTTCGGATGAAACAAGTATGTGATTTATATATGCTTCTTCCCAAGAACCTAACACGAATCGTCCCTTGGCTGGTTTCAGTGTAGCTAAACTAACCATCCGTATAGACGACGAGCAAACCAGATTCAAAGGCCCGGAATTGATTCACTCCTCAAAAACTGGCCCCATGCCGAAGTCGCCAGAGGTCCAGCTCCAAACGGGCTTCGATCCTCCATCGGTGCTCAATACGCCCTTTGGCTCCGATGATGAAGCAGAACTATCTGACATAAAGCGTGCTCAGAAGCTCAGCATTCAAATGTCGAGTATTGACAATTCGGTCCGCAACCGATCAATCAGGACTATCATTCGTGGGGACTATACCAGCATGCAGGAGGATGCCGAGGGAGGTCGGCGACGGCAACGAAAGTATCTAGTCACGACGGATCTCAGCGAAGAGTCCGTGTATGCGCTAGAATGGACAATAGGAACGATCTTGCGAGATGGCGACACCATGTTCGCGGTTTTTGCCATGCACGAGGAAACCGGTACGCAAATCGGTGAGGGTTACAAAGCGACAGAGGATGTTGCCGCCGTTGTCGGGTCTCAAACGGCCGAAACTGTTCAAAAATCACAAAATGACTCGTCAAACCTTCCTCGGGCCCTCTTCAATCGTCTGGGTTCTGGAACAGATAGCAGGCCTGGCTCGGTTGATGCGCGGAGAATGTCCAAGGCGGAAGCCGAACGTGCACATGCTGTTCACCTCATCTCGCAAACCTGTGTCCGACTTCTGAGGAAGACATTACTCCAGGTTCGGGTTGCTGTCGAAGTGATACACTGCAAGAGTCCCAAGAATATTATCACGGAAGCTGTACGTCTACTGCCTCTCGATACTACACCCCTTCGCGCTAATATCTTGCTTTAGATCGACGGGCTGGACCCTACACTCGTGGTCGTTGGGGCAAGAGGACGAGGTGCGCTGAAAGGGTAAGTCTCAGTATTCGCCATGAACTGGAGCAGAGCGACTAATGTGTTCTTCAGTGTACTTTTGGGGTCATTCTCAAACTATCTGGTTCAGAATTCGTCTGTTCCGGTCATGGTGGCGCGAAGGAAGCTGAAGAAGAAATCAAAGACGAATGTGCGCCTTTCCAACAACTTAACGGCACCGAAGAAGCTTGCGGCAGCAAGAGTAGACTAGCGAGGCATTATTACTTGACGACCTGTTTTCTATTATCTGCATCCGAATACCATCATGAGTCGATGAACTGGCGCATAAACTGGAATGGGAAGGGCTATCTTAATTTGTTCTGCGGAAGGTTCTAACTTGCATATCCAACGTGTATAAATATGACATTACCTTAATGAGAATGACTTGATGAAATGATAAATATGTGTTGGGCTGTATACTTCGTAGCTACATAGTTAGTTGCTCCAGCTATGATGACACATCACGTGGCTCCGTCCTCTCCGCCAACTCGACAGCGACGCCAACGCAACTTCCCCGACGGTGACGGACGGCTTCAAACCAAGCTCTCCTCTTTATTTCCTGCCCTGTTACTCTCTCTCGGCTCTACTTGTTTCTGACCGGTGCTCGCCCCGGTTTCCTTCAGCCATGGCTGACACTCTCGACCCCCGAATGACCTCCGTCCAGCCACGCATTCGCTACAATACCATCGGAGGCATCAACGGCCCCCTCGTTTTCCTCGACAATGTCCGTATACCTGCTTGCAAGCTCTACCTTCTTTCTTGCTTGCTGGTTTATATTCGGCTGTAATTTAGAACCTAATAGTCTGCTCAACTAGGTCAAATTCCCCACCTACAACGAGATCGTCTCGTTGACCCTGCCTGATGGAACTGAGCGGTCGGGTCAAGTTCTGGAAGCTCGAGGTATGCTCTCCTTGCATTACGGGATGCTGGTATGCGTATAAAGATTCTGTATAGCTAATCGTAGCTTCCTTAAACAGGAAACCGAGCTATCGTCCAGGTGCGCAGCATACGACAGCCGTAGCGAGTGAGCTTCTTGGCGGAGTACTGACGTCGATTGCGATCACTAGGTATTTGAGGGCACTTCAGGTATCGATGTTAAGAAGGTATGATGCATCGGCAACTCTGTTGTTGTTGAGGTTGGGAAGGGACCAGCGCTGACGTTGATCGCCTTGGTAGACCAAAGTCGAGTTCACCAACCACAGCTTGAAGCTGGGTGTCTCCGAGGACATGCTGGGCCGTGTCTTCGATGGTTCCGGTCGTGCTATTGACAAGGGTCCTAAGGTGTTGGCGGAGGACTACCTAGATATTAACGGTCAACCTATCAACCCATACTCGAGAGTAAGTCTATCCGACACCGAAGTATTGAGAGCGCTGGCGGTAACGGCGTGCTGTACAGGTGTACCCCGAAGAGATGATTTCCACCGGTATCTCCGCTATCGATACGATGAACTCCATTGCCCGTGGACAGAAGATTCCCATCTTCTCCGCTTCCGGTCTCCCTCACAACGAGATTGCTGCTCAGATCTGTCGCCAGGCCGGTCTGGTCAATCGGCCGACGAAGGATGTCCATGACGGCCACGAGGATAACTTCTCCATCGTCTTCGCTGCTATGGGTGTCAATATGGAGACTAGCCGTTTCTTCACTCGTGACTTCGAGGAGAACGGCAGTATGGAGCGAGTGACACTCTTCCTGAACTTGGCCAATGACCCGACGTAAGTATCCTGCGCTGATATGGTCGATTTGTCATATATCTAATTGAATATGCTATAGAATCGAACGTATCATTACGCCTCGTCTGGCATTGACCACGGCTGAATACTACGCTTACCAGTTGGAGAAGCACGTTTTGGTTATCATGACTGACCTGTCGGCCTACTGTGACGCTTTGCGTGAAGTCTCAGCTGCTCGAGAAGAAGTTCCGGGTCGTCGTGGTTACCCAGGTTACATGTACACTGATTTGTCCACCATTTACGAACGTGCTGGGCGAGTGCAGGGCCGAAATGGCTCCATCACTCAGATTCCCATCTTGACCATGCCTAACGACGGTAAGCTGGGACATCAGGCCTATTCCGTCGTAAGCACTGATTTTTTATATAGATATCACACACCCTATCCCCGATTTGACGGGTTACATCACGGAGGGTCAAATCTTCATCGACCGTCAACTGTACAACAAGGGCGTTTACCCTCCCATCAACGTCCTACCCTCCTTGTCCCGTCTGATGAAGTCTGCCATTGGCAAGGGCCGTACTCGTGACGATCACTCCGATGTCTCCAACCAGCTATACGCCAAGTATGCCATTGGACGAGATGCCGGTTAGTGATGTTATTCTCATGCCCAATAAACCAGCAAACTAATTCCTCTTGAAACAGCCGCCATGAAAGCCGTCGTCGGAGAAGAAGCCCTCTCCTCTGAAGACAAGCTCTCCCTTGAGTTCCTCGACAAGTTCGAGCGCACCTTCATCAACCAATCCGCTTACGAGTCCCGCTCCATCTTCGAGTCCCTCGACATCGCTTGGAACCTCCTCCGCATCTACCCACCCCACCTTCTTAACCGTATCCCCAAGCGCGTCCTCGACGAGTTCTATGCTCGTTCTGGCCGTAAGATTCCTAACAAGGATACGCGCGACAACTCGGTTCCTGAACAGGGGCAGGACCAGACCACGGATCTTATTGAGACTTAGATGAGCACGAGTAAGGAGTTGCTTATATCTCGTTGATTGATTGTGGCTGTGATATTATTGATTGATATCCTTCTGATCTCTTGCGTCTTGTCTGTGCTGTCCATACATAAGCCATACACTATCTTACCGTTCAAGATATAACCCAGTTGCCGTCTTTGTATAGTGACTATACTAGTTTCAGGCGAAAGAAGAGAGCAAATTGCACAAGATACGTAAATTCATTTCTCTATTGAAGACAATGTCGCTTTTGAAGTGGACTATACATCTAGGACACGCGCAACGACGGGGAATCTATACATAGATTCTATTATCCAAAATTTGTACTAAACGCTTTGTATCAGCATTGTGTTCTTCATTTCATTTCGCACTCGTCATTGGCTTAGAACCGCAAGTCCCAGCCAATCTGAGGACCCAGCTTGGGAAGGGACTCGGCAACGCTCTCAACGTCCTTGTCACCTCTACCGCTAACGGTAAGAACAATGTCCTTGCCCTTGCCCATAGTCTTGGCCAACTCGATAGCACCCCAGATGGCGTGCGAGGACTCAAGAGCGGGGATGATACCCTCCGTCTGGGCCATGGTGCGGAAACCAGAGAGAGCCTGAGCGTCTGTGGCGGCAATGAAGTGGGCGCGGTCGCTGTCCTTCCAGTTACTCAGTTCGGGGCCGACACCAGGGTAGTCGAGACCGGCAGAGATGGAGTGAGTCTCGGAGACCTGTCCGTGCTCGTCTTGCAAGATGTAAGTGCGGACACCGTGGAGCACACCCTTGCTGCCGCCTGAGAGGGTAGCGGAGTGGCGGTTTGTGTCAATACCGTCACCGCCGGCTTCGACACCGAGAAGCTTGACGCTGGTGTCCTTGGAGAAGGGGTAGAAACTGCCGACGGCGTTACTGCCACCGCCGACACAGGCGACGACGGCATCGGGCAGCTTGCCGATTTGTTCTTGCAGCTGCTGCTTGGCCTCGTCGCCGATAACGGACTGGAAAGTGCGCACGATCGTAGGGAAGGGGTGAGGACCGATAGCAGAGCCAAGTATGTAGTGGGTTGTGTCGAGGTCAACCACCCACGCACGCATGGCCTCGTTGACAGCGTCACGCAGGGTTCGGCTGCCAGCATCGACTGCAACGACAGAGGCACCAAGTAGTTTCATACGGAAAACGTTCAGTGCTTGACGACGCACATCCTCCGCGCCCATGTAGACAACACACTTCATGCCAAACTTGGCGCAAACGGTCGCAGTGGCAACACCGTGTTGCCCGGCGCCAGTCTCTGCGATGATTCTGGTCTTTCCAAGTCTCCGCGCAAGGAGGATCTGACCCAGAGCGTTGTTGATCTTGTGACTACCAGTGTGGTTGAGGTCCTCACGCTTCAACCAAATGTTAGCACCTCCGACATGCTCGGTCAGACGGCTTGCAAGGTGAAGGCTACTGGGGCGTCCCATGTAAGGGTAGTATGAGCGATACTCCTCCCAGAAGGAAGGGTCCTTAAGAGCACTGTCGAAACCCCGCTCCAACTCGGCCAGGCAGTCCATCAGAGACTCGGGGACATACTGTCCACCGAACTCACCAAAACGCGCAGGCGTTGCGCCAGGGTTTCCACCACCGTTGAGAGCTTCGAGTTGGTCACCCAAGCCAGGGCCGGAAGGCGTATCCTTCTCCGTGATAACGTCCGTAGGCTGAGACACAGGGGGCGTTTCGATCTTCAAAACGGGTTCCAACACGTTCACCTCACGAGTCAACGCACCCGCAGTATCTCTTTCCAATCGGCGACCAGTGACACTGGAGAGGTACTCCTCGGCTTTCTGGGCCGCCTGACCAGCAGGGGCCTGACCAAGAACAGTGATGATCTGGCTACCAATGACGACGCCTTCGGACATTTCCTGGACAGAAAGGAAGTGCTCGCGGGTGCTGACACCGAATCCCAGCGCGGTAGGTACGTTTCCAGACCACTTGTGGACACGGGCGAGAAGTTCGGGGATGTTCGAGCTGAGCTGTCCGGTAGCACCAGTCACACCCATTCTTGAGACAACGTAGATAAAGGAATCGGCGATCTTGCACAGAATCTTCATGCGAGACTCGGACGTGGCGGGGGCGATGAGTGGGACGTAAGAAAGACTACCACCCCGAAGTCAGCTCAATTCCATGTATATGAGTCGCGTAAGTCATACCCCGTGCTTGTGCAAAGATCTCTGAATCGAACGGCCTCCTCCGGAGGAAGGTCGACCATAATGAAACCATTGACACCAACCTCCTTGCAGTCCCTGAGCATACGCTCCTCACCGTAGCTCAGCATCGGGTTGTAGTAGCCCATCAGCATAATGGGTGCCTTGAGGCCGCGGTTTCTCGCGTTGCGGACCATCTCTAAAACGGTGGAGACTGTGACACCGTTGGCAAGAGCCTTTGTGTTGGCCTTCTGGATAGTAGGCCCATCGGCAATGGGATCTGTGAAGGGAACGCCCAATTCGATGATGTCTATCCAATTGATCCGAGAATGTCAGTTTTTGCTGGCAAAACCGGGAGTGCGACAACGGTGGCGCGATGAGTCAATTGATTTCGGAGGAATATGCTTACCAGCACCTCCATTTTCAAGTCCAAGAAGGATATCTACGGCCTCTTCAATTGTGGGATAACCAGCTGTGATGTAGGCGACGAGAGCGGCACGCTTCTCCCGCTTGACCTTCTCGAAGGTGGCCTTGATGTGCTCCATGATGGAAGGTGGGGGTGGGGAAGAGGGGAGCAAAATATCGGGGGGAGGAGAGGGAAAAGGAATGGAGAGAGGATGAACGGAAGGTTATGAAACTTGAAGGACAATGAGTCCAGATCGAACTTGAGCGGGCCAATTTAAAAGAGCGGCAGACAAAAGAAAGGTGAAAGCTGCGTTGACTCACCCTTGCTCTGCGCATGGAAGCGACTCCGAGGGACTCAATGAAATTGCTGGTCAGGTGACGTTGGTGGCGATAAGATAAGAATCTAGCCGATACCGGCCAAAAACTGCTCTACATTATATAGAAGAGTAGAATTTGAAGAGCATTGGAGAGGAAGGTGAGTTCTCGAATCACTATTATTGGGTGAGATAGACACGAAGTACTATAGTACTGGTCACTTGGTAACACAGCCTTAGAGGTAGAAACCAAACAACTGTCAGAAACGCCAAAGCTATGCAGCGGAGAACCCAGCCAAAGATCAATAGAACAATTAAAGATCACTAACAATCAAGAAAGCACAAAAAAGCAGACATGGTATCCCAAATAAGAACGCGTTCCACACTTTTCCAGCCCGTAATGGTATCCCAGTCCTGCGAGGTGATAAGGAAAGACAGCAGCGCCACCCATGCAGCATAGTTGTACATGTATCGTAAAGGAATGGTATCTCAATGCCCCGTATATGCAAAACCAAAGGAATGGATAACAGATCATCTATAATGCATCATGTCAAAACGTATAAATCAGAAAACAGGGGGCATCAAGACATGAGAGTAGTAAAGGAGAGACGTGAAATCGTTGCGAATAGTCATCAGAACCATAGCCGGACAGAAGCTTTCTGTATGCAAGACGTAAATAACCAAGCGCGCCATGGTATCAAATGAAGGAGTGACGAAAAAAATGTAAATATAATATGCAAAATGGTATAACGCCGATGAATGCAATCAGCTCGAAACACCTACTCGGCTCCCTAATGTCCCTGATGGTGACCGGGCATAGAGTAGGTCATCGGAGGCATGTAGTTGTAGTTGCCAGGGTTCGCGTTCACGGTCGGAGCCGTGGCCAGTGGGTTAACTTCCCAGCTCCTTGTGGCCGGCCCAGTGGGCGCAAGCTGTCCCGGATGGCAGACGGTAGTGTAAGAGTATGGCGCAGTGATACTCGAGTATGGTTGGCTGACAGTGGGTAAGATTGTTCGCACTGGTCCTTCGGCTTCAGTTGGAGGGGAGTAGACTGGGGCTGCTATGCCTGGGTGATAGCTGCTTGAAGGCGTGCCTTCGGACATCGACTGCGGAGAGGCAGCACTATGACCATCAGCTCCAGAATCGGACGCCGGCCCGGTACTGGGATAGTTTGATCCGATGGGAGTGGGAAGAGCCCCAGCGGTAGAGGAGTAGCTGGCGGACTAATCAATGTTTACGTTAGTAGGAGAACGACTTGATGTTTGATGTAGCGGCTACTCACATATTTGCCAATGATCTTCTTCAAAGCATGGCCCAGGATCTTCCAGGGAAAGACCTTGACATCCTTCTCAATATTTCGCGGCTTCGGTGCGGGGAATCCCATGATAACCTTGAAAAACTCTTCGCTGTCTGCTTTAGATTTCGATACGGTAAGAGGTCTGAACCCTTCCAAGTTACGTCGAATACGGTTCTTCTCCTCCACTGTGAAGCGGACTCCAACGAGCGATTCAAGAAGGTAAATGGTATCCACACTCGTGATGAAACACTCATCCTTGCCTTCCCAGTAAATGCAGCTTATGCAGATGCTATTCGGTGCGCGTTCTTCGGGGGTAACGGGCTTGAAGTCAGCGTGGATAGTGGTGCCACTCTGCATGCGGGTGAATTGGACCAGACGGCGCTGAGCAATTTGCTCCTCCTGAGTCCAATTTTGGGTCATCGTGTTCATGTCCCCATTGAGCTTCAGGATGGCTTTTGACGGATACATAGCATAGGGGTTGAATGTCTGTGTTTGAATCACAGCAGGTGCTTGCTGTAGGGTGGAGGTACGGATGAGAGTAGGGTTCGAATGGCTTGCCGGGGATGATGGCTTTGGCTGGCAAACACCACGTCCGACGGCGTATCCAGAAGTTCTCGGATCGTGGTTAACCGAGAGAAAGGATGAGTTCCACGAAGGTGCCATGGGAGAAGGGGCGCGGATAGAAGGTTGCGAGTTCGTCGATACAGTCGTATACTGCGTAGGGCCGATGCGAGGCGAAGAATCTGTGTGATATGAGGTAGCATATCCGTTCATGGAAGGAAGCGGCTGCGAATACGGCGAGTAAGGCGCAGCATAGCTTGATGTTTCCTCCTTAACCTGCACCGGAAGGGTCGACGCGCGTTTGATTGGCCTGGAGAGGTTATCGGCAGAGAAAGACGAAATCCGCCTCTTCCGACCCTCGTCAGACGGTGACTGCTGTCCGGCATGCTCATATGTGTAAACGCCCACTTGGAGGGTCGTAGCTGGGCATTCATTTTGGCCGCGCATGGCAACCTGAAGAGGAACCGCCAGGGAGGGTGAGCCCGTGGACATAAACGGAGGGGTATCCACAGAGAGAGCATATTGGAAGTAAGAATCCCGGAATCCCACAAAGTGTGGATTGCACTCGCACTTCTTCGTTCCAAACACGATGTACAGCGTTGCGTAGGGTGTTGTGTGAAGATCGTAGGGAGACTGGAGTTGCACGAAGACTCTGGTGCCTTCGGAGCCTCTCTGTGGCGAGTACGAGAGAACCTCTGGCAACTGGCAAGTTTCCACGGGAATCACAGGGGTCTGCTCATCCTCGTAGGAGCTAGCATACTCGGGTTTCGCCATGTATGGAACGCAATCTGACATCTGACTTATATGGTCGGTCATTGGAGATGGGGCAAGGGGAGTGGACATATAAACGGGCTGGCCGTATGTAGAATAGGAGGCGCCATCCTGCAGAGATTGGGCGGAATCGCAATCTAAGACTAACATTAGTATATCCATTTCCCCGTCTGCCACAGAAAATTGGAGGAAGGGACTTACCTAGCACAGCCGCTTGTGAGAGTCTTTGGAAACCAGACATAGACAAGGAGGGTTCAGACTTGGCCAAGAGGCCGCCTGAAAATACGTCAAAAAAGTGGGACTCTTCAGGATCTGAGAACTCCAAGGTCTCGTCTAGAATCAAGGGCGTTTGGAAGTCCGGGTCGAACTATGAATCAACCAAGTATTAGCAGATGTCGTACGTAGCAGAGATTCGAACGAGCAAGGTGGGAACCATCCGTTCTCCCAGCGAGACAAGGGTTGAATCAAGACTCAGATTCCGAGCAGCCGGGAGGAAAACAGAAGAAGGCAGCAACAATGGTCATTGGGTAGAAGGGGAGAAACAAGAGGGCGCATCTGCACTCACCAGAACACCGTGTGTCTTCGAGTAAGCCAGCTTGAAGGTGTTGCAGAACCTGCAACGAAACACAACAACCTAAAGAAGCGAATGACAGCGAATTTATTCAGAGGCAAACGATAGTGCGCCGGAAAACCTGCAGTGTCTCCTCCGAGACAAAGCGAGCGACGACACGAAGCGAGTGAGAAGAGTGGAAATGACGACTTTGGATCAGTGGCAGGTGCCCAACGATCAAGACCGAAGTTTGTGAAGGCTGCTTGCAGATTGAGAACCAGGCTCAAGCCACGCTGCTGAAAGATATTTCAAAAGCACCTATAGGAAGCCGATTCCCAGCTGAAAGCGAGATTATGGTCTCAATATGGCCAAGCCCAACGGGAGCAGAGTGGACGTCCGTGGCCGGGTTTCAGAAAAGCGAGCGGATATTGGGAGCCGAACGGAGACGGAAGGGCTTGACGTTATATCTCGTCCTCTTTCGTCTTTCTCAAAAGAAATAATGGGTTTCACCTGTTACCCAGGTCGACAAGTTTCAAAAATGAATAAAAATCGGGCGATGAACTACCCGCCTTGTGAGTACGAACCACACACACCTCTTAAGGCGATAAAATCGGATCGCTGCATCCACCAGCAAGACTCACCAGAGAGCTGATAATGAATCAAGTCCGTCACCGGGGTCTCGGTATGCTAATATGCAAAATGCTCACGATAGGAAGCGACTGACGAAACGCACTGCAACAGAAAAGACGTCAACAATAAACGCCAACCCTAAATGACGATCACAAGGGGAAGTAAAATTGCATGAGAACCACCGCTGACACTAATCTCGCTCGAGGTCCCTTTCTTTCAAGGCACGATTTGGGTCAAGCAAGGAGGGTAAATGAAAGGAGATACGAAGGAGAGCGGATGCAAGGCACCACAGCCTTCAGTGGCGAGGGAAAGGGACTCCGTTCACTAACCTTAACAAGCAAAGGGGGCTCAGGCAAGAGATCTTTTGCTGTATTCTGTCAGAGTTGGTGTGCTCAACCGAGACAAGGCTCCACGCCAGTTGGGTCCAGATCGAACCCTTCCAAAGGCTGGCGAGAAGACAGCAGTATTGGAGGATTCACGAACCTGAGATCCACTCTTCCGAGAAAGTTGAGACACTTGAGAAGCTCAAGAACGATGACGACAAAGTGCAGATGGTGGTGAGAGGCGCGATTTGATGATCGTTTCAGTTGCACCGTCCACGGAACAAACGGTGTTGCTCTACAGCCGGAGGCTTGAGATAACAACAAACGCGCAGCTGCGTGGTCCACGCCAAACAGGAGATACCGACTGAGGGCACTGATTCGAGAAGCGAGTTCTCGAGGTGTTGTCCTGGTCGTCTTCGACAAATAGGGAAGCGGGGGGAGTCACGGGCGAGCCGTAAGCGAAAGCAACAGCGAGTGATTCAACGATGAGCGAGCGCGTTGATATGCGTGATTAGATATTAAAGTATCCAGCCGTTTCTTCTTTTCTTCCAATAGTCCTTCCGATTTGCAAAGTTTGAAACCGAATCCAAATTCCAGTGTTGTCTCTCCAAGCGTCTTAGATCAACAACACAACACCAAGGTAGCGAATGTAAGATTACTTCGATGCCAAACCAAGCGAGTGTGATAGCGAGCGAATGTAAAGCGAGTGAATAAAAGAGACGAGGATATTGAGCGTATCTTTAATTTGCCATAACAGAGGAAGTTATGTGAGGAGGGGACGGTAGATGAGGAGAGGTAGAGTTGGCGGCGGAGTGGAAGGATTTAAGGTGACCAAAGCGAGTGAAGGTACCCAGAGGCTGATGGATAAAATAGGAAAAGGAAAAAAGAAAAGAGGAGGACGAGAGAAGTTATAATAATGATTAAGATCCCTTTTTCGCACTAAGCGTGGTCAGAGAGCAGAAGAGCAGCACTGGGCGGAGTGTGGCGGGGGCTCCAGGATGGGAGACCGTGACTCGAGGATTTGCGGCTTGCACTCGACGGGCAGACAGACAGACAGATGCATCAGATACGGATCTTACAAGTTATATTATCTCTATTAATCTGTTCCTCATATATTTACTGCTATTATTCTGAACTGGGCGAATGACAGCAGCCACCCTCGGACCAGCAGCAGGCAAGCCATGGGCCATGGCAGCAACTCAGCCTCTACCCAGGGACGGGATGATCAAACCTCTTCCTCTTCTGCCCACAATGATCCCACTTCCACTCCCACTCCTCGGCGACTCCCCATCTTGGATCCATAAACGGTGGTGAGGTCACGGGTGGCGGAAGGGCGTTGGGCTTGCAGGAGTCGGACTCGGATAATATCAGCATTACCTACAAAACAGTCAGGTTTATTATTAGACAGGAACTTGTGCTCAAAACAGACTAGACCGGAATCTCTGGCAGTTCGGACTTCCAGTTCACTCGGTTTAGGCGGCCCACGCCGCCCTGTACAGTGGACCCTCTAAAAGGCAGCAAGAAACCACTCAGCGCCGGAGAATGCTAGATAACTATTATTAACACCGCCATATCATGACCAAATGCTCTCTTGGGCATCGATAACCGTTAGAAATTAGGGCTGCGACTCTGAAGATCGGATCGGATACCCTTCTTTGAGGTACGGAGGACCAGGTGTTTACCCCGTATTTATTATGGTCGGACGTATCGGCGTAATGAATCGTAACAAGCAGGAACTAAACTGCTTTGAGGACCCCTGGCACCAAGCTGGCGGCTTCCCCAGAAGAGTCAAGGTAGACGAGCCTCCAAGCCCTTAGATAGCTTTGAGTTTCAACTTTTTCCCATTCCTCTCTAGTCGCTTCACTGGCGGGATGATATCATCCAGCACGGCGGTCCCCCGGGCCCCGCGGGCGGAGGGTCTTGTTAAGTTGTTAGTTTTCCGTTTGTACTATTGTAGGGACTCGGAGCCGGGGTTGGCAGCAGATCCATCTTTGCTACTAACAGGTGCCAAAATATGGTGAAAGCCTTACTCAAAAAAGACAGATCTCCGAATGCTCAGGCCAATAATTGTCAATACCCATCGTCTTAAGTAATTCTTTGAAAGCAGAAAGCTTCCGGAAGTTGGAACCCGGAAAGAATAAGTCCGCCCTCCACTACTGGGACTCTGGGAGAGCAGGTCCTGAGGTCACAGGTGAACCTCGGGAGTAGAAGCTGGGATCGTAGAGTTTTATTCTTAGCCCCCCCCACCACCTTTCCTGCTCGGGCAATTGCCAGAGCTCAAACTTGAAACGCGCTCCCTCGGTTTCTTCTTTCTGGGACAGGGCTTCTTACCTATTCAGGTCTCCTCCGTCTTCTGATCCCCATCTCAGGGTCGCGATAAAACCAATTCCCCGTCCATTGCTGCTCCATCTTCTTCTCCTCACGCGGCTCGCATGGTGTTAGTGGAGCCAACGATCCCGGCGGACCAGAGGGATTTGCAACCTGCCCGGAGTTTCGAAGAATCGAAGCTCTACGAAACTTCGAAGAGCACTCCACCAATCCACCAAGTAGATTGGACAGCCAACGGTGAGGCCGTCGTGAGTCGTGACACGCTCTGCGGCTTCAGGAATGGACTTCCTCTGCCGAAATCTCGCGAGGCGCAGAAAAGCTTTGATTTGCGCTGTGATGAGCAAACACGATCCTGCGAATGCATCTCCGGCCAGTCAGAAACAACGACTCCCATAATCATCAATCAGGTTGTCGCCCGTGGAGCCTTGTCGTGCAGGACCTGAATGATCAAATCCCTGTCACCCACGCTGTGGCGGTGATTTGCACCAGTATCTTGAAATCCTGTCGAGTTGTTGACCCCGCCGTTCTCGTCGTGGCTCGTCAACCAGTCAAAACACAAGTTTTCTCAATAATGCTTTGGAAGGACACAGGTTATGCGCACTATGGATAAGATTAAGGCTCATGACTCGAGAAGTGGCATTCGCTCAACACGCTTTCACCGACAAGTACACCAACAAAACGTCCATCCATCTTTGTCTTGGCTTCCCGTGTTTTCCGATGAGGGCACCATTTCTGACAAGGGACCTTCATACCAGATCGAGACGGCGGTTGCTTAGCGGGGGATCTAAGATGCTAAACATAGCAAACCTTGCATTTGGCTCCCACGCGATGCAAGAAGTAAGCGACCTTATTGGAGGCAAATAAGGGAAATGTGGAGCAGACCCACTGACACCTCAACGACTGGTGCATTCGGTTCAATCGGTTGTCCTTCGAATCCTCCGTCTGCCTTGGATGCACTTCTATTCGCCCAGGTCATAATGGCACGATGGGATGCACAAAAGATCCTTGTGAAATGATCCCGGTCAAGGTTGTACCTTAGGAGGTATGGTAGCACTGCTACCGAAGTCACGCTGCATTGTTACCATATAACCGGTGGACTGATAGCCTTCAATTGCTTGAGATAGACTGAAGATTGTCTGCTGACCATCGTCACCTCTCTAAGCCCGAAGCCACCATTCTTATTAACTCCAGTAGATACACAAGGTTGAAGGGTCCGTATTGTGGCTGCCAGGTTGGATCTTCGTCAAGATCGGAACCCTCAACCCTACCGCGGTCAATCCGAGTGTCATTATCTGCGACGGCGCACGGTACCCCAAGGACCCCGTCGCATCAGGTGATCAAGCATCATTCTAATAATGATGCTGTAATCATGAGACGAGCGCCATGAAATCCACAATTGCCGTTTTTAGCAGGCGCAAGCTCAAAGGCAAAGCGGAATACGAGGAGAGCACCTTGTGGCACACCACTTCAGAGGTTGGTCAGAGGTCTCAAGCCAGGTGAACAACGGGTCAAGCAACCCTCGCCAAAGTGACGACATGTGCTTTTCCGAAGGGCACTTCTACGCCCGACTTCATGAATCCCAAGCCAGAGGACTGAGAGGAGATTCGCTCCAGCTACTTTGGAAATGCACTCATGTCTGACTAACCAACAATGGATACGAGCTTCTTTTCCCATGATTCGAGCACGTTTCGGCATAGGGGCTGTGAAGAGAAGTGTACCGTCACTACTATGTCCCGAGGGAAAGCCACCTGCCATACAAATAGTAGCCGGTTCGCTTCGTGTCTTTGAGAGGCAGAAAAATAAACCAAATCGTTCTTGCAGACTTGCATAAAGTTATCGCAGAGTGGACCCGACCTAATCCGCCCTTATGGGGAATGAACGACTTGGCCTACTTTACCCCGAATCGGCTGGCAGACCGGTGGCATCACGAAAATCAGGGGAGAACGGTGCCTTGGCCCATGGCCCATGGCCTGGATAAAAGTGAGGGGCAGTTTACTCCGTGCAGAAAAGTCCAATCACTGTTTAGCTGTTAGACAGGCTGGCAATAATGCTAGCCAAGCGCTAATTGACCCGTAAGCAAGACAAGAGTAGCTTTCAAGCGCACAACAGCGTTGAGAGGATCCAGCAGCGGCTCCCAGGCAAATATTATTCCAGCGAAGAGTTTTACAACTGATCTTCATCATCCGTAGTATCGACCGGGAACGCCCTGTTCTCCGTGGTCCGTACTATGTTGCCTGTCATGGTAAAAGAGCCGAGGTCCCTTTCTCGGCAAATCCTCGGCCAGGACCAATTACATACGTATCGAAATCCCACTTGCAGCGCACCGCCACCAACTTTACCCTGCGGAGCAAGGCGCGACGAGGACGGTGGGTGTCTGTCGATCTTCAGCCACTACTCAAATTTTCCAGCTGAACATTTACTCCGTAAGGGTCTCCGAAATATTTGATAGTCGGGTTCGGAACCGGGAAACAAAGCTGCGGAGACTAACTCTAGGGTTTGCACCGCCGCCGCGAGAGTGCTTGAGTGCCGAACCCCCGACCATACGGGTACTCCGTAGCCCGTACGGAGTACATACATACAAAACGGGCTGGAGAACAGTACGGAACCCACACGGAGTACAGCGTACTAGGGAGCACTGGAGGCTGGACTTCGCCATCCACGCGCAGAGAGTCAAACTATTGAAACAGAGATAATAGACTGGATTAGCGCTCAAGGGCTTATCACGACAAATAAAACACCCAGCGGTCCAGAAACTGAGTCGTGAGGTTACGTTAAGGTTACACATCACCGCCTTAGGGTCTACAAGAAGTACAAATCCTTCAGGTCAGCCGCAGACATGTAACCTCGCCGGTCTCTTCTTGACGTTTAGCATGGTTCTCTATGATGTCTAGGAAGATTGCCGCCTCAGCCTCTCCTACAAGAATCCTGCGGTTGACTTTACAGTGACGAAGCCTGCCCTGCTCGCAAGCACAGTCATAGGCATCGTCCTAGCCCTGGAGCCTACCAGTCAGGGTCGATGAATCGAACATCGGGTGACCAAAAGCGACGACAATTTCTGTTCTTATCGACATTCCAAGGGAAAGCTGCACGTTGCACCTTGCATCCTCATTATACCGAAGCGCAGTGCACTGAACGCAGGCAACTCGGCTCATCTTAAGCACATTCCATCCCTCGCTTCCTGCAGGGGAAAAGTAAGACACGCAGCGACAAGACTTCTGACTTGCCTACATTCTTTTCAACGTGACCTAGCCCTGCACAACGCAACGCTTTCTTGATCGACATGATACGGAGCACGAAGCTGGGAGGCCTTGCAGTTGCCTGCCATGCCACTTGCCACCGACTTTGACCGTCCCGGAGCTGCCAACTCCTACGATTGTGACAATCAGCCAGTTGAGCATTTTCAGTGTTCTCCGAACGGGATTCGTCCGCGCTGGTCAGAGTGAAGGATTTTTTTGTCCTTCCTGCGTGCTTGAAAGCTGATTCAGATGGCCGTCAACTTTTATGTACGTGCAGTGCAGTCTACGGACCTACCTCGTCGTTGGACCTGCTCGTCGGAGCCGAGTCGCCGACTACAGATGACAGAATATACGGCGCGTCTACGGCATTTGCTGTCTTGGCTAGCTTGGAGATCTCTACAGGTCTACGTCCGTCACACAAGTTTACCCCGTCGCCAACAGCTACCTTTTTGAACCTTGAAGAGAGCCTTCTCCTCTCTACTAACAAGGTGACCTTCAGGGCCCTCATCCCGCACGGTCGAAACCCTAAGAGACGCAGATCGGGCTTTGCAAACACGAGCTGTCTCGTCAGCCGACTGAAACACGAAACTTCGATCTCTTGGTTCCCCGGAGCTCATCGAACGAGACGGGCGGGAGCCCTTAGATGAGATCTAGCCGACTTCGTAGCAGTGATCTTGAGGCCGAATGCCTGTTCTCGGTAGGATAGCTGTCTTCCAACCGATCAGGCACATGAATAGTAAACATGAAACGCCTAGAGAACGGGTGCTCTTCAAACGGGCCCTCCACCTAGGTCAAATTTATTTATAGGAAGATGGGGCCCGGACAGACTAACCAACCAAGTCGACACACCCTACCGAATACCGATTATACACCAGCCCATCCATGGAAAACATATCCATCTCCCTACCTTTATAGGGCTAGCTCTCAGCTTTTCTCCATCTTTTCCTGGCCTCTGAAATCTTAAGTTAGACCGAGCAAAAAAAGAAGCACACCTAGAGCGCTCAGGCCTAAACTACGGTAACTTTGTGGCGCCAATTTGTTTCGAATTTACTTTGCCTACTTCGATTTAGGAGTAAAAGTAGACTATTTTGCTAGAAGCCCGCCATACTTTTTCTCTACCTCTAGCTCAGCGCTATGCTATGACGACCCGGTCCCACGGTAGACTAGTCTACAAGCCCCCAACGCCCCAGCTACTACTCTAGTATAAACACAACACCGCAACGTATACCGAAAACATACATTTATAATGATGAGACCAGAAATCTTGTACAATGACTAGTGAATACTTTGAGTGTAGTATGAGAGCATTAGATAATCTTGGTGGTGGTGACTGGAGCATTAATTACTTGATAAGCGAGTGTGTGCGGAGATATATATAGTGGTCTATCTTATGGGGGGTCCAAGAAGAGGGACGTGACTGTCGAATCTTTTTCCAACCAGACCTCAGTTTTACCAAAAATTCAAAGCAATATGATTGCGAACAATCCATTTCTCTTGCTTAAGTGATGGTTCTATTCTGCCCACTCATTCGTGGCTGTGTACATGCGTGGGGATGGGTTCCCGTCCCAAGCCTCGTGGTCCGTGAGAGCGTTGAATGCTTGGTAGAGAACTACAAATCGTCGGAAACGGAGACACTTCACGTTGAACTCCATCTATTCTGGCACCTAGCACTATAAGGATCTTGGTACTATAAATACACAGGCCAAACGTTGACTCCAACTCATGACCAGTATACCGCGGGCTACAGCCTCCATCCATAATATGCCCACCTGCCCGGTATAGCTCATCATCCCAACAAAAAACCTATCTCCTGGCGAAAAGCCCCTTAAAGTGACGTACTAGAGATTGCCACAGGTTCCATCAAACCCTGCATGATGATAGGGTCAAGCCAAGTTATAGCTCAGTCCAGTGTCCGCGCAGACCAAAAATAAGAGAAACACAGCCAGTCAGAGGCAGCAACACCACGAGATCATCACGCACACAGATAAGCCAGCGAGCAAAACATGGAAGCAGTGACCGCCAGTTCTCTGTTAGGAATAGCCGGTAGCCGGTTCTTTTGCGCGAGCCACTGCCGTGGAGAGTATCTCACGAAACCATTCGTCTGTTCCTGCAAGATGTCTCACATTGCTAATATCGTCTCCAAAAACCTAGCTCAGGCGGATTCCTCGCTCAAGCCCCTGAGCTCGCCCATCGTCCATCGGACTCACCGGCTGGCTGCTTCAGAAGAACATTGCAGAGCTCTCCTGGATAGTTCGATTATAGCACACGGGGAATAGCCGCGCCCAAAAACGGTACATTGCTGGCCGAGTTGACATTTTCGAAACCAGCCACCGCGCAAAGTGGGATTCTGATCGGAAAGGATTTGTGCTACGTAGATGAACAATCTATTAGGTATTCACGTTAGACTGTGGGTCGATAGAAAGGTTAACATTCGGGGGGTACTTACTTCGTCGTACCTCTGCAGGGCGAGATAGTACTGCTCAGGCAAACCAACCGCTTTCTTCATGACCGTCTCTTTCTTAATCTTCCTTGCGGCCATCACATATATCTTCGAAAGCGTATTTCGGTCCAGGCCGTCGTGGTCGCCGACGAGAATTTCCCCCGGCATCCTCCAACCGTGCCTTTCGTAGATGACCTCAATCAACCGCGTCAGGATATCGGACTGCCATGTCACGAGAAGCTCGCCATTGAAGGCGCTCATATGGCGCTTGAGTAGCGCGACGTCAAGGTTGAGTCGGAGACCTTCGGAGCACAGTTGCTGCAGCTTGTTTTCGAGCAGTTTATTCGAGATCCTTAATTCCCTCAGGGCCTCACAGTATCGCTAACAAGCTGCATTAGTTTGCGCACCATGTCCATGCGAGATACAGCTTCATACATCCATCGAGTAACATACCCTGAGCACGGCTTCTCCTGCCGGTCTTGTTCTCTTTCGAGCCGCCTTGATCTCCGCGCGATAGAAAGACATTCCTGGGCCGTACTTCTGGACGATCTCAACATCCATGACATTTACTCCAAGATGGGGAGGGACTGTAGGCGTGACAATGAAGGAATGTATGGGCTTCGATGATAAGAGAATAGCTGTCTTCAGTAAAGAATGATGGTAGTTCTCATCATCAGCAACCGGCTGCCGTGGCATTGGAGCCTACATTGGAAAGAAGGAGCGAGTCGTGCTCATCGTGGTCGGGTTTGGAAAGAGCAAGTCAACACATGAGAGATCCCTTCCGTGTTCCGTGTTCAAACGATTTGAAGCTGACTATCCACTGCGAATATACAGATTATATTCCTGTAGGACTCTGTACCTAGAGCTTACTTTCCGACGACTTTCCGAACTCTATGACCAGCTTCCCGAACTGCTTGCTATCTTTCATGTCCTGAAACAGCCCATCGAGGGCAGCAACATCGCTCAGCTCAGCCTGAACCACCCGCGATACAATGGGGCGGACTTTGTGTGTCTTGACAAAATCGACCATGTCCTTAAACTCTTTCCGGGAGCCCATGGTCGAACCACGAACATCAATGTTCTTCAACACGGCCTGCATCGTAAATGGCATTACCGGAGAGACTGTCATTCCATAGATGGAAAGTACACCGCCAGCCTGCAATTCTTTAGCGAAGACGAAAGGCAAATTGAGGGTCTTTATACCTTGAGCAGCTTGACAGACTTCTCAACGGAGTTGCCGCCCGCTCCATCGATGACGGCGTCAAAGTTCGTCTTTCCCTTGGGAAGCAGGCCCAGCAGCTTTTTCTCCCAGCCATCCTCCTTGTAATTTACACCACCCTTGGCACCCAGCTCGATGGATTTGCGGATTTTGTCCTCACTAGAACTGGTCACATATACGTCTGCGCCTCGCGCTACAGCAAAGAGCAAGGCAATGAGCGCGACACCGCCGCCAATACCTGTGATCAGGACTGCCGCCCCTTTGCCTGTGTTGCGTTCCCCTGCCTTAACCACCAGGGCCCTCCATCCAGTCAGTCCTGCGAGAGGTAAGGCAGCTGCTTCTGCATCTGACAAGTGTTCGGGAGCTTCTTCAAGCTCTGACTCTTCGATCGTGATAAAGTCCTGCAGGGTCCCTTTGTTGTAGAACTTTGTTCCCCCCATAATCTTATAGCCAGAGGGGTCTTCTGGTCCCTCCAGAGAGTCCTTCCAGCCTATGCCTGGGTTTATAATGACTCGCTTTCCCTGCCATCGCCCTGGGTTTGTGACTCCGGGACCTGCCCCCACAACGATCCCGACGCCGTCTGCGCCCATTGGCACATCAAACGTCAAGCCAGGATAGAGGTGCTGGCGCAGAAATACATCGCGGTGGTTGAGGGCTGCTGCGGACAATCTCACGAGCAGCTCGGTGCCTTGCGGGGTGGGTTGGGGTAAAGTCTTCAGCGAGAGGGGATAGTAGACCTTCCCAGGCTTGCCCTCAGCTTTTCCGAGAAAGATTGCTTTCGACATGGTGATACTCGTCTGCCAAATAATACTCGAGACTCGATACAGAGAATGGAGGTTTGCAAGCCAATGGGTTCGACGAATTGTTATTGCATTAAAAGATCACCTCATCGAAAATACGTGCGGGGAATCCGGTGTTATCGATAACCGAGGCTGTCCGGCGCTCGATAGAGAGGACAGTTGCCCAGTTACCGCTTTCAAATGATATGGACAACATGCTTCAATTCGCTATGTACGACATAAATCCAAGTCGAGATCATAAACATTACAACAGTGCCTCAGGCTAATGGCGGAGTTGCATTTGACGCGCTGTGTGAACTGCCTCGGTCCGCTCTCGTCCCTCCGATATGCTATACACAAGAGCCACCGCAAGCACAGGGTGCCTGGTCGTGAAACATATGTTGGTAAAAGTATGAATAAACCAACCACAGCCACATTAACATCTAAGACAATGGCATTGAAGTTCATAATAGCATTCTTGTTGGCACCACCCTGAGCCCGTTGGTGGATACTGACAGGATGTTCGGCAGTATCGATCACTCCTCGAGGAGCACTGATTTGGCGAGCCGAAGTTGTCATGAACGTGCCGGTAGTGGTGGCCACGTTCGTGGTAGCTGTACCGTTGATATGGATCCGGATAACAGCCATGAGATCTGGGTTCGCAAGCATTGGTACGCACTTCGCGTACGTATTCCCTTCGTTTGTACCCTGCACGAAGGGATTTGCCATTCCAATACCAAGAATATGGGATGTCCCTGTTGACAGTGGCCTTCGCAGAGCAGAAAAAAGGCATGGTATAGTGTCGGTGAGGAACAGGAGTTCGCTAATTGATTTGAGCAGGGGAGAATGGACGAGGGCGACCGGGTACATTTTGACCTGACCCTGTCGACTTGTTCAAGTATTTATTGCGTGTGGTTTCGGATCTCTCGACACGCATCATCCTCATCCTTGTTCGCAAATATGTCTCCAAGTCCGTACGACAGCAATCACGGATACTCAACATCTAGAAAATTCGGCGCTGACTCTGTGCGACGATACTCCATAGAATCAGTATGATAGGGACCTGCAAGATTGCTTCAAGCTTGGACACAAACTTGCCCAGCAGCAGCGAGTTACTGGGACAGGAAGAGCCAAGGGAGCAGAGACTTCGTCGAACACTTGCTATTCATGAAGGGTCGATCCACGCCATGCCTGCTGTATGCACCTTCCCGTAAGGGATGGCAAGGTAGTCCTGGTCGCTGCCAACCCGAGTCCAGGCTCCAGAGCACCTAGACCTCCTGCAACGCAACGCTGACCGCAGCATATACCCAGGATGAAGGTCTCAGAGGTCATTGGCTTGCCTCTTTATCGATTGACTAACTTGGTGCAGCATCCAGAAGGTGGCTGCAAGCGTAGGAATACACAGGGGGCTGGGCCTGGGGCTGGATTGCGGAGAGAGTATGTCAATCACATTCCAGACCTTTCTTGCGGATCATGCCATAACCCCCAAGTCGAGGATAGAGCCTTGTACATGATTGATTGATGCATGCTTGAAATCCAACATATGGGGAAATGCTCTCATTGTGCCTGATATATGGTGATCGCGGATGGGACTAGTCCACAGCAAAGCGTGCCTTTTTATTCAATGGGAACGATCCAGCATATGTATACTGTAAGCCTGGAAGCATTTGGCCGTTTTAGCAATATCTTCACCGATATACAATTACAAATTCATATATCAGAGTGTTCATCCTCTGGCATACAATTGAGGATGACAGCGGGTGTTCTTGAATTCAAGTCTCGAGCAAACAGACCATCATTCGCATGCATTCATATGCGTCTTTCCGGTGTCTTGCCTCGAGTTGAAGGGCTTTCTTGTGCAGTTTGTTCAATGAAGCGACACGTCGACTTCAGGAGAACGAAGCGTTTGCGTCCGAAGCACCAGTGGATTCTGCGCGTGGCATTACCTGGGCGTAGGTCTCGCGGGAAGTAAAGACTACGCACTGTTACCCAAGGCTCCTCAAGCTCTAATGTAACGCAACGCAGAAGCCATTTCGTGCTGGTTTGTCTGGTATTATTGCTAGCTAGACATCCTGAGCAAATGAGAGAGAGCAAGCTACAATACAGACTGTTCGCATACAACGTTGTGGACGCTGTCCACTGGTCCAGGCAGCTTGCCGAAGAATAGTTTGTGTGCGTGTTTGAGAATAAATTTCATTAAACATGGGGATTCGGTTTTGGGAGTAAAGAATAAGATACGGGCGTGACGTCGACAGTACCTCGTGTGGTAATGCCACGTCCCCAGCTAATTCGCCGCAGCCTCTTCATTTTTCTCAGGAACTTCGAGCCTCCAGATCTTCTTCTCGACTTGGATCGTCTAGCGTTCTTCCGTCTCGACTTTGACCTCATCCCTCCCGCGATCCGCCCTCAGCATCTCTGCCAGAGCACGTACGTGATACCGTTGCTTCGCCTACTCACCCATCCCACACTTTCCTGCTTCCCACTGCCGGCCCTACGGGTTTCTTGCCCTTCCTCGTCTCCACGTCCGTCACAAGTCGTGACACTCGCACATTGCTCCGTGGCATTCTCTAACTTTGATATAGTCTAAACTCTCCAATCTTATAGCTACCTTCTTTCATCCGATCTATCTTCGGTTTCTATCCATTGTTCTTTAGCAAGCTAACTACGACACAATGCCGACGCCACTCCCTTCGAGTTTCGCTTCGGCCGCCGCTGGCAACACCCAAGACGCCTCAAGCAGGAGAGGTGATGGAACCGCCAGTGGAGAATGGTATGCGGCCCAGCATGTTTTACCTTGCTTTCCCCGTGATTGCAGTCCACGATACCTACTAGCCCTGCACTCGCCTTCCGTCATCCCGTCACAACTGACCACTTTGCAGGTCTCGCACTCGCATGAATGGAGCAACACAAACCTTCCGTCGCCCATCAGTTGCAACGAATCCTTCGCATTCTCGGGATCCGACCTCCGCAACGACCCCAACCGGCGGTGCCTATCCTTCGCACATGAACTCAGCCCTCTCAAACGTGGCCCGTAATGGAGCGCCTGGCGACACCCGTTATTCAAAAGAGCAGCTTCTTGACCTGTATAAGGCTCAGCGGGATACTGGGGTTTTGACTAAACATGTTGCGGATTATTTCGTCGCCGACTGGAACCCTCATATTGAAACACCTGCGGCGAATGGGGTTTGGGGGAAGCGGGATGACCATAAGGACAATCCAACCGGACCCGAGGTGTGCTGGGAACACGGTGGACAGATTGAGCCGTTGGGACTGGTGGATATGACTGAGGATGAGAAAGAGGTTCGTTCCTTTGCCCTCTCCAAAGCCTATTTTTGCGCTTGTTATGTGCCGTCAGAGTGGTGCTGAGTATTATAGACATTTTCCGTCTCTGTCAACTCTCCATTGAAGCCACCTCCCACGAACGCCGCCAAAGAAAATGCCGCCGCTGGCGGTACGGGACGCAGGACTTCCGTTTCTTACACGCAAGGGAACGCGCCTTACAACACGTCGTCTCCTAGCGCCGCAAGGCCGGGTCCTAGGCGCCGGGAAACCGGCGATTCGATCGGAAACCCTATGTCTCCTACAACGGGCGGCTCCCGCTTTTTCCGTGACGAACCGAATACCTCGACCCCACCTCCATCCCTACTCCGCCGTAAAACCGACTTTCGAGACACTACATCTGTCTCTAAGTGGGAAGAGAAGGAAAAGGAAGCCCAAGGCCGGGAGTTGACCGTCGAAACTTCTTCGCCCTTTGGTTCCCTGAAGCGTAGCTCGACCAACCCTGTCGGCCTGCCTGGTTCGACTTCCCCTTGGCCTTCAGCTTCGCAGAGTGCCAATTTCTCGCCTATGGGTGCATTTGGAGCATTCAATATTGGTACCTCGAGCGCTGCGCAAACCCCAACCACTGAAAAGCGGCCTGGGTTTGGCAGCTTGCGTGGAGAAAGTCGTCTCAAAGGGCTGTTCTCGAAGGACAGCATGGAGGATGTCCATTCGCTGAGGGAGAAGCCGTCCTTGACCAATCTGGAGCGCCTAGGCGAGAGCGAAGTTGAGAAACGGGCCCAATCGCCATGGGGTGAGCAATTGAAAACACGCACCGGCCGGAGTGAAACCAACCCGTTCTCGGACGAACCGCGCAGTGGAAGCGCGGCTCTCGGTGGCTCCCAGGACACCCCATCTCAATCTGCTGATCAACTGGGGTTCTCCGCCTTTGGAATGACCTCTAGCATTCCGGGCTTCCGTGACCTGATGCAAAGCCACGAGAACTCGCGCAACCCGACCCCTCATCTTCACGGCCGCGAACCTACCAGCCCCACTAACACGAACCCATACCAAAGCCCGCATGGCGATAGAGGGGACGTGGAAGATGTGGACACTGACGGCTCTGATATCCAGAATACTAGCCACCCTGGACTCAGTGGTCTGCGAGACTCGTCTGCGTTTGGTTCCATCCGTCGCGTGGGATCCGGCATGGACTTGCCTTCCATTGATCGTAGCCAAAACTCGAGCGTTGCAGGCAACCGCAACTTTGGCAATTTGGGTGGCCTAGGCGGTCTTCCCTCCCTCGGCGGTGCTGGCTGGGCATCTAGCGGAGCGGTTGGCACTCCGACCAAGGAGAGATCTACCTTTGCGGCAGGCTTTGGAGACCCCATCTTTGGTTCAATGGCTGATCTTCAGTCTCCAAGTCTGTCGACATTGGGAGGAGGCGGTCTTTTTAGCCCGCATACCGGGATCTCAGGCACTGGGAGCATTGGTCGCTCGAGTAAGCTCGGCTCGCTGTTTACTCAAGCGATGCAGGAACAATTCCATAGCGAGCAGCCGAGGCAAGATCTCGGCAGTCTAGAAGAGACGCAAGGAGATCTTCCAGCAGACGCGCCTGGTCAACCGGTCCCTGCAACCACTTCGACCTCGCATACCCCAGTTTCCGCTGTAGGTTCTATTCCAACTTCCATGGTTCCTGAAGGACAACAGGCAAGCCAAGCTGGAAGCGCTGGCTCGCTACCTGCCACTCAGCAGCGGACTATGGTGATGCCTGACCGCATGCGCTGGATCTACCGGGACCCGCAGGGAAATATTCAGGGCCCATGGACAGGATTGGAGATGCACGATTGGTTCAAGGCGGGTTTCTTCAGTCCGGACTTGCAAATTCGAAAGTTGGAGGACCCAGAGTTCGAGCCACTGGCACAGTTGGTGCGCCGCATCGGCAACTCACGGGAACCATTCCTCGTTCCACAGATTGGGGTTCCTCATGGTCCCGAGCCAAACGCTGCTACGTGGGGAGCAGGAACAGCCCCTACCGGATCTGCGCAGCCTCCATTCCCCGGCAGCTTCCCAAGCTTTGGTACCACTTTGACTGCGGAGCAACAGAATGCCCTCGAGCGTAGGAAGCAAGAGGAGCAGTATCTGATGGCACGGCAGAAGGAGCATCTTGCTCAGCAGCAGGCTATCATGAAGCAGACTCAGTTTCAACCCGGCGTTCCTGGGATCTTTCCTCCTCAGCTTCAACACCATTCCAGTGCCCACAGCCTTCACAGTCAACCCAGCTTTGGCAGCATCGCGTCTCCAATTGGCTTCCAGCCTTCGCCGATCCAGGGCCCCATCCAACAACAGCAGCAGCCGGGCTCCAGTTTCTTTGACGCTCCAGGTGCGATCAGGCCCAACACTTTGCCCAACGTTGGCTCTCAGATGCTCGGAACGGATTTTCTAAACAGCAGCCAAGAGCAGCTTCCTTCGCTGCTCGATCGTTTGAACGTGAACAGGTCCGACCCTTTTACGTTCGGCAGCCCAACTTCGTTCGCCGCTCGACAGCCCGATAACCTCTTTCCTAGCCCGCAGGTGGCAACCATGCTGCAAGACCGTGCACGGCTCCAGCAGGAACAGGAGCAGTTTGACAGCACCCACGGTGACACCCTGTTTGACCAGCAGGCTCGTGAAGAGAGACTCCGTCAATTTCACGCGTTGAGGGCACAGGAAGGTGAATTTGGTATGCGCACTGCGGAGGGCTTGCCTACCCATCCCGCCACCGCGCCGTCCCAACCAGCCGAAGATGTCGAGAAAAATTCCGCGCTTGAGGAGCTTGCTACGTCTATAACCAGCGAGGAGCCTGTTTTGACCCTTTCGCAGCAGGTCCAGAAGGCCGCACAGGAACAGGAGGAACAAGAGCAGATGAAACAGCAACAACAGCAACAGCAGGCGCAAGCCGCCGCTGACGCCGCTTGGGCTACAAAGGATCCCGCCATGCCTCAGCCATTTCCCCCTCCCCCCTCCGCTTCGCCTCTCCCCGCTCCTGCCGCTCAGCGCAACCGCCAGAACGTAGCGGAGTCTCTCGCCGCCAACTCGCGCTCTCAGACCCAGACACCTGTTGAGGCTCCCACGACTTCAGTTGCGCCATGGGCCAAGGAGGTGAACGAGATGCCAAAGGGGCCATCTCTCAAGGAAATCCAGGAGGCCGAGGCGCGCAATGCCGCGCAGAGAGAAGAGCTGGCCGCAGCCGCGCGCCGCGCACAGCTACTTGCAGAGCAGGAACGTCTCAGCCAGGCTCAGGCGCAGCAAGCCCCCGGTCTCCCGTCAAGCGCCAACTGGGCCAGCGCTGGATCTCCTGCCACTCCTACTTCAGCAGGCTCAGTTTGGAATAACAAGGGTACCACTACCACCAGCACAGCAAAGAAGACGCTTGCTCAGATCCAGAAGGAAGAGGAGGCACGTAAGCAACGTTCGGCTGCGGCTGCGGCTGCGGCTGCTGCTCAGAACATCGCCGCCACCACTCCTGCTCCTCCCTCTGCTGGAAAGCGGTATGCGGATCTGGCCAGCAAAGCGCCCGCTGCCTCTCCAGTCAGCGCCGGCTCCGGTGCCTGGACCACGGTCGGTGCCAGCGGCAAGGCCAAGGCGCCCCCTGTTGCTCCTACCGGGCCGCGCTCCACCAGCGGGCCGGTTCCCATCGTGGCATCGCCTGTCCGTCCCAAGCCCGTGACAACGGCTACTACAACTCCCCGAGTCCTTCCCGTCAGCACACCTTCCAACCCCAGCCGGGCCATGGAGGAGTTTACCAAGTGGGCCAAGTTGACCCTGGGCAAGGGGCTGAACAGCAACATTAATGGTATGTTTGATTCTTGATAAGATTCAAAACTCAAGCTAACTTCTCTAGTCGATGACTTTGTCCAGCAGCTACAGCTTCTTCCCGCAGAGGCTGAAATCATCTCGGATTCAGTGTACGCCAACTCGCAGACGCTGGATGGCCGACGATTTGCCGAGGAATTTATCCGTCGTCGCAAGCTGGCCGATAAGGGAATTGTGGAGTCGGTCTCGACGAGCGCCCTTGCGGAAAAGAACGGCGGAGGCTGGAGCGAGGTTGCTAAGAAGGGGTCTGCTAGCACACCCCGGGAGGAGGATACGAGCAGCGCGGCATTCAAGATGGTTGCGCCCCGCAAGAAGGGCAAGCGGTGATTCTGAGTCGTGACTCACGACAATGTATGACTAGGTAGCACAGCTTGGTTGGCATTTTGTATTTCCACTGTAGTTTAAATGGATCCATCCGTTGCTTTTCGTCCGGATTTCTTATCTCTCTTTCTCTAAACCTTCAACAACCTCTAGCACCAATGGCCTCCCCAACCCCATTCGGCGCCCCCATGAAAGCGCACTTCCTCATCGACCCCAACTACCGCAACCTCAACCACGGTTCTTTTCTCCATCCCTTCCTCCAACCTCAGCTATAAGACAACTAACAACCAAACACCAGGCTCCTTCGGCACATACCCCATCCAAATCCTGCAGAAGCAACAAGCTCTCCAGAAATCCCTCGAGTCCAGCCCGGACATTTTCATCCGGTACACACAGCCAGCCCTCATCGACGCCTCGCGCGCCGCCCTAGCCCCGCTGCTAAACGTCCCCGTCTCGGACCTCGTCCTCGTGAAGAACGCAACCACAGGCGTCAACACCGTCCTGCATAACCTCGCCATAACGCGCACGCTGGGTCCAAATGACGTCATTATCTACTTCGATACTGTCTACGGGGCCGTCGAACGCGCCCTCTTCGCACTGAAGGAATCGTGGGGCGTGCAGTTGAGGAAGGTCAAGTATGTTTTCCCGTTGGAGAAGGGGGAGTTGGTGCGGAGGTTTAAGGAGGTGCTGGCGGGTGTGAGGGGGCAAGGGTTGACGCCCAAGCTTGCGGTCTTCGAGACCGTTGTTTCGAATCCCGGGATAAGGTTCCCATTTGAAGAGCTGGCGGGTGTTTGTAAGGAGGAGGGCGTGCTGAGTCTTGTTGATGGGGCGCATGGGGTCGGCATGATCAAGTTGGATTTGGCGCGGCTTGGGGTCGACTTCTTCACGAGTAATTGTCATAAGTATCACCTCCTTCCCTCATTTTCTCTTTCCTAGAAAGAGAAGATCGGTGCTAATGTTTGTCTAGATGGCTCTACACCCCGCGCTCCTGCGCCGTCTTGTACGTCCCGGAGCGCAACCAGAAGTTCATCCGGACGAGTCTGCCGACTTCATGGGGGTATGTTCCTCCTGCTGCGCAAGCTTCCAATTCCGCAGCTGCAGCTGCAGCTGCAGCCGGTGCAGACGAGGAAGACGACCTCCCTCCACCAACTCTCCCAAACACGGGCAAATCGCCCTTCGTCACGCTCTTCGAGTTCACGGGGACAACGGACGACAGCGCATACGCGTGCGTCCCCGCGGCCCTGGAGTTCCGGGAGCGAATCTGTGGCAGCGAGGAGCGCATCTATTCTTATCTGGAGGAACTTGCTGGTGAGGCTGGTGCTGTGCTTGCCTCTGCTTTGGGCACGGATGTTATGAGGGCTGAGAGGGGGGAGACGGGGGGGTTGGGGTGTTCGATGGTCAATGTGCGCTTGCCTGTACGCATCACCAACCGAGATCAGGGCTCGGGGCTCGGGGAGAATGTGGGAGTGGTTGATGTACGCCCGGATGACGTGAGTCCCCTGGCACACTGGCTGCATGAGCAGTTGATAGCTCGGGGGACGTTTGTGCCTTGCTACCCACATGGCGAGTGGATGTTTGTGAGACTCAGTGCGCAGATCTATCTGGAAAAGAAGGATTTTGTTTGGCTGGGTGGCGTCTTCAAGGAGGTTTTGGAGGGCGTGCCGGGATTTCTTGAGGGGATCAAGAGGGAGATCAAGGCTAATCTGTAGATACTTGAAGGATGATTTATGGGGAAATGCTGGGGTGGGGTTACTTGCATGTTACACGATGACAAGGAAGAGTAGGTTAGGGCTATAGGTATACAACGTTGACATATACTAGCTCGTCTATTACTACTTTATTTATCATCAGGCGCCTCAAACACACACCTCCCATTGAAAACCGTCTTATGCACCTTTGCCTCAAGGAGCCTCTCTTCATCCCACTCCATATCCAGCACCACAAAATCAGCCTTCTTGCCCACCTCCAGCGTTCCTGCTACATCATCCCCAAAGCAACTATACGCGGACCCCCTTGTCGCCGAATTAACAGCCTGTGCCAGACTCAGTTTGAAATGTTCATTAACCACCTCTTGGCTCTCTGGTTCCCTTGCAGACCGTCTTGTCGTAGCCGTATAAAGATTTCTCAAGGCATTGTGCGGCGCCGTCGGGGAATCCGTACCCAGCGCAACATTCGCACCGGCTTCAACAAATTCCCGGTATGCGAATGCGCGGCGTACCCGCTCTGTGCCTAGAAGACGAGGCCAGGCACGGAGAATCGCCGGGTCAGCATGTACGGGCTGGATGCTGGCTGTTATCCCGAGGGAGGCGAGGCGTGCTGCATCAGAGGGGGATGTGAGTTCGAGGTGCTCGATGCGGTGGCGTCTTGACGGTGAGCCGGGTGGTGGCTTTACGGTTTCGAGAGTGTTGATGGCGAGGGCGACGGCAGCGTCGCCGATGGCGTGGAGTGCGCATTGAAGGCCTGCGGCATCGGCGCGCTGGACAGCTTTACGCAGAATATCTTCTTCCCAGAGGGGTGCTGGAGATGCGACGGGTCCATCTGTCGATGAAGAAGATAGGCCAGTCGTATACGGCTCCAGTAGCGCCGCCGTACAAGCATCTACAACGCCGTCGCAAATAACCTTGATGCCTGCGATACTAAAGTCCGGTGAAGTGTTCTTGTTATACGTTCTGTGGAGCTCAATTGCACGATCCACCTGCTTCAGTACCTCCCCTTCATCAGCGGCAGGTGTGATGATCCAATGCATGGCCAGGCGGATGGAGAACGACTCCGACTCCGTCTCTCGCAACAGTCTCGCCGTTTCAAAAATATTCTCATCGCTCGCCATCTCCACCATACCAGTGTACCCGGCCGCATTATACGCACGAATCGCATCACGCACGTATCCCTTCTTCTCAGCCTCTGTCGCAACCCGCGCTACGTGCGGCCAGACGATCGTCACGGCAGCAGACTCGCTCAGTAACCCGGTGGGATTCCCATAGTTATCCCGCGAGATGTCCCCGCCTGCCGGTGTAGGCGTGGACTTGTCGATACCTAGATCTGTTAGCGCGGCGGTGTTGCACCATGCCGAGTGCAGGTCTTTGGCGTCGATGAAGATGGGGCGGTTGTGCGGGTCGAGGTTGTCGAGGTCGCTGGCTAACGCTTGCCCGTTTGTCATGGAGTGCATCCAGCCGCTGCAGAAGAGACGCGGGTATGTGGAAGCTGGTCGGGAGGCTGCTGCATCTCGGATGGTCGATTGGATCTCGGACAGGGATCTGCATGCTGCCAGGTTGATTTTGGATAGCGAGGCCCCGAAAAGGAGCAGGTGCATGTGCCTTTTACGCGATTAGTACCAATTGAATAGTAAAAAGGTTGGAGGTGGCATACCCATCGATAAAGCCAGGCAGGACTCGGCGTCCGGCTAGGTCGATTTGTTTATCTGATGCAGGGGCATCTTGCTCAGGGCCTACGTAGGCGATGGTATCATCCTCGATTAGGAGACATTCAGCTTCGCCTTCGCTTCCAATAGGAGAAGAGACAATGGCGGCGTTGCGGTAGAGGATTTTCATGGCGGGGTTGGAGGGGTTGAAGTTGGAGAGTTGAAGAAGATCAATCTGCTCCAACTAAATAAGTGGGCCAGGGGCGCGCCCTAGGGCGCATGTCATGACATCTCCGGTGCTAGTAGGCGGGGGATTAGACTAGGTAGTAGATTAGAGAATCTACCATAAGCTGTCTCTTTATAATGCTATATATCGACCCTTTGAGCAGGCCAAGTAGCAGCGCGGAGGTACACATTCCGGACTGCTTTAAACCTGAATCTGGGCACAAACATAGAAAGATGCATTGACTGGCACAAATCGAGCTTGGAGTTCTCGCTCCCCGGCATTAATAAACATCGGGGTTGGTGACAATCTAGGCGGAGCTTTATTCAGACAGGCAGTGATCAGTTCCATCCATCATGGCTCGAGCAAAGCGAGGCTCCGGCTTAGAAACATGATTGGATTGTCTCGAGAGGCGAGTGGCGGAGATATTCACTCCTTCCTCCCACAGCTTCTAACTCTTGTTAAAGAGTAGACAACTACTCTTCCCTTGGTCACTGCTTTGTGAGCTAAACCCATACATGTTACCCCTAGAGCACCCAAAGAAAGACGCAGGGCTGAATCCCTTGAACACTTGAACATCGCAAAGCTAGCGAGACTGCCAAGAGAACGCGCAGGGTATCAATTTCGATGATCCACTGACGTTTGAAGAAGACTTGACTCTTGGTAGGCACAGTCAAGACCGAGGTTGCGCGGCGGCGTTGCAGCTGCCGCTGGCGGGAAGCCTTCAAATCCAGGGAGTAGACTGCGCAGAAAGCTCCAGGACTCTGATCGTGCATCAAGCCATCAACAGCCGCAGCTGTTTAGCGATACTTTGGATCTGCCAGTGGTAAGTGGTCACCGCCGGAAGAATCCCCGAGCAATGCGGCATCCCAACATCTCCTCCGTCCGGCGTTCCCGTGGTTTCACCCGATAAGACTCGCTTTTTCCCAGCCATCTGCACGAGCTCGTACAAGGGGCAATATTGACCTCGCACAAGGTCCTTGTCTGCACTCTGGAATCTGGATCGACGAGCGAACACGCCAGCGGAACGGCCCGCATGTTGAGGATATTCGGGGGATCCGCAACCCTGCCCAGGCCCCAAGGTGTCGGAATCGAAGTGGGCCTAGCCATGCGACCGTAAGTTGACCTGCAGGAGCTGGAACTTGCTGGACTGCCTGGGCTGCATCCTCCGTCCTCCTAGCGAGCAAGACGCATAATGGCCGAGAGAATATTATCACAGGGCTTGGCGTGGAGTAGATTGGTGGAGAAAGTGCTGCGGCAGGCCGGCGACAGGCCCGTCTCGATGTGCGATTCGTGCCATGGGTATATTCAATTGAGAAAGGAAAATAAAATAGATACATTCCTTGGCCCGTGATCTAGAGTCAGGAATTAGGTTTTAGAATCACGCACCGTACAATGGGTCCGAGCCTAGGAGATTATTGTTGTCATTCATTCGTAGCAAGGTAATTCTGTACATACAAGATAACCCTTCCTGTCGTTCATTACGTCAAATCGTAGGCCCGTATTCTGTCCGGACTCGTCCAAGGTCTATCTGGCAGGTAATCAAATTCAGGCTGCACAAAAATGCCTTCCAAGGGGGATAAAACAAAGTAACATATTAGAAAGAGCATGGGAAGGAAGGGAAAGGGGAAGAGAAGAGAAACCAGACATCAACTCCCACTTCCTCCAAGCCGACTGCGAACCCATCCTGTCCATCCGCCAGAACTCGAGGTCGAGGTCGTACTTTCGCCACGACTGGTTGTCCGCGGACGAGATCTTTGGCCCTCATCAGTAGCAGTTGAGGGTGTGTTGTTGTTGGCGTTGGTATCTGGGCGTTCGGCCTGGTCGTAGTTCCCTTCTGATCTGTACGAGAGTGAAAGCGATTATCAGTCACACTTGTCACTTATCGTTGGAAGCTATGTTAAGAGCGCTTACGATGTCGGGGTAGGCGCATTCGCACCCGGCGCCGTCGTTGGTTCAACCCCGCGTCGACAGTGCGGGCAGGAGTTATGCTGGTTTAGCCACATCTCGATGCACTGCGGGTGGAACCAGTGTGTGCAAGGGAGAACGGTGACCTCGTCGCCCACTTTGACGGCGTCCATACAAATCGAACACTCGGTTCCCTCGCCTCCAAGCAATCCTGCATCGGCTATTTTCTTAGGGAGGGCATGGATGGCGTCTTGGGATGCCGGAGGTGCGGCGGTGCGGTTTCCTGCCTGCTCTACCAACTCGGATATCACCCGATCCAGTTCTTCCTGAGAATACACTGCATCACCATTGCGGCTGATATTCAAGAGAGCCGCAAGGAGCGCTCCAATAGGATTATCAGCGCCGCCATTCATGACACGAATATTTGGTCCTCCAGGCCTGCCAGATCCTCCAGGCTGCCCGGCTTGTAGGTTGGTGATGTTGGTGTGGAATATATCAAGCATCCTGCAGCAGTTAGAAAAGACCATTATAAAGATGCGATGAAACGTACTCTCCCAGATTCTGCAGCGGAGAGTCCATCGGCTGAGGGCCATTCGCATCGCGAGGAAACAAGCCACCAGGCCCGTGATGACGGCCATGGGGAGAACGGGGAGCGTTTCCTGGCCCGTACATGTTATCGAAAGCGTGTCGCGGCGGCTGCGGACGGCTTGGCGACCCAGGTCCTTGCGCCCGCGCGGCGCGTTCGCGGTTGAGCTCACCCATATTGTGAATGAATGAATCGAAGCCTTGGAACGCGGTGCTTGCAGGATCCGTGGTCTCATGGCCCATTCCTCTGGTCGCGCCCGGTCCTCTGCGGAGTTGATAAGTGAATCGGATGTTGCCGCCAGGAGATTGGAAGGTCCGGTGAGTGTAATGATAGCCAGGGTCGATCCACCCATGGTCATCTCCATCATTCATGTGGCCCCATGGGTCGTGGTTCGCAAATGGGCTTGCTGGGAACGGCGAGGGCGAGCGCTGGCCAGGGAAGGACTCTGGGGGGTCGGGGTGCGGCTGCGACGATGAAGGGGAAGGTGAGGATACAGGAGAGGCTTCAGGTTCGGGATCTGTATCGGGAGGGATTTCGATCTGCACGGGTCAGTCTAACACAGGAAGAAGTGGCCCAGATGCGTACGATTTCTGTAAAGTCTGAGCTGCAGTACGGGCAGTCTAGAGTGTCATACAGATTGCGAAGCCATACTCTGCCGCAGGCATGGCAGAGAACGCGATCGCCTGTATCCATGTTGAAGGGGTCTGGAGTGGAAATCGGATCAAAAGAGACAGAAAAACGAGATAAGATCTGGGTGAGAAATCAAGACAGAGTCAGAGGAGGGGTCGAGAGAGGTACTTGAGTCCAATCGACTGAGTCAAACAGAAAAGCCGTTGTTCATTGTCTGAAGGACTGGCAGGCACCAGCGAATATGATCATCTTGCTGTACACAAAGGCGGTTTCATACAAAAAATAAGAGGAAAGAAAGAACGATGAATTTCAGCAAGGCAGACCTGAGACTTTATTAGAACTGTGAATCAGACAGAGACAGTGGTGTAAACGGAGCATTAATATTGAATGACGTTAGCCTCGGATGTGGCGCAGTTATCAAAGAAAAGAGCCTTGTTCTGCTCTCTTTAACCCCATTCTCCGTTACTAGTGGTTTGAATTGTAAATAAACAAACAGCTGAAAGGATTAGGATTATATTGCACCTTAAGCCATCTCTCGTCCAGTCAAGAACGCCCAAAGCCTAAAGTTATGCATCATGCTAAGAGCCCAAACACGAAAGAAAGAAACGCAAAAAGCATAAGAGCAGAGACGGAAATCATCATCGACGTCGTCATGTATATACAGCTCTCGCCACCTAAATAGTATGCCCCAGGTCCCTGCAGACTTATCGCCGCTGTCCCCGGAACAGCATGCCTCCCACTACTCCCGCAGCGAGGGCCAGCCCTCCAACGATAGCGATGCCAACCATCCCCTCGCGCGATACTCTATCGTCGATCAGGGTTCGGAGACTGGCCGCCTGTAGATTTCCCGGCTCCTTGTCGATAAGAAGATCGTTGTATCGGCGGGCCTCTCCATAGTTTCCTAGCTTGTAGTTGCCCAGGGCCAGGTAGAAGAGACATTCACGGCGTCGCTCGGGGTGAGCGCGGAATATTTCGGACAGCAAACGGACACCTTCTTGTTGCTCAGATCGGGAGTTAGACTTGATCAGACCCTATACAGGATGTTATGTCAATACAGTCCAGACATCGTCATGTTATAGAGACCGGTAGAGACATACCCAAGCGTAGTTGAACTTAGTCTGGACGCCAACGTAGTCGCCTTCTTTTTCATACTGGGCACGGAGGACCTGCAGCTCTGCGGGCTTCAGCGGGCTATCATGCTTCGTTAGCTGCTGTGGCGCCTGTAGCAATTCAACGTGGAGAGGAGCTCTACCTTTCAGCATCTGCGGCATCTAGATTTTGTCAGTAAAGGGCAACTGGGCATAAGAAACTTGGACCGCGTACAGGGAAGATTTGAGGAAGTCATTTCGTACTGTTAGAATACAAGACAACGGTCGGAGTCTATGGTAAAGAATGCGAAAGTGATGTCAAGATTCCAGGCAGCTTCACTGCTCCAAATGACGAGGCGGTGCACGTGGAGTTGTGGCGGTTGCCTACCCAACCAACCGGTTCGGGTCTACCGCAAACAATCCCCTCACTGCTGCTATCGGAGCAGCCATCCAGTTTACTCTGCCACCTCATTCAGTCAGGAATCACAGTCGCCATGTTGCTCGACGAAAACCCCTCTACGGTAAGATCATTCCACTTCTGGATGTCACGCCCATACTAATATACCTAGCTCATCCATCACACAATCGGCAATTTCAATATCGCGCCCGATAAACAAGCTGTCTCCCGCATCAATGACTCCCTCGCGACTCTCCAGCAGTCCCGCGAGCTACGCATGCGCGAGGCCGAGTCCGCCCTCCGCAAACTGTCACGCCACCTCCAGTCGCTAAACACGCAACATGAAGAAGCCGTCGCCGCCCACGACGCGAGCAAACACGCCGCCGCCATGGTCGAGCTGGACACAAAGAAATTCCGCATTGCCAAGGCCGCATCGGAGCTCGAGATTGAGAGCGAGCGCCTTGAAGGCGAACTGGAGATGTTAAAGGAGAGACTGGCAGATCTAGAGGCGCAAGGTCTTGAAGGCGATGAGACCACCCGAAGGGAGAGGGAGGCTGATGATGCTATACTGTATGTTCTGACTGTACCATTGCGCTTGGACATTCTTGCTAACGGGAGCAGACTGCGTTTGAAGATCTACCGGGCATTAGGCATTGATATCGAACCCGACGAGGTAGGGAACTTCACCAAGGCTGTCATCCGCAACAGTCGCAAGGGCGATGTCCACGTCGTCAACCTGGATCCGAAGTTCTCCCGCTTTTTCTACTCCAACTATTTCTGGTCGACTATGCAGGGCTGAGCGGTGCACGTTTCTTCGGCGTTATGGTGTAGGACAGATACCCATTGATCTTTTATATATTATCAGATATCATAACTTCGTTATATAGTACAGGGCTATTGTACATGGCATCTACTGCACACGGCCAGAGCGAGTTAGCAACAAGCTCCTAGCCACCTCTTTCCTCTCCTCATCCGAAATTGATATCGGCCTCGTCTCCGGCACAAACTTCTCCACCGCGTCCAATACCTCCTCCGCGGACACATCTTCCAGTCCGTCCTCCTTCCACTTCGTCATCCACTCTTCTTCCAGCCGCTTCATGCCCTCCTCAACCTCATCCATAGTCTGTACCTCCTTGCCCTCCCACGTCAACCTAGCCTCCGTGGAGACCTCCGCTTCTGCCTCTCCTTCTCCAGACTTGGAGTATAGAACCTCAACCCCCAACCCACCAAGCCCCAGCTTCTCTACCCTCCCATTCCACAGCACCTGCCTCACCCTCCCATCTCGTTCAACCATCATCCAAACAAGCGGCATCGCACTCCTCCCCAGCGCCTCTCGGACCCCCTTACTCGTTTCTCTTGGGCCAACCAGCATCCCAACACCGCCACCCGACCCCCTCGCCAGCGAAACCGCAAAATGCCTCGCCGTAACGCCCTCAAGTTCTCGGACAACATGCGGCCCGAGTTTCGCCTTTGTCGCCTTACATTGCACGATCACGCGCACGGGCGGGTCGATTACCGGGTTCGCGCCAACGTGCCATGTCCCGGTAAGGTCGATACCCAGGTCTGATTTCCCGCCCACACGGTGTAGACTGAAGGCGGAGGCGCGGAGGTGCGATTGCACAGTATACTCGTAGATCGTGCCTTGATAAGTTGTTGTCTTCTCAGGGAGACTCGTACGCCTCGCATAGTCGAGAAACGAGGGAAGGTCGTTGTGTAGGGAGGTAAGTGGTGCGGGGGGTGTAGGGAGGCCGAAGAGGCGGCGGTTCAGGGGGGTAACGGAGCTCCTAGTTGCGAGTTGAGCTGGAGGTGAGGAAGGTAGAGCAATGGAGAGGAAGGGGCGAGTCGGGTGCATATTCTAACATTGTATAAAAGTTGTAGAAGGTTACAAAATTCCAGGTCGAAGCTATTTACGGCGGTCTGCCTTAACTCCGATACTGACTCCGCAAGTATCCACCCCGATAAGGAATTGTAACTTTAGCTCCATCTCAATAATCACACCCATCTCTTCCCAAACTCAGCTCAACACCCAATCCACGCAAATCACTTGGTCATTCCTGTCTCATCTCATCGACCAAACTGGATAGCGCCATAATGGCCGACATTTTGACCCAACTCCAAACATGCCTTGACCAGGTGCCTACCACACATCCTCTCCATTCCATGCGATACCAAACAAACTAACAGCACAAAGCTCGCAACCCAATTCTACGCCACAATCGGCTACCTAACAACCTACCACGACAACTCCCCCGCGATCCCACCCCCAACCCCCACATCCGCGCCCGCCCTAGCAAAGATCCAAAAGAACTCTACAAACCCGCCTATCCCCGCCAGCGCAGCCGCAATCCTCTCGCAAGCTTCGCCGTCCGCTGCCGCAGGCGCAGTAACACCGGGTCCACCTGCCCCGGGCGCTGCAGCAGGAGCTGGAGGAGACGAAGCAGGGGCAACAGCCGGAATCGAAGAAGGCCTCCCGCCGCGCCCGGACTCCCCGCGCACGTTCGCGGCGCGACAGCGCGAATTAGCGCGTGACCTGGTCATCAAGGAGCAGCAGATCGAGTATTTAATTTCGGTGCTGCCTGGGATCGGGTCTTCGGAGCAGGAGCAGGAGAGGCGCATAAGAGAGTTGGAAGGGGAGTTAAGGGAGGTTGAGGAGGAGAGGGAGAGGAAGGTTAGAGAGTTGAGGGTGCTTAGGAGGAGAGTTGAGGGGGTTTTGGGGGCTGTCGAGTGCGGAATTTATGGAGGACGATAAGTCGCATACTCTTGCTTTAGGCAGTCTTTCGTTCTTGCGGGGGTTCTCTGGTTCCATGAGATGACAATTCATTAGCTAAAGATGATATGATGCCGTCCGTGACTTGCGTCGTCATGCCTTGTTCTAGATCCACGATCCATAATGTATAAAATCAACGAGATGGGGAATAACCAATGGAAGCACAAATGGCTAGCAAGCAAGAAGGCAGCAAAAAACCTGGGTATCAATATGTGGAAGCCAAACCCGACCAAACCAGACCAAACCCAACCCGTGTGAAACAAACCCATTGAAAGCGTAAACGAAAGCAAATAAATCATTTGAATAGGCTGCGATATTCCCTCATCCGCCCCTCCTGAACCTCGGCCTTATCCAGCTTGCCGCGGTTCAAACTCATATCAGCCAACTGCTGCTTCTTCTTCGCCAGCTCGGCAATCTTCTCCTCGATACTGTCCTTCATGAGGAACTGCACGTTTGTAACTTCGCGCGTCTGTCCCAACCGATGCACACGGTCAATGGCCTGCGCCACGGCTGCTGGGTTATATTGCGGCTCCATAATGTATACGTGCGAGGCAGACGTAAGGTTAAGACCCACACCACCGGCTCCAATAGTTGCTAGGAGGATCGTTATATTGTTGTCCTCGCGGAACGTATCGAGCGCTTTGTTGCGCGCTGGCAGGCTCATTGTCCCGTCAAGCCGTGTGTACCCTGTCAACCCCTGGGCTCGGAGAGCGATCTCGATAAGATCAAGATGTGATGTCCAGGCGGAAAAGACAACACTCTTGAGAGGGGGTTCACCCTTGGGGAGCCTTGCGCTTTCCTCTGCCGTGTTACGAAGATATGATAGGAGTGCTTTGGTCTTTGTGTGTGGACCTTCGTATTCCCCTAGGATTTTTGCTTGTTTGGGTCCGTGCTTTGCTCGTTCCTGTTCCATCAGGTAATCCTGTAGGCCCGTTGCCGTAATTGTCGAGTATGATGCGGGGATCCAGCCTTCGCAAACATCGCATTTGATATCAAAAGTCCCCGGGCCTACAACTTGATTGTCAAATGCCTGCTTTCTACCAGAGAAGCATTCCGGGCAGAGGGCGTCATAACAGGGCAGTAAAAAGGCCATGGTATCATTCTTTCCTGGACCGCTAGATCCGTTTGTGTCCGCATTTGGCTCCTCCAAACGCTTGCTGCAAATGGCACACATATCGGCAGATGACTCTTGCATCAGAATAAACATTCCATATGCTTTCTTATCGGCTGCGACGACATCGGCGCTGGGTCCCTCTTCAAGATCAATGGCATCATGAACGCTAAGGCCTTTGATACGCGCTCGCTCATTGCTGTCCAGCAGCTCCTTGCCATGTGCGCTGATTTGGCGGAGAATCATCATGGCCTTCAGAATATGGTGGTACATGCGACCCTTTATATGGCTCTTGTCTTCTCCTGCAATCACTCGCATCATGACATTCGATTCCTTGCGGAAGAACTCGTGCAATTGTGCCTCTGCCTCGGTGAACTCAAGCATCACAATCTTATCATGTCGCGCCGGCAAATCGATCTTGTCCTTGACTCGTCGGAGGGTAAAGGAGTCAACCAGCACGCGCAAGCTCGCGATAACAGTTGCATCGCCTGTCTTGAACCGGCTAAGAATGTGCATGTTGAAACGACTCTTGTCTTCGTATGGATAAAGGCCTAAAAACTTTGTCACCGAGAACAAGTCGTCTAACCGGTTCTGAATGGGCGTTCCAGTTACTGACCAGCGGCGCTGGGCGCTTAACTTGAAAATCGCCTGAGTCTGGGCCGCGCTTTGCTCCCGAATAGTATGAGCTTCATCCAGGACAATGCGAAACATGTTCATTCTAGTTAGTGGGCTTGCCCCCGCTCGCTTAGAGCCGCGACCAAAAAGCTCGCTTAGGACAATGCTATATGTTGTGATAACCAAGTCATACTTGGACAGTTCGTCCACGCTCGTAGTCCGAGAGGAGCCATGGAAAACATACCATGTGACCGAACCCTCTTGCAAGTGTTCTTTAATCTGCGAGACCCAGTTGTTGACAGTGCTGAGGGGTACCACAAGAAGAGTAGTCTTTGTGTTTCGAATGCCAGGTTGGTCCTTTACCAATTCAGGTGGTGGAATCATCCTCACCCACTCGTGAGCTTGCTCGAGTGATGAAACAGCCAGAGACAAAATGCTCAGGGTCTTTCCGAGACCCATCATGTCAGCCAAAAGTCCCCCCAAGCTTTGCGGCGGCTCCTCGTCAAGAATGGTACCACTGATGATTTCACGGAACTTGTTAGCCCCGTTGGCCTTGTATTCGCGCCTCCAGAGGGAGTTATTATCCTCCTCGTTGGGCCCAAACTTTCGAGGACTCTCCTTCTCTGTCATAAACCACAAAGCTTGCTTCTGATGCCGGAGAAGTGGCGTCGTGACAAACTCCGGGGGCTCCATTTCAGGAAGGTTGTCCGCACTCTGAAGCTGATCAAACATTTTCATGACAGCATCAGTCACTTCTTCAGCAGACCTGACTTCATAATTTACTCCATTCCGATTCCGTTGCGCTCCGGTTGGCGCATAGTTCGGCTGCAGGCGTCTTCTTTCGGCGTGAGGATTAAAGAGAGTAACTCCTTGTTCTACCGAGAACGGTGCGGCAAGCCAGACGTTGTGCTGGCCTAGGTAGTTGCCAACCTTCTCTGCATCCTGGCGAAGGCCGTATAGGTTGATGGAGGCCCGGAAGTTCGACGAACAGGGGGCCCATGGCACATCATTGGGCATTTTCTTTCGAGAATCAAGACGGGCAGCAACATCCACCTTGAGAGCCGGGGAATCAAGGAGGGGTACAATCACGGCTGCAGTCTTTGAATCGACAGCACCGAAAATCTTCCCATTGGGGTCAGAAACCTCAATTCGGTAGTGGCCCTGTCCCACTTGTCTGTGAACTCCAAGCTTCATTGAGGGCCAATGTGCCACGTCTCCGAAAATTGTTTGCGGTGAAGGCATGGGAATAAGCGACGCCTGTATTGTAGCATTCTCCAACTTTCCATAACATACTCTCTGCGCGCTGAGGTTGTTGGAGCCGGTCACTTGAAGGTCGTCGTCGTCGTTGCTTCCCGAGACATCTTATATCAATTCATTAGCATGTAGCTAGAGCATCCAACAATCAGCTTCTTACCAAAAGTCAGGTCAACAACATCTGGAGTTATGGCAGTGGAGCTCCCCGTGTCTCCGCCATCCTCTTTCATGTATTCCCCCAAGCCGCTGTTCCCCCCAATGGGTCCTCGTTTCGCTCTCTCAGATTTCCCATCTTCCGTTTTCACTCGCTTGTACGGAGTGCCCATCCGCCGCTCTACCCCGTACATATCTTCGATAAGGCTTCTATGTCTCGAGTCCGCATCGTCGCTAAGCTCCACAACATCGGCGTTCCGCTTGCCGTCACTAAATTCCACATCCGATGTGCTTGTAAAGTGCACATCCAGGTCCGGTGTCGCGTGTGCAGAGGAGTTGGGGGACGCGTTTGTACTCGTCGATCCAGCCGACGAAGGGTATTGCGACAGCGAGCCGCTTGCGTGATCGGCGGAGGGTGCACGTTGGGGGCTCAGTAGGCGATTCGCGAAGGTCGTGCCTTGTGGCGCTATGGATGAGGCGACGCTGCGCTGCTGGCTGTTTGCGCTCTGTTGTCCTGCTAATCCGCTAAGTCAGCTTGCTGCTTCCGAGTCATCAGGATCTTCGGGTGGTTTGGGTGACCGTCTGTACGACGGCTCAGGGAAGGATCATTTTGGGACTTATGATCAGTGCCAGGATCACCTTGGAGCTCTGGTAAGGATGAGAGACTGAAGCGTTACCATTTTTCTGTAGCTGTTTCTTGTACGCCCGAGGATTGAGGAGCATGTGTGCTTGGGACGCCATGACTCCTCACGGTGTAGACACCGAACGATAACAAAGTCGCGACTGTAGATGCAAGAAATTGCCGATGCAGTAGAGCGCGGATCAAAGAATATGATGTATCCAAAGAACTTGAAGATGATAGAGTGTGGGGTGCATGCGTTCTTATCGGAAGGGATAGGACTCGAGTTCGACTCGATCGTGGTGGAGAATGACGGAGTGGCAAAGAAAGAGAAGCGATTTACGCGCCAAAGCTCTATCGCGAGAATGTAAAGAGAGGGGACAAGGAGGCGAAAGGGGTAAAGAGAAAATTTAGAAAGATGAGCAAGAATAAAAAGCGAAAGAAGATGAGGTCGTGAGAGGGAGAGAGAGAGAAAAGAGCGAGCGATGGCGGCCAAGACAAGATTCCGATACCTAGGCAAGTGAGATAAGATAGGAGAGTGAGACTACTATGTACTACGGGAGCATGGGCCATGGTTCAGTCTGACCTCACCTTAATTACACCAAGTTTTACTCTAAAATCGAATTGATTTCACAGGATGATGCCATTTCCTCCGGGGATCATGATTATTAGTAGGGAGCTAGCTATATGTCTATATACAATACAACATCAGGGGTAGTATTTTTCAACCAAAGCCACTCCTAGCAGTTAATAGACTCCTCATGCCTGTTTGCCGTAACAAGGACGCTAAATGAAAACGAGATGAAGGTATAAAGTCATGATGTCGGTAGGCTCGGTGGATTCAGGAAGGTGAGGTGAGAGTAAGGAGGAACGGAGTCATGCAAGGGGAACAAATCCTGCGTTGAATATAGCAACCACAACAACCAGAAGAAAAGCGGAGGGGCAAAGGCAGAGCGCTAGCACCAGGTAAAAACAGGGTTTTTGCTCTTGACAGCTTCTATTCGTTCGACGATAACTTTGCGCTGGTTTCCTTCCATGCCCTCAGCCGCCGCATAGCCGAGGTCGCCCTCCAGATCGTCGCTGCTCCATATCAGACGGGCCCCGCGTGCACTCGAAACGGAATTATGCTTCTGGTGTTTGTTCCCGGGGCGCGGAGGAAGTGACGGCCAATTTCGGTCTCCATTCCTTCTAGGGCTGAGTCCATCGGCACTATCGCGATTGAAGCCATAATCAGTAGAGCTTGCAGTCGGCGGTCGCCCAGAATCCCGAGAAGTCCGGCCACGGGAAAGCTCAAATCGATTCGGGTTTGGCAGTTCACTGGGGGGTGATGGGAACCCCATCAAGTCCTGATCTGCCATAGACATGGCGGCGCCAATGTCCATTTCTTCGTTGTCCGGGTCGTAGCGGTCGTCGTAACTTCTGATCTTACGTCGCTGAGCTTCCGTTGACGGCCCGCGAAGAGGAATAGCAACTGGGACATCTACCAGGTCGTCCCAGACACAAACGCGAGTTCTCCGTGTAAGCTCAAGCGGACCATGATCCGGGTGCTTCAATGTTTCCACGACGTTCCATGCCTGCCCTTTCATAACCGCAATCTGCCTCGCGAACATGCTCTCTTTGAAATCGTCGTCCTGTGAGAAAACTCGTCGTAAGGCCATTTGTGTGCCGCTCCACCAAGCAGTCGAAGTCAGAAGCGGTAGGAAGTGGTCTCGAGTCTTTTGAGAGAACGGCTGTCCGATGAGTGAGACTGGTAGGAACAGCCAGCCGAATGGGAAGCTTCGCCACTGGAGATTCGTTAGCAAACTACAATCCTACCACAAGTGAAAGAGAACGAACGTACGGCATCAGGGTGCTTCCATGGCCATGACAAACTGTTGTCAATGGCACCAATCTGGATAGTAGCTTGGGGCTCTTGTGAATTTAAAGGAGTTCCTGTACGGCTCACAGCCTGCATCGTCTCGTGTCGTCGATAGGGGTATGACGGCGATGTTGCTTTGTCCGAGTTGACTGAAACCGGCCGTGGAGGCACCAAATAATCATCATCATCCTGTGGGTGTTCGTTTTGCTTGGGCGGCTCCGCGACTATTGAGACGTCCTCCGTGTTCCAATCAATCTTTATCATCCAGTTATCCAGACCACGGTCTGTATTCCGCATGATATAGTCCAGAATGACCAACTTCTCCAATTCTTCCCTGAATGACTGTTTGAGATTCTCCGTCCAGTAAAACTGACGCTCTCCATTTTCCTGTTGAGGGGACGGCGTGCGCGTCTGGACATCATCCTCCTCTTCGGCCTCATCTTCATCGTCGGATTGCACCCCAGACGGCCGGCAAGCCTCATTCCAGGGGCGCTTCTTGCGTTTCGGGGCGTCTTGGGCACGGAATCCCGTGTTGGTCTGATCCGGCCATGGGTGCTCCCTCAGGAAAAGATTGGCATCCCTGTAACCTTTGAGGAAGACCTGGAAACTGCCCGCTTTCGGAGGGAGCGCTTTCTTGCCCATCCAGGCCTTTCTTCGGTCCCAAAAATCATAGAAGAACGATTTCGACGATAGCCATACAATATCAGTATAAGGGACCATGTTGGTCCGGAGACGGGAGTCGAGTACATAAGCGGCAGCTTCCGAGACGTAAGACAGGTTGGGAATCAAGCAAGCGCGTCCAAAAAAGCAAGGGAATAGATTGCGATGGATCCATTTGGTCCATTTCGGGTTGCGAGATGCATAAGGCTCTTCATCTTTGGGTTTGAAAACCCCGACGACCTTGCCTTCGCTATTGCGTGCAAAGTAACTGCCCGAGCTGCCCTGGGAGATCATTCGCGGGTGAACGCCGAGCTCTATGGCCAACCGCACGCTCTCCACAACTTCCTCGAACCCATCCCGCGCTTTCCGCGTAGCTAATTCAGACTCCTCCGAGTCCAGCTCTTCCGCCGTTATAGGCTGAACGCCATTGGGCGGTTGGAAAACAGAGTGGTAGATCTCCAGCTTCTCCTCTTCAAGTGTCTTCCCCTTCACGCGATGAATTTTGAATTTCGAGGCAAACTCCTCCGCCCAGCGCTCTAGGCGTGCATTGATCGCTTTGATATCCACGGCCGAATTCCGCCGTCCTCGGCGGTGATGTACGCTCGGTCTCCGTCGGTATTCGGGCGGTGTTGTTGGGGCCCCGGCGGGGATGGACCCTCGGCCTCGAGTTGAAATAGGTTCATATTGTGTGCCGTACGGATTAATTGTGCTGGAAGTATGGTACAAGTCATCCTCGTCCGAGTATTCGTAGGGATCGTTATTTCTATCCTCTTCCTCCTGGGCCAAGCGGGCATAACCAGACGTCGCGGGTCGATTGTTCTTCGGCATGGTTCTATCAAATAGAAAGGATAAATTCAAAAAGGGCTTAAATGAAAGGCGAGAAGACGAAGCCGGAAATTAGGAGAGAAAAAGAAGAAACAGCAATTCTTCAAGGCATTACCGGAGCTGCGTTGGAATCCGGGGTAATAAAAAGGGGATAGACCAGGCAGACGTATCGTAGAAACGAAGAAAGCGACAGATGGTGAGAATGCTGAAGACAGTTTATCAACAGGAAGTAAAAGCAGAAGTTGAAGCAGACCCCGTCATCTATTCGTGGTCGTAAAGGCAGAAGTCCGGCCAGCTGGAACAAGCAAGAGGCGAGAACCCGGCCACGTCTCTATGAAGGACTGCCAGACTGCGGCTTCGAGTGGAAACGGTAACGGCCGATGTTACCATTCTGTACCGTATTTGGAGCTACATATTAGCTAGGAGTGGCTTAGTACTATATTACCAATACGTCTCCGACGCACCGCCACATCTCATCTGCGGCACTCCACCAGAGCTTCGTCCCTGCAAAAGGCAACTCGACTTTAATTCCTGGCCCCTGAAATGATCTTCGCTTGAGTACGTGTCGAATACAAAAATGCCATCTCAATCTACTCCGCATTCTCTCAACTACGGAGTCAACTACGGAGTCTAAGGTCTGACGGCCCAATTACGTATATGTCCAGTGCTGCTGCTGTGTCAGGGTCTTGCAGCAACTGCCCTATTTTCAGTGGATGGACAACAGTAGAATGCCATCAGTACCGAATCCTATTGGAGCAACAAGGCATACTAAGCAGTCTGTTCAACCGTGAAACCCGAGAAGCACCGATCCATCGCGTCATAGTCCTCCAATGGACCTACATAGGAGACGTGTTGATTCGGCCGCAGGACAAGGAGTCAAGGACGCATCTTTCTCCAAGTTTATTTTGAAAGTCTCACCCAACTTTCCATACCCTTCATGATAGGAGACGTCGTTCACAAATATTTATCGTAATCCCAGCTGTCAATTTCATCATACGGATGAAATTCGTCGGGGAAACCAAAGATGTCGACGTGATTGCGTGGTGCTGCATGCACCGTGAGAACCTCTATGATTGAGTCATAGCTTGACCCCGTTGGCTTATAGCGCTGCAGGAACGACTCCTACCCGCCGATTGCGGCTCCTAGTTGCTTAGTATTCTCCTTCTGGGATGACTTGGTAACGTCGCCGGCAAACACAAGGACACGCCAGCTCCCATTACTGGAGAGTCGCTCCTGAAGATGCTAGGCCCGCGCATCGGCCTGGCTTAGGATCTTTACGCTGGGAATCCTTCTGCCAAGCTTGATCTCTGGTGCTAGTCCTGGCATGCTGAGAATTGGATATGATTCTGTTTCCTTTGCTACTATGACGCTGGAGCGATACTCGACGCTGTCAATAAGGTCTTAAATGGGTGTCAATATAAAAAGCAAGGTTACGTATCAACGCCGCTGGCGAACAACCTGCCTTTTTCGACTGCATCTCTGGACACGCCCATGCTGATTCTTTACTCATCCATAACGTCACGCGCACGGCGGCCCGAAAATAGTCGAGAATATTGGCTGTCAAACGCAATAGGATATTGAGCGATCTTCTTCTCTCCGACTCATACGTCTTCAGAATTAACGAGTCCCTTGATGACACCGGCCATTTTGCATCCAAGGCTATATGCTGTTTAAGGGGAATCGGCCAGCTTGCTCTGCTGTATCCGGCCACCATTACGTACAGTCTTGCATGTTCTCATTCGTGCCCTGACCGGCCTTAGGGCTACAAGCAATGAGCAACATGTCCTCGTGATGATTGCACCTCGAATATGCAGACCTTGTACGGTTCCCGCGGGCCAGGTCAATTGCAGATACCGTAACGGCCTTGAAATCATCGGCTTAAAGCGCATTCAACTTTCAGTTCAGCCGCCTTAAACACGATCCCAGCGCGCATACTGCCAGCCAAAGGTCAAGTTACATTGGGAAACTGGAAGTTCGACAAACGACCGATAATAAACTGGGCTGTCTGCTCAGCCGCTCATCGTTCTTTCGGATCGAACACCTTGCCTTTTTTTTATCAGACAGGATGCATGGCCGTATGCAAGGCACGGGCAGTGAGCTGGCCCAGCGTGGTAGAGCTAATGCTTGTCGAGACCACTCAGGTAAGCAGAGGTCCACGAGTGTATCGAATGTTGCCCGATAAATAGAGAGACCATGGATCATCTAGCAGTAGTACCATTGCATCTCCAATGTAAAGGAGAGAAAGCCACCTTCATTACCTATTGTTCGGCTGATGTAGAGGGAAAGGGTGCCAAGAGGCAGACCAATAATGGTCGATAGTCTCCGGTAGCAGCCCCGATAGTGATATCCTTGAACAGCCCTCTTATCGTCCCATCTCGTCTCCGATATCGTTTTTATGCCATTATCTTAATTGTCCTTTTCTTTTCTTTCCTCTGGGACTCGTCCAACTCACCTTTGCTTGTATTTGCAGAATTGTAACTGCGCCGCAAGCTGCTCAGCTTCTGGCTCTTCCCAATCTCAATCTACCGGCCTCTCCAGATCTTCCGCTCCTTATCCTATCAACCTCAGACTGCGCACAACGAAAACAGCGCTCTTATTTCATCTTGTCTTTTCGATTCATTCTCCAAAAGTATTTCTCTCTTGCCTTTGTTGGATTCCAACCCGCGCACGAAATCTCGAGGACATTCCACTTCGCCCTCCCTTTCTACGTGGCTGGTCCCCCTCGCAGCAGAAACGAGATCTTCCGTCCCCCTCACCATCGCCTTATGCAACACGTCGAGACGAGGATCAATTGACTTTGAGAGTACGTTTATTCGGTCAGCAGAGGCCGAGTTTATAGCAGCTTACCCGCCACGACCTCCATCGTGGCTTCGCTTCTATTCCGGGCGTCGCCCATCGACCCGGCCCTTCGTCCTCCATCGCCTTCGAACGACCAATCGAGCGACCTTGCCTATAACCCTTCGTCCTCGTCCATTGAGAGCCAGTCGGCAACCGATAACGCACAGGGGCTCTCTTCCGCGTCCTCGCAGTATTCCACCGCGCTCCCGGATCTTGCCTCGAGTTCTCTAGATAAAAGTCCTGAGGAGGGGTTAAACGGTGCCAGTTCGTTTCCGAGCTCTCTTGGACCATCGCTTCCTGGTCTGTCTGTTCTGGCATCTGTCGCGTCTGCGCCGACTTCGAATTTACGGTGCGTATGCTATCCCGGTCCGACTTGACCGCGGTAATCGCGATAAGGTTTACAGCGGTGTGAATCGATGTCTCTGCCGTCATCGGGTCTTTTCTTCCCCTGCCCTCGAGACCCGTTACATCTTATCGACCATTATCAAGATCCCAGCTAATGACGAACGAATAGAACGTCGAGTAGTGATGCGCATCTAAGTATGTCGAGTATGACCTACGCAACATCGTCTCCCGCTGCTACCACTGGAGGACAGGGCAATAATCCCGTGAGTACATTTCTTCTGTTTCCTTTTTATATCCTTCACATTTGCGATCGCATTTTTCCTGCTGCAACAATATTGCTTTTTCGCGTTGTTTTATTTTTTCACCAACGTGTTATCGGTCTTGGCAAATCCTTATCATCCGTTTTCATTTTAATCTCCCCAATCTTATCAAGCCGGATCTTCCTTCGTTCACTATCAGCCGCCTGCTCCCACGCAGCCCCCTCATCTCTCCTCTCCTCTTTCCCTTCGCTTCTCTCTACTTTTCTCTCTCGGATAAATATGGCGAGTACGCTGGCTGACCAGAAACGCCCTCAATTACAGCCGATATGCCAGAATTGCGGCACCTCCAAGACTCCCTTATGGCGTAGGGACGAACTCGGCTCGGTGCTTTGCAACGCCTGCGGGTTGTTCTTGAAACTCCATGGACGACCGCGCCCCATCAGCCTTAAGACAGATGTGATCAAAAGTCGCAATCGAGTCAAAACTGCTGGTCAGGGCCCGAAGCGCAAGGTGAGTCCTCAAATTGAGTTTTTCTCTCGAGTTCATCGCACCCTTATCTATGCGAATTGCGTCTGCTAACAGTCACCTTTCTGGAATAGTCCGGCAGCGCAGCCGACGGAAATGGGCTTGCTTCCTCGAGGTCAGAAGCTGGCACTCCTCCTTTGGGGTCGCAGGGGTATCGTCGCGCGTCGCGCAAGATGTCGCCCGGCCATTCAGACCGATCCAATTCCCCAGTGCCCCAGCCCGATACCCACGGAATTCCCGGTTTACACCAACCGCTCGCGCAACCCCATCACAATTCCAACATTGCGCCGCAGCATATGTTTGATAGTGTAACGACCGGGGACCACACTAGCCAGCTCCCATCCGTCCAGCTACCGCAACCTTCCCCCTCGGCTGCGGCCGCGCCGGTGGACCGTCACCACGAACCCCCACAGACATACGAGGACCTCTTGGCGGCGAACACGTCCTTGAAGACTCGTGTCAGCGAGCTGGATCTCATCAACGGGCTCTTCAGGGGGCGCGTCGCGGAACTCGAGCAGAGCGACGCAACTGCGCGACGGTCCGAGATGATACTTCGCGACTCGGAAGCACGCCTGAGACGTTCGCTCGACGATGCTCAGCGACGGGAGGAGGAGCTCAAGCGACGTATACTTGAACTGGAGCGTCAGCTTACGGAACAGACTAACGGAGGTAATCCCTCAAAGGAGAACCCTCTTGAGCCGCTGGCCAAGAGAATGAAGCTTGCCGACGTGGTAGAGGAAGATTCGCAATCGCCAGCCAAATCGCCCAAGAGCATCTAGCTTGGGCTTTCAAGATCTGGGGTCATCCTTCGTGAAATGCGCGGTTGTCCCTTGTCCGCCGCAAGCATGTCGCGAGTCACTTGGTCCTAATACATTTTTGATACCCTTCGCAGTTCTTGTCATTGGCTGGTTTTATATCCGATTGAATGTTTCTCTCCGCGTGCGGTTGCTCCATTACTATCCTTTTGTCTTCTACGACTTGTCTGCAATAGAATCATGCAAACAACCCATATTCCTTTTAATCTTTGACATGAAAATACCTAAACGACACGACAAAACAAAACTCACGGAAAAGTGGAATTTAGAGGGGGCCTACTTTTGTTCGATTATTGTGTTCATAATTCTCAGAATCGATTTTCTTCGAGTTATTTTCTGCCCCTAGGGCTCTTATCTTTGAAACGGGTCTCTGTCAATTCGTCTTCGCCGGATGACGGGTCCAAATGATGCATCTGACTCTGGACATTATTGATCGCCACGAAACCCCAGTCCCCAACTCACCCCCATCATTGCTGTTTTTTCTTATCATCCCCGGAAGGCGTCCGCTTGGAGGTGGAGATGATGTGCTGTCTTGGTTGGAGATCGCCGGGGTTTCTAATCTATCAATCAAGCTATACCATGGCTCGGGTTAGTCCATCAATTGGGGGCGGTGGTACCTTGCTAATCGTGGCTATACAGCGATAATGCAGCTTTTTCTCTGGCAGTCGCGTGCTTATCGCTATCTGCTCCTTGCTTAGGTATCTGATTGGGGATCTGGGATTAGGGCTTATGCCATGGGCGTAATCAATATTCTGCAGTGTCAGCTTCAAGATTCGATAGGGCCCAGTCGATAAGGCAGCCCTGCTGATACAGAATTATTGATAGTCTCCAAGGTTGCACCGTACTCCGCATGGCATGGGGTAGGTACTGCCTTATCTTTCTCCTATCAGCTCTCGCTACCGAGGTTGATGCGACTGGGGGAGCCGGTCTGATAACCGATGCTCTACTGTCAGCTTGTGCTGCGTCATGTATCCATTTGCTCGTGCGCATGATTCAGCTTTTATGTCGGAGTCGAGCCTTTGGACCGTTGGGCTTCTGGTGTTGCTATACTACCACTACTGGTACTGCCAGGATGGTCCTCTCTGCTGCAAGCCTACCCTGTATCGCTGTCTTATTCATTGCCTGGTCAGTCAGTCCTGCAACCAGTAATCTTTTGTTTAGCTACAGGGGAGCCGTCTTCTTATCGCCTTCTCTTTATCGGTCGATCTGCGGAGTAACATCTCTATCTCTAAGCCACAGATATGCTTGCCCCGAGCTTATACTGTCAATATCCCCATTCGGGTGCATACCAGTCCCGCGTGCTCCCCCTTTTTCTATGTCGGATGTGATATATCGATCAGCCTGTTTTCTGTTCTTTACCGCAATGTCGGAGCATGGTATGGGATACTCGACCTTGGAGTGCTCATGCGGCCATACGCAGAAGTATATACTGCTGGCCATTATCAAAGCGATAAGCTCTGCATATCCTTATCAAACACCGCATCCTCCTCATCAAGGCGGGGGTAATCCGTCCTAGCCTCTGTCCAACCACGGTCCGTTAGAAATTGAGTTTTCTATTAAACTTAGGGATGTAAGATGACAAATGTCATGTCAACATTCGCCGCCTTAAATATCAACATGACAGATATTTCAAGGTCGCGAATGTCTAATTGGCGCTTACCTTTTATATAGGGTATAGTAGGTGGGCTGCACGTGATAACTAGTCCTAATTTAAAAGGCGCACATGTAGATTATAAAAACTTTTTAATTTATATATAAAATTAACAATTTTTAGGTGCGCTGTTAAAGCATTTTAAAAGCACTTTTTAAAGCGCTTTTAAAGCGCCTTTAGAAGCGCCTTTTAGAGTTTTGGTTTACATATAAATTTAATATAAAATTAAAAACTTTTAGGTGCGCTTTTAAAGCGCTTTTTACAGCGCTTTTAAAGCACTTTTTATAGCACTTTTAAAGTAATTACTATAGTACTTTTAAAGTAATTATTGTAGTGCTTTTAAAGCGCTTTGGCAGTTAGTTAAAGTTATTAGCCTTATATATAGTATTAGTAGTTAAAGGCCGGGGTTTTTTAGCCGCTTAAGGCGCTGTAAATAGTGTTTTTTTTATGCTTGGTGGTAACCTTTTTTTAAAAAATAATTATATTTTTATTGCTTAGTAACCTTTTAATCTAGAGATTTTTATAAAATAGCTAGTTATAAGCTATTTTATTTTTTTTCTTTGCTAGCTAGGTAAATTTATACTTAATATTACGGCTTATACAGCTATTTATAGGTAAAAATATAGGTGTAAAATTTAAAGCTTTTATATTTATATAAAAATATACTAGCTTGTTTACTTTTTTAACCTAAAAATAAGATTTTTACTTATTTTTAGTATTGTTTATGGCGGAGAAGGCTTGCTTAGCAAAAACCAAGTTAATAGTTATATAAATAAGTTAAATAGCAAGGTAAAAGAGAAATAAAGCAGTATTATACTAAAAATTTAAAATAATTAGTTTTAAAGCTATTTAAAAGGCTTTTTAAAAGGTATTTAGTTAGGAAAACTTATAAACTACGCCTAAAATATTAAAGGGTTCTTAGTTTTTTAAAAATTTGCAGGGAAAAACTACGCCTTTTTTACTTAGTATAAAGCAAACTTATTATAAGCTTTTTTAATAGTAAATATAAAAAACACCTTTTTAATTATATTAGTTATTAGCTTATTTAATAAAGCAAAAATATTGCGGGGGTTAAGATAATAAGCAGCCTAGTAAAGGGGTGTTACTTACTTATTAAAGTATTTTTTAAAGCTAGTATATAAAGCCTTTGCAAGATACTCCTAAAAACTAGCTTTATATAATATTTTTTTAATGCTTTTAAAAAAAATTAAGCGGATTTATAGTTAATATTTTATAACCTAGGAAGTTAGTAGTTATATAACTAAAAAGATAAAGTACTTATAGTTATAATATTAATTTTTTAATACTTAAATTTAATTTATATTTGGTAAATTAGCTTTAAAAGATAAATGTTATCACTATTATGGTGTTGCAACTGCGTAGTGTTGCAATGATGCAATCTGGCGGCCTGAGGCCGCCGGGCGGAGGAACTTTAGCGCTAAACTAGCCGCGTGCTAAGGTAGCGGCCAGTTATATAATATATAAAATACTAAGTTTAACTTTAAACTTTAATTTAAAAAAATTAGTAATTAGTTCCTATTATAAATATATAACGCCTTTTTTATTATAATAATTTATATTTTTTTAAGCTTATTATAGTATATAAACACAACTTATAGTTTTAATTACTTTTTTTTTAAAAAAAAAACCTATTTTATATAATAGCTAGGTAATAAACTTAATTTTAAAGGCTAGTAAATAATACTTTAAAAAAGTAACTATAAACCCTAACTTAATAACTAACTAATATACTTAAAAAAAAATTTATAAACTTTTAACTAAAGAATCTTAAGGGCGCCCTTGCTACTAAATCCTAAATTATATAAAAAATATTAAAATATAAAGCGCCCACCCAGGGGCAAGAAAATAAAAATAATAAAAAAACTATTAAAAAACTGCAGGCAATACTAAAAGTAATTTTAGTAAAAAAAAAGAAATTATAAAAATAAAAATATTACAAAAAAAAAAAAATATTAATAAATTCGTGCCTAAATTAAAAAGGCACGCTAATAAATTACAAGGGCTAAAGCTAAATAATAAATATATAATATACCTATTTAATTTATTAAGTAATTAATAGTCCCTTATTAAATAAACTTTAATAACCTTGCAACCCCGGAGGAAATTATTAAAAAGGTTATAATAATAATAATATAATTTAAAAAGGACTTTTTAAAAAAGTTACTATTTATAAAACCATATTAGGCAAATAATATTAAAAAATTTAATAATTAAAAGTTAAACATAAAAACATACTTTAAAACCTTCCTAATTTACTACCTAAATAATAATTATAAAATATCTTAATTTATTAGATTTCTAGCGGAGAACCACAGGCAAAAATAGTTTAATATTTATAAAGTAAAAATTATATTTACCTGGAAAGAATTTTTTAACATACTAGTTAAAATAATTAATAACAAGATGGTGTTAATTAATAACTTACTAATTAAGTAGGGTAACACAAAGTAGTAACTATAGTAAATTATTAGGTAATTTATATAGTTACTAAACTAAATTAAAAAATACTTATTTTATAAGTATAATAATAATTAGTACCAAGGACACCTGTACCAAAAAATCTTAAAAAATATATAAAAAAAGTTCCTTATTTATAAATACCAAGAACCAAAGCGCTATAATAACTATATATTATACTTAATAAGTATTAAAAATAATATACCCAAGTAAAAGAAAATTATTATAAAAAAAAAAAGGAATTTTTTAACTAAACTTGCATAAGACTATTAATAACTAAAGTTAAGGCGCTTTTTATTATTAAAAAAAGTATAAAAGTAAACACTAGTATAAAATAACCTAATAATTTAAATAATTTTTTATTTATAAAAAAGCCATA